ATACATATAATATAATGTATTTGAGAGATTTTTTTTATGTTAAGATTATCATGAGATTTGAGAGATTTGTTTTAGGACATGTGAACATTTATTATTCGAATGCTTAAAAATATTTTTTTGTATGTTGTCTTTGTTTTTTTATCATTATAGTAAAATTTAACTAATTTTTTTTCTTAAGTATATAAATATTTTGATATTTAGTTCAGATTAACTCCTCATTTTACTATAAATAATTTTTGTAATGTATTTATTAGGGAATTTAATGAAAAAAATCCTCAACATTGGTGAGATCAATTTTTAAACCATCAACTATTGTTTTAGTAAATAAAACTCTGAACTAGAAAACATTAACAAATTTAACTCTCACCTATAAAAATCTAAACACCCGTAGTAGTTCGTGAATAGTATTCATTTACATAACTGAAATCTAAACACACTGTACTGCAATATCGTTTTAATAATTGTATTAGCTAATGCATCACGTGAATAGTATTCATTTACATAACTTAAATCAGTATTCTTAATCATTTAAAATTAGTTAAATATATTATTAATTATCTTATTCCAAATTTCTTGTAAAAATCTTCCATTATGATCCCCAATTGATCTTAATAAAGTAAGTTGTTGTTAAGAAAATTATCTTACATATATATTTCATCATATAAACACTTTTGTTAGTGAAAATAAACTTTACACTTTTGATTTTCACCTTGTCTTTTATTTATTTGAGAAATGTAAAGACAAATGCATTTTACACAAGAAAATATGGGGAAAAACAAAACGCATCAATGCGTTTTGGCATATTAGTAAACGACATATATAAAAATCGAGTTGTTAAAATTTGTTTAAAAATACAACTGTAAATCGAGTTAATCACACATGTGATTACGAACGCTGTCCAAGTGCAATGTTTTTTTTTCAAGATAACGATGACCCTTTTATTTTTCAATGGCCTCTCATTTTATAACATAACGACAATTTTTCATACAATAAAATCTAGTAGTCAACTAGTCAGTTGACGACATGAAAACAAAATAAAGTCAACTATTCAAGTCTGTGAATTTTGTCCCTGTGTTTGGCCAACTTGCAAGAAAAATTAATCCAAGGTACACAGGACCGTATCCTCATGCATGTGTCATAAAATAATACAATGGATTGGTAATAAGCAGAGGACGTACTGAAGAAATCATGACTATGCGACTCCCAAATATATTGATTGGTGTTAAGTAAAAAAAAAAACTATATATTGAGTTGTATGTTTCTAATCAATCCAAGCATGTTAACCATGTTTAGTTCTTCAAACAAAATTATCAAAAAAAGTATCATCAATTAGATAATAAAAATCTAGTTATCATAAACTTTCCTTTTATAGACATTAATTCTTTAAGTCTAGATAGAATCAATGTTATAAGTTCCAACAGGATTTAAACACAAGTGAAGTCAGTGAGTATTTACTTTATTAGATCAGAATTGTCATTAAATTTTTGCAATCGAGAGGGTATCATTAGACTAAAGGAGTCTCGGCCAGTTATAACTGCGGAAGATAAACTTTTTTATTCATTCATGTCATTATAGATGATAATGAATACAAGGCCAAGTAACTTCAATAGCTATCAGAAAGATGGTGGAGAGACGTAAGCTAGGGATTATTTATACCACCACCGGCTTGTCCACTGATTGATCCCCCAAAATCTATGTCACTATTGGTCTTATAGCTACTCATCAACCTCCTCCTTGATCCTGTAAAACACAATATCTTAAAATGGTATAAACTCACCAAAGTCTAAATATTTTTAGTCTTGCTTTAATTATTCAAGAATACCTTATCATAAAATCTAAATTTCTGCCTTTTCAAACTTTTAAATTTTTATAATATTAGAAATTTAAAAAAGCATTAAAAAGCTCTTCCAGAAAATATATTATCCCACATGTTAATTTGTTATACAGTAAAAAAACAACCTCATGTGCATGGTAATTTTATTAGTAGCCATTAGTTTCACCACCTCGGAATTTATATAGATTTTTCGTCTATTAAAACATGGTTAACTAACCAAAAAGATATTTGAGAACTGAGAAGACACTAACCAATCATCGAGAGTGATTCTTGTGGAGAGGGAAGCGCACACTCAGTTTGAGTTGTGACCAAAAGAACCACAAGAAGAAACAACACAAGTCCCAATTGTGCAGTACTCTTCTTTTCCATTTCTCTCTTCTCTCTCTAAATATGTGTATCTCTATAATATCTAGCTATCTGATGATATATTTTGTTTGATTTGTGTATACGAATCACCTATTTATATCCCTAATAATAATAAACTAAGTTCTAAGAAATAACCACAACACCAAAAAAAAAAGAAAAAAAAAGTTGTTCGAAGACTTTTGTGCTTAATTAGTGGCCCAAAATTCATGACCCCTTTCTCCATTACCAAGTTAGAGACAGATAGGAGTTAGCACAGTAAAAAAGATGTTTTAATTGTATTATGTTCAAGCAATTCAATCAGGAGCTAGTGAGCTTACTATGCATATGTTTCACAATCTAGTGCTGGTTCAGGAAAACTAAAATAATTTAGGTTTAACCGTGTAAAACATTTATGTTCCATTCATTTATTATCCATATAACATATATAAGAACTCTCAATTGCTTATTTACATACATATTCATGCATAATTATTTTGCATTGTTAAAGCCTTAGGCCCCAAATGGTAGTCCGTTTTGGGTGCGCTTGCGATTCAAATGCTGGAGTGATGTGATTTGAGAGCGAAACGGTTGGTTAGAATTACGAATGAAAATGTGATTCAGATGTGATACAATTACATCATATTCTTAAATGGAGACACCATTTAGATGTGATTTTAGTGCAATTAAAATGCAAATTATGAAATTATCCTGTATTTATAAATTTTTTTTGCATTGTTAGCCTGTATCTATAACTATAGAGAACTCAAAAACAACTCTAAAATACAAGCATCGGACAAAGCCTTAGAATTGTCCACGTCAGCCCAAACTTGTTGGACTTTTTAGGCTGGAATCTTTGAATTTTAGTTACATAAGACAAGAAAAACAAGTGGCGTTGAATGTTTCTTATATACTAAATTGACTTCGAAATTTGTTTGGACCAATATAATTATGTAGTCTATAGTGCCGACGACTTCGAATCTAATATCAGACTTTGCACATATATGGACAATACATATTCTGATATTCTCATATTATATATCAACATCCACCATGCATTGACTCATTATCATCAACGACTTCGAATCTAATATCAGACTTTGCACATATATGGACAATACATATTCACATATTATATATCAACATCCACCATGCATTGACTCATTATCATCCAAGCAAGTTATAGTGGATTAGTAGTTTCAATTTAAAATGTGGAATCCCCATATGAATCTATGCCAGACTATTGATTCTCTTCGTGTAGTTCAGAATATATATTTCAAAATATCGACGTAATATATGACCTACTCGACTAGACGAGTGATACAAGTCACAAACTCCCAATCCATGGATTTTTTTCTTTCTTTCTTATTTTCTTAGCCTATTATATCATTAATAAACTTATTTGATTTGTTGACCAAAACGAAAATTATTTGATTTAATTTTATTAGGATGACATAAAACTGTGTGTACTATATTTCGATTATGATGAATAGCTTTCACGAAAAATAATTATACGGCGCATTTCTTTGAGATCTTGAGATCTCAAAAAAAAAAAAATGTTGATGACCAAAAAATAAGAACTATAGAGATCTTTTTTTGTGCTGTGTCACTTTTTTTTTTCACTCACTCGATCCAAGGGTTGTGTAACTGCTTGTTATCATTCTTACTAGCCACCTCGGAGATTTATCTTTTTCTTTCCTCGTTAATTTTTTTTTCTTTTTTGAAAAAATCTTTCAAATAAAAATCGATCGATCTAGGTTGTAGAGAGATCAGACGGTCTTTCTTGCTTGGTCCACATATGCTCTCTAGACTCTAGCTGTACAATTCGATCCAGTACTAGCTAGTTCCAAAACTATAGTTTCTACGTACTTAACTGGCCGAAACAACTGTCATTCATTATGTTTATATACTAAGATTTATCCTGTAGTACAACACGAGACAATTTTTGTTATTTTACCTTTTATGCTAAGTTTTAACTCGGAATATACCGTGTGATGTCATTTTTAACTTAAAATTTTATATTTTAATTTAACCCGTATAAACTTTTAAATATAGACAACTCTTTAACAAAAATATAATCATATTTATGTAAACTCAAACACGTTTCTTTTTTAAATAAAGAACCGGATTAAACCGAATAATTTTTTTAATTTAGATGCATGAGAAATCAATCTTTGTACACATTTGTAGTTGAGAGAATATTAGTCTTATTTATAATGGTTTGAACTATTATCTAATTTTTTATACTTTATGTAGACATTTTACATATATTTTTTCCTTTATCGATTCAGTAATATACGTTCATTTTCAAAATTTTAAATTGCAAAATATGCGGAAATTTTTTTTGTATTTTTATTATTACATATGTTATATGTAATAATATAAAGTTAAAATAAATAAGATTATATAAATATATTAGAGAGAGATTCGATTTATTAGAAAAAAATATTTTTGGAATTTTTTTTGATGTAATAAATATTTGTTTCCAATTTTGCGATTTAGTTTGATTTAATTACAAAATTTACTTTAAGTTTTGTTATTATTTAAAATGCAAATATTTTTTTTTTAAAAATTATAAACGAAAATAGATTTTAGTAAGAAATGTACTCTAAAAATGTTAAGATAGATAAAACCTTTTATTAGAAACACTGAAACGTTACATATCATAAAGTTACACATAATTTTTTAAATCTTAAATACATACGCATGCCTATAGGGTAATATCAGAAGAAGTATTAGGGTGCGGCTACGGGATTGCGACCACCACCCTGTCCACTTTTTGAAGGTCCTGCTCTTATACCCGCATTTGGATAATATATGCCCATGAGTCTCCTCCCTACATTAATAATTTATATACAACTTCAATTTGAATCAATAACAAAAAAAAATTTGTATGAATTAAAACACTAGATGTGTTAAAATGTATACACGTAAAGAAAAATAACATGCATATAATATGTAATACCTTCTAACTGGTGAGTTTTCTCCATGCTTCTTGAAGATTCTTTGCTATTTAGGGCTTGTCCCTTACCCTTTAATGCTCTTACTTTTACTTTAAAACTAGCAGGTTTGGCCGATTGGTATAGACTTCGTCCATGTGAGTTTTCGTGTGTAAGTTCTGTATTTCCAGTTTGATGAAACGAATTAACCTTTAGTTTCATATATAAAAACATTGTTACAAAAACATTTTAAGTGTTATGTGTGTCGAAACACTAACCTGTGACTGAGAACGGAGCTGACTTGCTGTGGCAAGGGAAGACGCAAATCAGCAAAAGCAGAATGACCAGTTGAGGTAATAGTGAAGAACACTTCATCACTATATGTCTCTGTCTCTCTCTTCGTTAATTTGCTCTCTATGTTTTGGTTTGCAGAGATATTTATTTATATATCCAAGTAGAGAGAAAACGTTTAAGTACAAAGAAGCCAAACCAAAGAGATAAGAACATATACAGAAGATATATTATTGGTTTGTCCATCATTTATTTCAATTATTGACGTTCTCCGAACCTCTTGTATCTTAATCCAAGTTGGACTCTTTTTTGTTCATATGGTATTTAAATATTCAGTGGTGGGTTGTTGGACTTCTTTTAGCAAAAAATCTTAAGAATTTGGATTTAGGTCATAATCCTCACAATCTTTATAGAAAAATTAATGATTCTAGTTTGTTCAAACAAAAAAAAAGGAAAATTGAAAGATTATATTTTGTCACAAATAAATATATTTTTTGTAATTTGTCTTTTAGTTAAAACCCTATTTTCGAAGAAATTTTACATTTCTGTTATTTGGCTTCTCCACATTAGAAGACATCTTTGGAGCATCAACGTCAAGGAAATCAAACAACTCATTCGTTTATTTGAAAGTTAACATAGTGTCATTATAATGTGCATGAAGGATCTCTTGGTTCTCTTTTTTCTTTTTTATAAGGATTTGGGTTCTGATATCATTATTAATTAATGAATACTACATTTTTTTAGAAAGAATTGTTATTAGATTCTTATAAAAAGGAAAAAATAAAAATTTAAAATATCCTAATTAAGATAAATACAATTCTCAATAATATATTTAGAAAATGGTTAAACTCAGTAATAAAACATGTTATAAATTTAGACTTGTCATCCTGATCCCTTCGATCTCTATTTCTCCTCTCTCAATAGTATTCTCTTATTTCATATTCAGAGATATAATAGGCAGCTAAAGTAATGCGTTTGGCCTTTTGCTAACGTTTAAGAAAATAATATTTTTTTTTATCTCAAATATATTATCGCTGGTAATAATATATAAAAAGTCAAGTCTTTAGATTTTGTCACTTATCAAAAAGAAAAAGAAAGAAAATTATTGTCGCCTAACCGGAGTCTTCGGTGGACTTCACCTTCAATTTGGACTTTAGAGCCTCAAAATTTTGTGTTCGGCGTTAAGCGTTAACTAGTTAACATTTACATCCACTAGCCACACATCATAAAGCATATCTAACCCACGATGTAATAAATGAGACATAAATAGTTTTCATGCTATACATCGTCGTCCTTCACGTTTGTCATGAAATGTTAAGAGTGGGAAAACTTAGCTTGATCGTTACAAAGACGTCGTACTTCTTCTGTGTTTTTATATGCTGCTCTTATGTATCTCATCTCAAGTTGGAGAAGTTACAATGTTGTGTTTTAAACCATGTAACCAATGTAGATAGTCTAATAGATTTTAGTTAATTTTTAAATTTTCTTTTTAAAACATGCATGTAAACATATAACTCGCTTTCACTTTATACAGACAATAATTGATGTATAATATTAAAAATTATACATAAATTTCAAAAAAAAAAAAAACTAATACATAAATTTGAATTATAGATGTAAAAAATTATCTTAGGAAAATATAAATTGGTGTGTTACGTGAAAGTTATTACTAATTTTATACATCAATTATTGTCTGCATTCAACGAATGTTATAACTTATATGTAGTTGTAAAACACAATTATTGTTTGAAGAAACTAATCATACGTACAATATCATTGATGGTGCATGCATATTGCTAGAAAGGAACGAATTGCGTTTGGATTGCGTTCCTACTCCTCCTCCGCCGCCCCCTCTCGATCCGTCGTATCCCCGTAGCTCCCATCCTTCCGTTCCCCTCTAAATCGCCTAAAGGTAAAGGTCCATAAGCCTAAGTCTGTCACCAGAAGTGTAGGACAAGATGTGTTTTATAAGTATTTGTATTTGGTTGTAACTTGTATTGACTAGAAGTGAGTCTATCTCATAAACAAATACGCAAAAAAAGTTGCAAATTAATACAATACTATATTTATCCTCGACCAAGGTTTCAAAGACTTAGGCCAACAGCCCTAGTATTTGGTAGTACAAATGTTAAGTAAAGACACCAATACTACTTATGAGGTTCCTCTCTACACAAAGTGTACGGCACATAATATTTTTTTCTTTTTCAGTCTATATATATACATATATATTATGGTTCGAGTCTTCCTATTACATATTGCATGGTTAGGTACTGCAAATGTTTTAAACAACAACAATACTGTCCAACTTTATTTATGTCGGTCTGGACTCCCAGGATCATCACTACGACGACCTCCACCTTTTTTACTCTTCGAAGGTTTTGCTTCTATGAGCATCAGTCTCCTCCCTACATTTTCATGATTATGTTATATATATATGTATCAGATTGATGAAAATAAGGATGAAAATAAGGTTCCAAAATTTTATAAAATCATTTTGAAATATCAAATAATTAGATTTTTTTTACCGTGGTAATTAATATTTCTCTTTTGTGCTTGTACACTTATTGAAGATCCTGCTATTATTCCCTCATTCGGCATATCTATGCTCGTCAATCTCCTTCCTACATTTCATACATACATATAAACACACAAAAAACAACCTAGTAGGACGTACACAAGATTAAAATACGTACGTGTAGAAATTTTGTGATATGATTTTTAGTTTTAATCGGATAACTTTGTTAATCGGAAACGCAAAGATTGATTAAATATCACCAAGTGCTAATACCTTAATTGGTAAAGATCTCTGTCAAAAGCTTAGAGATCGCCGGTTTGAATAGCGTTTGGGACGAAACCATATAACATGCTTTGGTTTCGGGTCTGAGGGGATGTATGGGTTTTATGCTTTGGTTTCGGGTCTGAGGGGATGTATGAGCTTCGGCCCAGAACCTCTTTGATTATTAAAAAAAAAAAAAAAAGATTGATTAAAAATCAACGAATATGCATACATAATATTTCTTAGTGTACGTTTCTTTGTGTATATATATATATATATATATATTTGATATGTTATGTATGTTGAGAACTTGGAAAAACACTAACCGGTAACTGAGAAAGGAGACGATATATAGGCATAGGCTAAGGCAAGGGAAGACTAAAAGCAGCAGAACCACAACAACCACATGACAAAATTGTGAAAAACATTTCATTCCCATCTTCTTATGTTTCTTACTTTGCTCCCATTTTTTTTTGGTTGTAGAGACATTTAATCTATTCAAGTGGAGAAGAAACGATGAAGTACCAAGAAGCCAACCCCAAGAGATGAGAACAAACACAAAAATACAAAAATTATTGTTATTTTGTTCGTCACTTATTTGAATTATTGACATTTCTCCTCTTGTATCTTTTGGCCTATCTTTTCTTTTCAAAGTTTTGTTAGTTTCCAAATTTTGACTCTTTGGTCAAACTATTCCAGAGGTTGGATTTATTTTTTAAGTCAAGACCTCAAGAGAGTCTTTGGCTCTTTGCAGTTCGGACTTTAATAAAAGGGAAATAGTTAAACACGAATTATTATGAATATGTAGGCTTAAATCTTTTGCAAATATATGGCTAGTAAATTTTTAAATGTTTTTATTTCGGAAGATATTTTGGCAGAAATTTATACTGTCATGTAGTCGGGTGTTTATTTTGTTTTGTAACTAAAAGCTTCATTAAGTTACAACATTTAAAAGCTATTGGGATTATTACAAATATATCATATCGACTAAAATATGCTGATGAATAGTACAAGACTCAGGTCAGGACACGCAATAACACACTTTCTTTAACTATATCCATCAGCTTCCTTCTTCGACTATCAACAGCGTCGTTAGGTTCCTTCTTCGTTATGTAAACTGCATTATGACTATACTAGCATCATATATTACTTAAAAATATATATCATATATTAAAAAATTATAAAAATTTAATTGATAAAATTAAGAAGAACACATGTTTATGAGGGGAATTGTCTTAAATACCATAAAAATAGGGTTTTTTCCAAAAAAATAATTATAAGTTTTATTTTCCAAAAATAACACTAAAATACATTTTTTTCAAAAATACCCCAAAACTAAAACTAGTTTTTTAACATTCAAAACTAATTTCTAATCCTAAACACTGAACCCTATCCATAAAAATATACCCCAAATATAAGTAGTCAACCCAAACATAAAAAAAAAAATTCTACACTTTCAAATATCAAATTTTTATGTTTATGCTATTTTTGGAAAAATTAAAATTTTGTGGTACTTTTCCAAAAAAAAAAAGTGGTATTTTTGGAAAAAAACTAAAATTATGGTATCCAAAGAAATTTCTCTTTTTATGAGAAGATATTATTTCATAAATGTATAACTTAGTAATTTATTTTTTCCAGTTATCTACTATAATTTTTAAAAATATCATAAAATTTTATGTCTGTAAAATATTCTTTTAGTTTAGAAGTTTGAATGTGTAATTTACAAAAATGTTGAAGTGTTGAGTAGAAGAAACTACGGTATATTACAGTTATTGATTATATAATATATATCGTTGTATACCCGAGTTAAAATAAATAAAAATTATTTTTAGACTATTTTTCGTACCAACGGCGATGAGGCATGTGGCAAACGAAGAGGCACATGAGGCAATAGTGGTGATAGCGGGTATGACATCTGTAGCGGTGGTTTTGCACTTATAACCCGGGGTGGGGGCGGGGCAGAAAACTTAGGCGCTGGTGGTCGCGGTTTAGGTTTTGGTTTAACCGTGGGCGGTTGATGATATTGATGATCTGGGTTACTATTTGATGGTTTTGTTCTTAGCAGCTTCCTTTCCAGCCCTACTAATTTACAATATTTTTAATGTGTTATATATTTGACATGGAGTAAAATTAAAAATTAAAAATTTGAAATATTTAAAATTGTGATAAAAATAATTTAATAGCAAAAATCAAATAAATTATAAATGAAATATTTAAAATTATGATAAAAATAATTTAATAGAAAAAAATTTCACAAAATATTATGTTGTAAAAATTGTAAAAAAATATAAATTTCACTTATTATATTAATAATATTGTACATACTAAAATTATATATTAATTCAAATTAAACTAAATACAGAATCTTAATAACACCAAAAATGATTTACCTATATTTATAAATATGAGTTGAATATTCTAAGACAGAATAGAAAACTTTAGTTTACAATTAGTAAGTAAAAGATATTATTTCTTTAGTTTTATAATTTTATAATTATTTCATAATGGGCGTGCACAATTTAGTTATTAAGTTCAAAATTAATAAAAAATAAAAAAACTGAAATTTTCAAAATTTAACAATTTTTTTAGAATTTCATACCCTGATTGCATACAAAGTACTATATTTATATGTTTATAAATGCATTTCATATTAGGTCCAAAAAAATTGCTTTTTATATATAAAAATAAATATGACTTTTAAAAAGAAAAAATTGTCGTTAAGAATTATAATAATCTTCAAGCTTGCATTTGTATTTCTAATACATTGCTCTGGACTATAAAAAGTTCCAAACTTATTTATATTGTTAAAACACTAATTATGTTCATGAGAGTTTTGTGTTGGAATAAAACAATTAACAAAGACGTGTAAACACTTACGGTGGAGATCTATGGCATCTGCAACTTCCACTTGAGATGAGACAAATAGGAGCACGATAAACAAAGATAGAAGAAGAGAAACCATTTTTGATGTCTTTGTAGCCATGCATTAAGCTAAGTTTTTTTTCACTCTATCAAAATTTCGTCATTACAAGTCCTATTTACATAGATAAGAAAATGATGCATCGTTTGATACCTAGACATTTCCATTTTGCGCGTTTTAATATTGGTTTGTCTGTATGTAAAATCATTTTGCCAAAAAAATCTTTACCAAACTAAAGTTTATATATACTCTCTCTCTCTCTCTCTCTCACACAAAGAGTTGGAACTTTATATGTTTACCACTGTTTAATTAGTAGTCAATGATTTATATTCAATAAAATGAGTTTCGTATTTAGGATAAATTAGAGTATTTAATTTAAAAAATACATTGGAAATCTAAAATGACATTTTTTGTGAAACAAAATTCTTTTTTTCTAAAATGACACTTTTTATGAAAGAGAGAGGGCGTATGTAAATACATTAAGGTATGCAATAAGAAAAGAAAAATAATTATGCATAAAAGAATAAAACAAATCATAAGTAAAGAGTATAAATAATCTTAATATTATGAAATTTTCTATTTATTTTTTAATTAAGTTTTGTGGGGCTGTAAACCGAAAAAACACAATATTTTATTTAATATTAATGTATCTTTATTATTTGCAAGTCGAAGGAAGATTCTTGTTTGACGACAAGATAGAAAAGTATATTTTTTGAAAGTGGACAAAATGTTAAGACTTGACTTAACGTATAAACCAATAATAAATATAATAATTTTTTATATTTATGAATTTTTATTTTGTTATTTTTAGGATCGTAGATCGATCAGTTTGTTTCCTTTGGGTATTTAAAGACTCGTCATGATGATGAGGGGGACTTGAAAATTGACGAAAACACATCTCTTTGGTTACTTGTTCATGTGTAATGTGTTATACTATTAACACATCTCTTCGGCTTTGAGGAAGAACCATCTTTCATGTTCACTTAATTATATGGTTTTTTAATTATGTGCCAAAGAAGTTGTGCTCACAAGTATGATTCATGGCCGCAAGCTTTTCTTTTCTTTAGTAAACTAGGAATTGTTCGAATCATGCTCGTTTTAGGATCCATCTTACTTCTTACATATCCGATCAGTACAAGAAGCAAACTGTTTAAATGCTTTAACATGTTAGCTAGTTAACCCATGAGAGAGTTAAATAGGGAAAAGATACGTAATTTACCAAAAGATCTAAAACCTATGGCGGCATTACAGGATCTTTGTGAAAAATCGGATTTGGCTCTTATAAATCCTTCTTAAGCTTCTTTTGTTGCATCTTTAGAAAACGTTTTCCACAAAAAAAAAAAGGCTAAAATCCACTGTCGTTGAAGGTTGGGGATCAATATAATTAGTTAAATTAACATGCAGCTCCTAATAAACGTAGACTTTATTGGTTCGGGCTCAAGATAATTAGTTTAAAATTACCATGCAACTCACGTAGACTTAACCGGAAACAATTGGCATTCATTGGTCTAGAGAACCTTTTATTAAAAAAAAAAAACACTGAAACGTTACATAATATATAAATCTTGAAATACATATACAGTACGTATGACTGCAGAAATAGTATTTTCTTATTTCCTACACAGAAATAATAGGCAGCTAAGTAATTCGTTTGCCTTTTGCTAACATTTATCACTGGCAATAATAATATATTAAGTCAAAGTCTTTAGATTTTGTCACTTATCAAAAGAAAATGAAGAAAACAAAAATATTGTCGTCTTAAGTCTTCGGCAGGCTTACCCTTTCAATTTACAACCCCACAATTTTTCTTTTCTTTTTTCTTAATAACTAAAAAGTTTTGAACCGAAATCCATCAGAACATATTATATGGTCTCATTCCAAACACTACTCAAATCAGCGACTTCTAAATTTTTTTTTGTCAGAAATCTTTACCAGTTAAACTATTAGCACTTCATAACCCCACAAAATTTTCTGTTGGGCGTTAAAACCAACACATAAATAAAATTTTACATCCAGTAATCACATATCATTATGCATATCTAACAATCTTTTAACTCCGGAGTTACAAGATGTTAATGAGGCATATAACTAGTTTTCATGCATGTAATACATCGTTCTTCATGTTTGTTAGATATGCGTTATAATGTTATAAATACTTTTTCCTATATAGACACAAAACTAAAACGCGTCAAATGGAAATGTCTAGGTCTCCAAACTCCGAGTTAGCTAGCATCTTCATTTTCTTATCTTATATAAACAGGTCTTGTAATGACGAAACTTTGATAGAGTGGAAAACACTTAGCTTTGATGGCTACAAAGACGTCAAGTTTCGCTTCTCTTCTTCTGTCTTTTTTTATCATGCTCTTATTTGTCTCATCTCAAGTTGGGGTCACCGAGGCCAAACATCTGCAAAGTAAGTGTTTACATCATCGTAAGGTCTCTTGCTAAAGAAAAAACATACATATACATGACAACTCCAGTTATGACCCTTATTGTTAGGGTAGCTCTAGCTTATCCTCATTTCATGCAACTTGATGAACGATTGAATTTCAAAAAAAGTAACAAAAACCAATTAATCTCTTAAATTATTTTGCTTTGTAGACCTTGTACATAATAGATTTTATTGATCTGTGTGTGTCATGTATAGCACAAATAGTATTAACTCAAAAAAATTTTCTTGGTAACACAATCTTTACATCTTGATGATATACATGATATTCATAATCAAATTATATATTATTTGAAGAAAACTAATGATCAATATTGTAATTCGAAGGGAACAAATTGCGCTTGGATTGTGTTCCTCTTCCACCTCCTCCGCCTCCCCCTCACTTCGTGCCCACACCACCAATCGTGACGCCTCCCTCTAAATCGGGAAAAGGAAAAGGACCATAAGTCAAACTAATCATCTATGGAAGTGACAGATACGAGAGGTCAAGAAAGTGATTAAGAAGAACAGTCAAGATTATCTTTAAATAAATAAAAAAACATTGGTGAAGACACCATAGAACAGTCAAGTACAGTTATATTAACTGGACTTGGCAGATATAATGTATGAGTTTTATATAAATCATGTGTACGTACTACAAATAAACCTATGGAGTACGTTCAATAATAATTATAAAAAATACTATTAAAAACATCAAAATATGTTTTATGAACAATTATAACACACTCCACAAATTTTCAAAAATAGCACCAATTGATACACTTATCATATTTTAAATAATTTTTAATTTTTTCTTAAGGGTTATAGCTATATTTGTGTAATACTTTTAAAAACCATAATTTCAGATTAAAATATATGTTAGCCATTAATATGAAGACCTATAGTATTGTAAGATGAAATTACCAGAAAAGAGTCAATTCCTACATTCACTCTAGTATTTTGCGAGGATATGTACACGCAGACTATTTACCCATGCGGCTATGCCAAATCATATAATATTTTTTTTCTTTTGAGTGTGTGCGCTTGCAAACTATGCTAACATATCATATTTCTAAACAACATGTTTAAATATGGTCAATAACCACATCGGCTTAAATTTTAGTAGTTAGCCCTAATGAAATGTGCTAAGTAATTAGACTTATATGCCTCAAGTTGGAGTCGCTCAGGCCAAAAGTCTCCAAGGTAAGTGTCTCGTACTTATATGTATATCAAAAGAACTTAACAAACCTTCATTACAAGTTTTTGATAAAATTAATTTTGATAATTTTTGAGAAATATCTCTTTTGGTGTTTCCATTTTAAAAATACCTGTTTTATCTATCTATTTTCAAAAATGTCCTTGTTTAAATATGAAAAATTATAAAGTTTTATATGCATTATAAGGTACTTTTATATAATAACTACTACTGGGAGATTCGATACAATTTCTATAATGTTTTAAAAGGTTTTAAATCGTTTTTACAAGTTTTATAAAGTTTTTAAAAGGATTTATAAGGTTTTTAAAAGGTTTTTATAAGTTATTTTTATGGTATTTATGAAATTCATATAAAAATCTAACTCACGATACTAAATAAGATACTAGTATCGATCTTGCAACCTGTGTTTAAATTCAACACTAAATATTTTATATGAATACACATCGATTTATTGTAGTGGTAATTATATATTAATAAAAAAAATTTCAATAGCCACTCGGCTATTCGTAACTATGGCTTAATATTCGTGGTTATAGCATCATAATTTAAAATATTCGTGCCTTTTTTAAAAACAATCACCTTATAGCCACAAATTTCGCGACTGCCAAATGGCGATATGTATTTTTTGACTAGTATAAATGGTATCAATCATCATATAATATAAAAGTGAAAATGATATATGTTCATAAACTGAAAAAAAAAATTATAGTATCTCAGGTAATAAAAGTGTTTCTAATTATAAAACTTTGGTAAATAGAATTTGTAATTACATAACAAAAAAGATAAAATGTTGGGAAACCATTATATTATTTCTTAAATATGTTTATCTTTTGTTCTACGATGAATAATAATACAACACATTTACATACAAAAGAAAAAAATCTCACTAGAACTAAAAATATCTTATACGTTTCATAGAAATTGCCGACGGTGGTGGAACAAAAGGTGGCGGCGGCGGCGATGGTGGAGCACCTAGAGACTTAGTTCGTGAACTGACTGATGGCCGCAATGTAATCAACTTCCTTCTCCAGCCTATTCAATTTTTAAAATTAGAGAGTCACAAAATTATGTATTTTTAACAATTCAGTATCACATTGTATCTAACAAAAGGAATCTCATTGACTTGCTCTAAGTACATATGTTTTGCTTTTATTCTAAACTCATCAAAATTTATGTTAGCAAGCACTGACCTGTTGCTGAGAGTAATTCTTGGGGAGAAGCCAGAACACTGTCGATAGAGCATGGAACCAAAATAACCACTAGAAACAAGAACACAATTCCCAAGTTTAACAGACCATTCTTTACCATAATATTTTTTTTTCTCTCTTCCTTGGTTATTCTTGTGGTTTGAGATACTCTTCTCCTACTCCAAATGCTTCTATTATATAGCCATGAAGATAAGACAATGGCTACTTTTTGGAATTTATGTTGAAAAAACTCGTTTACGATATTGTCAATGTGGGATATTTGGTAAGGCCTAGTGGGTCTAGTGGCTTGTATGATGTGTGTTCGTAGAAACAACTTGTTTAGAAAATAGTTTGACTTCTAGTAAATAGACAAAAGAAACAAAGATAATGAAGTCAAATTAATCTGACCTTTCTCAGCCACTCAATTAGGGTACAATTAGCTAACTTAAAATTAAACTTCTGAAAACAAGTAAAATATTTTTGTTTTGTTTTATTGCCTTAGAGCATGAGCATTGGAGTAATCAGTAAAAGTCCTATCTATTAAACTATTAAAACTAAAACCAAAACTTGCAGAAAAGGAGAAGGACATATACAAAATCGGGACCGTCCTTGGTTTTGTTTGTTCATTATTCGTGGGCCCCGCGACACGTGGCGGCCCACGATTGGTTGACTATTTTTTTTTCCATAAAAAATCTTAAGCAAGAGAAAAAAAAAAGGAAAAAAGGTTTGTGGGACAATTTTATCTAAATAATCCAATGCACATGGTATTAGATCTCGTCGGCTAATATAAAGTAATAGAATAATTTTTACAATCTCTGATAGGTTGACCAAATGATTTTCTATGAGATATTTTTTTTCTTTTATTTTTCATCTCTTCCATTTATGGCAGTGGTATTGTCTTTGATGGTGGCGGTACCGATGATGACAGCTGATTTATTGGCGGACATAAAGGTGGTGGAGGAGACGGTAATGGTAAATGATAACCACCACCACCACCTCCACCTCCTCCACCATGTCCACTATTTGATGATTTCACCAGTCTCATCATTCTTCTCCATCCTATTTTATTTACAATATGATGATTAGAAACACTGTGAACTGAAACTATATAAACTGTAAAAATTATGTTATATATAATCAAATATGTAAGTCGAATCCATTTAAAGGGATTGAAACTAATACGTTAAACCAAAGAATAAATAAAAAAACAATATTAGTTTATTATTTTCTAGTTTCAAACAAATGCAAACTGAAATTAAACTAAAAAAAAAACTAAAAAAAAATATCTAAAATCTTAAATTTTCAAATCAGTGTTACTAAAAAGTAAAAAATATACCAAAACCAAAACTCAAATGATGCCGATTACTCTAATCAAAGATGTATTTGGTCATACCGATTAAATTTTATTTATTTTTTCTAAAATCAGAAAAAAATACAAAAAATGAATTTCACTAAACTTTTATGTAATGAAATGGGCACATAAATTTAATAATTGAGAAATGATTTCCTAAAACTAGCATCATATACTTAAAAGTTTTATTGGTTTTTCGAAAGGATAATACATATATGCATCTCTTTATAAACTTTTTTTTGCTAGAATTCGATTAGAAAGACAACTAAAATCAATGGGGATACATGTCTCAAGAGTCAAGACTAAACCTGATGATGATTGGGGTAACTCTTGTGAAGACGCAAGAGCACAGTCGTTAGAGCATGAGAGCAAAAGAACCAATAGAGGCAAGAAGAACACAAGTCTCAAATTTGTCATCTCTCTCTCTCACTCACTTTCTTAAGTTGCTCTTTGATCCCACACTAATATATATTGTCACTATGCGAATAATTTGAAGTTCCATATAAGGACAAGTGGACAACGAAAGACGCGTTGTAGGAAGATGGTCTTTTTGGATAGTTTTTTTTATTTAAATCAAAGACGACCAAAACAAGAGTTTGACTATTAATATTATCTTGTAATATCCTAATGTTTGAATAATCGGTGGTGCATGGAAATTATCACGTCATATAAAAGTTTAATGCACAGTTCAAAAATATATTATTTTAAATAGTGAATTTGCCTACGCATGAGGATTTAATTTTAGAAATTAAAGTACTAAATTTGCAATTTTACTGCAAATTGTTTTGTCAGCAATTTTGTTATTATTTGGATAACTCAAATAACTAATTTGGGAAACATACAAAATAAAACGCGGTTTTACATAAACATTTGATTTGGGAAAATATTATTGACATACAAAATAAAACGCGATTTTACATAAACATTTCATACTAAATTTTTTGTACCATTAAACTGCAAATTAATTAAATTACGGTTTTTTGAATAACATATTGTATCATATTATAGACCTGAGGAGCTAAAGCTTTTCCACAAAGATTTTCACGACCATCATGTACACATCAAGATAAGGTTACATTGCATATCCATTTTTAACGAATTATTGTAGTACAGTCTCGAATTCATTAAAATAATCGAGTAACCAATTTTTCTTTTTCAGTAACTGCATTAAATATTATTACAGTGTGCGCAGCGGATTGCCCGATCTGTCTAGTATGGAGACTTTGTGTCACATTAGTTGCGACACAGAAACATTAATTAAAATCAAGAAAAACAAAATATGGGCAGCAGATTTGGTCTTCTTGCTTCTTAGATCTACGTATCAACCAGATGAGATGCTCTAACTCAATCTTTCATATTTTGTAAGAAAGAATGAAATGGTTGATCAGATCTCTAGCTAGAGAGATAGTTCCTACAACATTGCATTTAAGTTGATTCAGCACTCGACAATGAAAGTGGTAACTTCATTTTGATGTTCCTCTTATTTTTTATTTTTTTTGTTTTTAAGCAAATTTCTAATGAAAAACCAATTACACCCCCTATAAATATCATTATTTGATCGGTCTATATGCTAATTTAGTCAATTATCATTTGCTTACCATTCAACTTGAGGGTGGTGGTGGTGGTGATGGTGGTGATGGTGGTGGCGGTGATGGTGGTGGTGACGACAATAGTGGTGGTGGTGGCCGCGACCGTGGCCTTTGCGGTGCAAACGAAGGACTTCGTGGACTTTTTGATGATCGTACTGGTATCAACTTCCTTCTCCAAGGTATTTAATTATAAATAACTAATTAAATTTTCTTAAACGAACTTACTATATCAAGAATCTTACACGCATATCTAGTTAACTAAAACAATTCAAAATTGAAACAACACTTAAACTTATTAGAATACATATATGTCAAGATCACTAACCTGATAATGGACGTAACTCTTGTGAAGACAGAAGAGCATATTCGTTAAAGCATGAGACCACAATACACAATAGAAGCAAGAACACAAGTCCCAAATTCGAAAAACTTTTCTTTGTCATCTCTCTCTATCTCTATCTCTCGTAGTTAATTTTGTGAAACTCTTCACTGCCTCCAAAAACCTTTCTTCAAAAGCGCCTACCGTGCAAGTGCAATGAGCAAAAACAACTTGGCCTGAGACAGAGTTCACTTAAAAATATTGTTTCATTTTTTTTCTTTGAAAGAGAATGGTATACTAGTAACTAGCTAAATGAATGAATGTTCATATAACATGATATTTATAGGAGAATTTTGGACCATAATCCTAGGCCCTGAGTATGAGCAACGTGATCCATATATTATGGCCCAAAAATTAATGAGATATTGAAATTTTGAAATTTTTTCTTTTGATTTCTATTTTTTATGGGGTTCTTTTGACTTAAAATGATAAGATTATTTATGCCTAATTCTTTACTTTTCTTTGGTTTTTGATTATAAATAATTCCCTCTGTCGATATTATTGAAACTTGTCTCTTTTGTTCGTTTATAACATTTTAAAATGATATTAAAAAAGAAGATCTAAGATTGATTAGGATCCTCGTAAACCATGAACCGGTTCTAAACACAACATCGTATATAATTCTTTACTAGCTTCATTTCATTCAAAAATATTACAACACATTTCACCAAAATATAATACAGCCATATATATATCTCACTGGACTTAAAAATTTCTTATACGTTTCATAGAATTTGCCGACGATGGTGAGACAAAAGGTTGCGGCGGCGGCGATGGTGGAGCTCCTAGAGACTTAGTTCGTGGACTGACTGATGGCCGCATTGGAATCAACTTCCTTCTCCAGCCTATTTAATTGAAAATTAGATAGTTATAAAATTTATCATATTGTATATAGCCAATATATTGGTCTAAGGAAAACTAAACCAAAACAAAATAAAATAATCAGAGAAGGAAATTATCTTAAAATTACATGAGTTTTACAAATATATACTGTATTCTTTATTTTTACCAACAAAAAAAATTGTTTTCGTTTTACTAAAATAACATGAGATTTATGTTAGCAAGCACTGACCTGGGAGTAACTCTTGGGGAGAAGCAAGAACATTACTAGAAGCCAAAATAACCACTAGAAACAACAACACAACTCTCGACTTCATCAATAGACCAAGAACTTGCTATTTTTTCTTTGTTTACTTGCTAAATCTATTGGTTTCAAACTCGAAAATACCAAGAACTCAAGCTGTCCCTCTCTCTTTCTTGGCTATTCACTTATTCGTGTACCTCTTCCCTCATATTAAATGGTACTATTATATAGCCATGACCCATGAAGATAAGGCAATGACTACTTTTGGACTCTATGTTGGAAAACCTCGTTTACTATATTGTCAATGTTGGATATTTGGTAAGGCTTAGTGGGTCTAGTGGCTTGTATGATGATGAGGTTTGGCAGAAACAACTTGTTCTAGAAGATAGTTTGACTTCTAGATAGTACATATATAGACAAATTAAAGAAATAAAGAAGCCAAATCTAACCTTTTTTTCATCCACTCAATTAGTGTACAAGTCGAAGGGATTTGAATGAAATTAGGATTGGATACTTGTGTTTGTGTTTAATTACCTTACCTCGTAAGAGATTCAACGGAATGTTAGTAAAAGGAATCCGTACAACACAAAAGTTATTTCCAAGATGCATGCATGAGCACAAATGAAAGGAGAAGTGATCAAGCTTTTAAAAGTTCGACTACGAACGGTCTAAAAATGTTAAACTGTCTACTAATCAACTAATCAAATCTTTTGTTAGAGTATAGAATGACACTGGGTATTGGGATTTAAATTATTTAGATTCATCTAAGCATATATAGAGTTTAAAAATTGGGTCAAAGAACAATAGTTTGGTAGTTATCTAAGCATATATACAAATATATAGAGTTTAAAAGGTATGGAACATTTTAAAAAGACACAATTGTTAGTAAAAGATAACTATTATTTGAAGAAGAAAAAATGTAATGACAAAATGAGAACAAAATATGGTGAAAAGATACAACTCTAAATAAATAGATGCATTTTTAAAAAAAAGACGTATAACCAAAATATTTTCAGATTGTTAAACATAAAATGAAAATATTTTACTAAAATTTACAATGGAAAATGCAACAGTAAAAGATTTACGCCCATCATCAGGTAGTGCAACATTGTGTACGTTGGCATAGCTGCGAGTACACAATGTCATTTCAGCATTGTAAAATGAAATTGATACTACTCTTAATTCTTTAAATTTTTTTATATCAAATTTCTAATGAGAAACCAATCACACGCCTTAAAAATAGATATTGTAGTCTATATTCTAACTTGGCAATTATCATTTCTTTACCAATCAACTTGACGGTGGTGGTGGTGGTGGTGGTGGTGGCGGCGGCGGCGACCGTGGCCTTGGCCTTGGCGGAGGAAAGGAAGGACTTCGTGGACTTCTTGATGGGTTTACTGGTATCAACTTCCTTCTCCAAACTATTTAGTTTAAAATAATAACCAAAACTTAACTACTCTTCCATGAATGAAAGCCTTTCTTAACAATACTTACTAGTTACTACCAAGGGTCTTAAATTTGAAACAAAACAAAATTGAACCATGCACTTAAGTATGCGCATATTTATGTCCGATTTGTTAAAATCATTAGGAATATATGTGTCAAGATCACTAACCTGTTAATGAACTTAGCTCTTGTGGAGGCACAAGAGCACGTTCGTTCGAGCAAGAGACCACAATACACAATAGAAGCAAGAACACAAGTCCCAAATTTGCCATCTCTCTTTCTCTTTTTCTCTCGTAGTTAATTTTATGAAACTTCTTGATCCTCTACTCTTTATTTTAGATATACATGGTTTAAGTTCCAAGAAAATATATTTTTCTATATAGTTATCACATAAAAGACAAATAAAAAAATACATAAACAGATAAGTTTGCAATTTTGTAAATTGTTCAAAATCTAAGGATAGGGATGTTGATGAATGTGACCACCGCCATGTCCACTACCCGACAGTCTTGTGTAAATGTCTCCATTTGGCTTATACGTACTCATCAGTCTCCTCCGATCCCTAGGAAATAATCTCTATGCATTAATACTTTATACATAATGAATATTTAGTTATTTACAATAAGAAAATATCAAATATAGAGAAGTACACAGAAAAGTAAAACATATAAAAGATGAATATGAGTACCATACATACCGTGGGCAATTCCACCACGTCCGCTTCTTGACGATGGTGTTCCTATGGCATATAAAGTCAAAATTCTCCTCCCTTCATATTTTATTTTTATTATTAGTTTTTTGGAAGTATATATTCATATAAACCTGGCTCTGATACCAAATATATTACTGAAGCATAAATCTTTATCGACAGAATTATAAATATACATCTTTTTATTCCTCATCACAATACTAGAATTAAACTAAGATTTGATAACATCTTTTTATCAATGTTTATAAATGTCTAGCTTCAATCTTTTGTCAAAAAATTGATTAAACTGTTTTATTAGCTTTCTTTTTCAAATCTCATGTTGCACAAGTTGTAAAAACGTTATTTTCTTTGAATATAATTTAACATTACATTAAAAAAAAAATATTTATATAAAAAAAACTTGATATAAAGTCTTTTCATTAATCAATAACTCAAAAAATGAAATTCCCTTTAGTTACCACACTTTAAGTTTTATTTTTCCAAAATATCAATCTGTATTTTTTTCTCAAAGTACTAACAAAAGTTTTACTTTTCCAAAAATACTGTATTTTTTTTTCTAAAACTACTACAAAAGTTTTATTTTCCCAAAAATTCCAGAAACATGAAAAATAAAATTGAAAGTGCAGAAATGTTTTAGGTATGGATTGAATATATATATATATATATATATATATATATATATATATATTTAGCGGTCAATTTAGGTGTTTAAAATTTAGAATTTTTTTTAAAAAAATTAGTTTTTTAGTATTTTTGAAAAATAAAGCTGATAATGGTATTTTGGAAAATACTTATTTTAGTGGGTTTTTTTTTGTCAGCAACATGATATAATAATAAGCTTCAGTAACATATTTATTAGAGAAAAAAACTCAAAACCTTAAATCAGCGGTCGTCAGATATAGACTCAAGCTAGCTGAACAGTATTAGTCATTTTGCATTATAAAGTTTTGATTTTCAAAATAAGGGTATTGATTAATAGTATGAATCGTTTAGGACCATGTGTAGTATAAGAATGGAAAATAATATCAATATAACCAATTATATAAATAGCGAAAAAACTGTATGAATCTATTAAGAATTGGTTGATCAGATTCATATTTTTCATGAACTCTTAACTATTTACTTTTGCTCAAATATGATATATATACATGGTTTTATTTCAATATGTAGAGTAAAATTTTAAAACAAGTATCACATGGACAAATTAATATCATGTGTGTGTGTGTGTGTGTAAACACTAACCAGTTATTGAGGGTAGTCCATGATCAGCAGGCAAAGCTGATTCGGTATGTTGAAAGATGAAGCTAAGAAGAAGGAGAAGCATGAGCACACGAACCAATTTTGAAGAACTATTTTTTCCCATCTCTCTTCTCACTAATTTCTATGTTGTGCTCTTTCTCGTAAGAGACTGAATAATAATTATAAGCCGTCAAAAAGATAAAAGTTCTCCACCCACAAAAAAAAAAAAAGCTATAAAACAATTGGAAAAAAAAAAATATATATCTGCCATTCATTTCAATACTTGACCGTTTTGCTTTTTCGTGATTTTTATTTGTATTTTATTTTTGTTAAAATATTTTTTAATTGAAACTGGATTAATCATACAACAATGAAGTCCACATACTTAAAAAAAAAAAAAAAAAGGTTACTTGGAACAACATATATTGCAAATTATACATTAACATGTCTTAATTTTGGTGAATTATTACATAAGTTTGTCTACTGGCCAAGAAGTAAGGAGGAGACTAGGAGAGGAATGTGACAACCACCATGTCCACTATTAAATATCTCCACTTGGCTTATAAGTCTCTTCCCTACAAAAATTAATAGATATTTATTAATATCTATATATAACAAATATATAAAATAAAAAAAATATGAAAATATCGGAAGCAAAGTGAATAATTTGTTTTTAAGGAGGTGACTTATTATTACTAATCGATTTTTAAAAGTTATGAATTAGCTATGATCGTACCATATAACCTCGTCTACTTCTTGATGGTGGTGTTTCTGTTTAATAGACTGGTATATAAATGATGATGGTGACAAAAATAACCAATTATGTTCTATTTGAATAAGTCTATGTAATTTCATGAGACTTAGGCTCCGATTGGTAAAAAGAAAGTTTGATTGACAAAATAATTGTTGTAAACGCTTTAAATACTTTTAAAGCCTTGAAAGCACTTAATAAATTTTTCTGATTTAGAAAGTATGTATGCGTTTATATGTGTGTATGTTAAATCATTTGTAACTAAGTGTGTATGAGTATGAGTAAGAGTATTGAAATACTAAACAGTTACTGAGATTTGTTCATGATCAGAAGGCAAATCAGATTCGGTATGGTGAAAGATGAAGCCAAGAAGAAGAAGAAGCATGAGTACATGACCCAACTTTGAAGAACCATTCATTTCCATCTCTCTCTCTTTCTCACTATGTTGTCTCATTCTACTTAAAGAATTAATTAATAACACATAATTATTAATTAAATAACACAAGAATTAACTAACCCTCTTTCAAAGAATTAATCAATAAATTTGATTACTCAACTACTAAACTTATATTTATAAGTTTTAAATATTTAAATTGTTTACTCAACTTATATTTACTCAACTACTAAACTTATATTTATATTTAAATTGTTTATCAACTAAAACGAAAATGATACTTTATTTTACGTATTCTTAATTAGTCTCCTTCTGATGTAACTCTATTAGTTATTTAATTTGTTTATCAAATTTCTAATGAGAAACCAATTACTCTAAGTCTATATGCTAATTTGGCAATCATTATTTGCTTACCAATGACGGTGGCGGCGGTGGCGGCGGCGACGACCGTCGTGGTGGTGGAGGCGGCCGTCGTGGTGGTGGCGGTGGCCGCCGTCGTGGCGTTGGTGGTAAAAACGAAGGACTTCGTGGACTTCTTGATGACCGTACTGGTATCAACTTCCTTTTCCACGCTATTTAATTTCAAAAATAACCAAAAATTAACTAACCTTTCATGAATTAAATTTTCTTAAAAGTACTTACTATCAAGAATCATAGCTTTTAAACACACATAGTTTGCCAAAAACTATACAAAATTAAAACCATATTTGATAAAATCATCAGGATACATATGTATTTGGAGAGAGGGAGACACTAACCTGATAATGAACTTGGCTCTTGTGTAGACACAATTAGAGCACGTTGGTTAGAGCATGAGACCACACTACACAAAAGAAGCAAGAACACAAGTCCCAAATATTTCGAATATTTTTTCTTTGCCATCTCTTTCTATTTCTCTCGTATAGTGAAATTTTTTGAAACTTCTTTATTTTAGATATGTTTATGCGACTAAAATATCTTTTTTTTTTGTATAACACTAAAAAACTACCGACTCTTGTCGGCCGTTCATCTAGTCAAAAGAAGACGTATATAAAAAAACAAATGAAGACAAACAAACGAAGCAAAACAACGACTAAAACACACACACAAATTTTATAATCATCACATAAAAGAAGTAAAATGTATTCGATAATGTATCTGTAAATACTATGTCAATATTACATAGTTTGTATTTAGGTTTTCTTATGCTTGTATATAAATACGTTCTTATGAGTATGAATAAGATTACAACATTCTCTTCACCCTTTGAGACGAATCAACAATCCCGTAAAAGATATGTTTCCAATTTTGAAGACTGTTCAAAAATCTAAGGAGAAGAGTGTTGATGAATGTGACCACCACCATGTCCACTGCTCGACGGTCTTGTATAAATGTCTCCATTTGGCTTATATGTACTCATCAGTCTCCTCCCTAGAAAATAATCTCTATGCATTTAATATTTTATACATAATGAATATTTATTTAGTTACAATATATAAGAAAATATCAATTTTAGAGAAGTACACAGAAAGTAAAATATATAAAATGATGAATATGAGTAACAACATACCGTGACCACCACCACGTCTACTTCTTGACGATGGTGTTCCTATGGCACCATCGTGCTTATAATACGCCAAGATGCTTCTCCCTTCATATTTAGTTTTTGTAATTATTTTCTTGAAAGTAATATATTCATATAAACTTGGCTCTGATGCGAAATGACTAAAGCACGTATAAATCTCTAGGGATAGAATTATAAATCTGTTTATTTCTCATAATATACTACAAAGATTTGATAACACTTTTATCAATGGTCATCAAAACTCATTATAAAGTCTCTTTATTAAACAATATATAGCTCAAAATTTAAAATCATCAAATATAGACTCAATGGTTCAAAAGATATTTAGTCATTTTGCATTATAAAGTTTTTTTTTCAAAATATGTATAGATTAATAGTATGAAATCGTTTTGACCATCTAATGGCAATTTTAATTATAAACCATGCGGAATCGCTTCTCCTCCATCAAACTTATGGGTGATAGGCAAACTTATGGCTGATAGGCGATACAACGACGGATTGCAAAATTGGTTCGCTTCAAGATTTTAAATGGCTAAATTTTTTATTTTAAAAGTTTTTAATTCCCGCTGCACTAGTTGTACAAACGCTATTTTTTAATATAATTTAACATTATTTTCAAAAAAGAATTATAAACCATGTGATACCAAAGCTATGTTCCAAGATGAAATAATATCAATATAACCAGTTATATACATAGCAAAAAAAAGTCTATGAATTTATTGAGAATTGGTTTTACGGGGTTAATATATATATATTTTATGAACTCTAACTATTAACATTTGCTAGAATATGATATTCAATTTGTAGAGCTAAAAATGTAAAACAATTATCACATGGACAAATCAATATACATATATGTGTATGTGTATGTGTGTGTTGAAATACTAACCAGTTACTGAGAGTTGTCCATGATCAGCAGGCAAAGCTGATTCGGTATGCTGAAAGATGAAGCTAAGAAGAAGGAGAAGCATGAGCACATGAACCAATTTTGAAGAACCATTCTTTTCCATCTCTCTTTCTCTCTTCTCACTAATCACTATGTTGTGCTCTTTGTCGTAAGATCAGTGAATAATCTTATAAGCCGTCAAGACAGATAAAAGTTCTCCACCCACACACAAAAAAAAAAATCTATAAAACAATTGGAAAAAACAATCTCTGCCATTCATTTTCAATAATTGACCCTTTTGCCTTTCCGCGATTTTTATTTGTATTTTCTTTTTGTTAAAATATTTCTTTAAATTGAATGAAGTCCACATACAGTACTTTAAAAAAATTTAAAACCCTTACTTTGAACCACATATATTGCAAATTATACATTCACATGTCTTAATTTTGGTGAATTATTACATAACTTTGTCTACTGGCCAAGAACTAAGGAGAGGAACGTTGATGAATGTGACCACCACCATGTCCACTATTTGAAGGTCCTGTAAAAATATCTCCATTTGGCTTATATATACTCATCAACCTCCTCCCTACAAAAATAATATTTACTCATTAATATCTACGTATATAACGAATATATAAGATAGAAAAATATGAAAATATCGGAAGCAAAGTGAATAATGTTTTTTTTTAGGAGGTGGTCAATTATTAATCGATTTTAAAAAAATTATGAATTAGCTATGATCGTACCATATAGTGACCACCACCACCTCGTCTACTTCTTGATGGTGGTGTTTCTATTTGAGCGTTGGGCTTATAATAACGCATCATCATTCTCCTCCCTTCATTTTCTCGTAAATATATTGGTTTATGTTAGATAAGACATAGCACATTATTGCCATACAACTACATTATAGAAGACCACATATTTTGTATAAGCAAAATGGTTTAAAACGCACATATGAGCCGAAACCAAAAAAATTGTTAAATTCACCATAATATTGATTAGTTGTATGCATATTTGCAAGTGTCTCACTATGTCAATGGTTTTGGAAATAGCATCAACAAAGTGTATGTTTTGTTATACTACTAGAAAACATAGCTAATTCCGGCCATAAGAAAGCATAGTAAAATTAACCGGAATTTATATTGTCAACAAATCTATTTAAATATAAGCTAAGTGATCAATGCTTTTTTCAGATTACGGAATAAGAAACTATTTGATAGACTCGTATATAAATGATGATCAAATTAAATAGGATAATATAATATTGACAAAACAAAATATTATGTTACTATTTGAACAAATCTATGTAAGTTTCATGAGATTTAATTTCTGTGATTTAGACTGTATGTATGCGTCTATATGTGTATATGTTAAATCATTTTGTAACTAAGTGTGTGAGTAAGAGTATTGAAACACTAACCAGTTATTGAGATTTGTTCATCATGATCAGAAGGCAAATCAGATTCGGTATGGTGAAAGATGAAGCCAAGAAGAAGAAGAAGCATGAGTACATGACCCAACTTTGAAGAACCATTCATTTCCATCTCTCTCACTTTCTCTTTCTCGCTATGTTGTCTTATTCTAGTAAAGAATGAATATTATTATAAACCTCAAGAAAAAAAAAATGAATAGAAAAAAACAAATGAGAAAATAAAAATCTAGACCATTCAACTTCAATAATTGACCCTCTTGGCTCTTGCTTTTTTTTCCCTGATATTTCATTTTATTTTTTATTCTTGTTAAAATATTTTTTAATATTATAGAAAAATGGATTGTTTAAATACTGTTAAGTACAACAAAAACCATATATATATACGAAAACTAAGAAAAACAAATTAAAGACTATGAAAATAAAGTAGAGGATAGATGATTTATCACATGATAACACAAGAATAAAGATATAAAGTACATGCAACAAATTAATTAAAAGTTGGATACAACAACAACTACACAAGAACAAGATTAAAGTACAAATAATCTCATTTGTTATATTAGTAAATGTAAATGAGAGACAAGTTGTTATTGATATTTCTTTATAAAAATTTTATCCCATCACCGATCCATTTGTTTTCAAGAACCGTTATCCTCAAACCCCGGTGCAGGCGACGACGAAGACCAAGGTGGTGAATCTGGTGATGATGGAGAAGGCGACGGTGGCAAATCTCTTTTCCTAGCTCGTTGGCTTGTTGATGATCGTACCGTAATCATCATTCTTCTCCATTCTGATTATAAATTCATAATTAAAAAAAAGTTTGAGTATAACATACATGTCATTTAAAAACAAAACTTATATATAAGTATTTTATTGAAAAATTAGCATAACTTAAACGGTTAAGGCAAACCAAATTCTAAAGCAATAAAAAATTACAAAAAAAAAAAACAACCTAGTTTTCATATTTGTCTAGAACTTATGTTTTGGAGATTTCAAGGTCAGGCTACTTTTTTAATTAAATAACTTCTATATAAAGTTATAGAAATGTAAAAATTTTAAACATAGTATTAGAGTCAGCTCTTACCAATTTGTGGAGGTAACTTTTGTGGTTGTGCAGAAGCAAGATCAAAGTTGATGGAGCATGAAACCAAAAGAACCAGTAGAAGCAAAAACACAATTCCTAAATTCTTTGCCATCTTTTTTTTTTTTGTTTCTTAATTTACTAAAACTTTGTGATTCAATACTCATATTTATGTGCTCCAACGTAGACAAGTTCACCAAATCATTTATTGCATTATATCAACTAGTTTAGCCTTTTCGGGTTGAAACATTTATTGCTTACGATATCAGTCAAGTGTAGCATTTGACAAAGTCCAAAAAATTGACCCCAAAAAAAATATGAATATTCCACGACGAATATCTAAACACGTAAATTATTTATTTTAATTTTTTTCCTGAATCATATAAAAATTTAATAAAATTTATATGGATGCCTAAACCTATTATACTAGATTACTTATTCTCCAAGCTAATATATGTGTAATAACAGACAACAACAATTTTGTAGTCAAACCGTCATCGAGGTATAACTATATTCGCACTTGAAAGGAATCGATCCCTGACCTGAACCAACAACAACACTCTTGGTCTTGGTTAGTTTTTCACTTAGCTCTTTTTATAACTTTATTGCTTCATTGATTTGTTATTCGTCAATTTGAACATACTTACATTATTATGTAGTTTTAAAGTGTTGTACATAGTCTTAAATATAACCACTATAACGAGCTTTAGGCACTACATAGATTGTTCTAAATAATTTGTGGATCTTTTTAAGGAGGTCTTGAGATCCTCAAAGGCGAAAACATATATAACTCATGAAAATGTGATCAAATTACTTTTTTTGGCAACGTAGAGGAACTCTATAGTTTATGTGTATACATGTTCTTCTTTTCTTAAAAAGACTTATAAGTTTTTTGATGACCAATCTTAATATCAAACAGCTTAATAAGTTTCAGCAGATTTATACAGAGATAACAAGAAAAAGGAAGCTGCTCTCTTTCTTTCTTTCTTTCTTTCTTTCTTTCTTTCTTTCTTTCTATCTTCAGACATCTCAGATTCGTCGTAGCGAAGCCAACCTCTTCTCAAGCTCATCCACTTCACTTGTATCAGAGCTGCAAGTTATAAACTAACGGTTAGGTAACTTTTTCTACATTGTGATTTTGATTTGGACAACATGAGCTCACTTGTTAGTAGCTGCAGTAGAGGCAGGAGGAGCTGCGGTTTTTGTAGCAATCCGTCCTTTTGGTGCTGAAGATAGCTGTTTGAATAAAATGAAAGAGAAGACAGATTTTAGTTTTTGACTTACTCGAGAAACCGAAAAAGGAAGCAATTACATTGCTTTAGCGCAGAGAAACCTAACCTGAGATGCAACGCCAACACCAATCTCATCAAGAACTTGGTTAGTGAGATCTTCTGTTTCTTCTTCTGCCTCATCTTTGTCAAGTGTTTCATCAATTGCCTCTGACATCATCTCTATCTGCAAACCAACAACAAATAAGCCACATCTTGTCAACTAATCTGTACCTGTTGCTAATTACAAATAGTAAGCACTTATGCTTAAAGAGATGTATTCATTTACCGTCATGTCTAGCTGTGCTGACTGCTTCTGGAAATCTTTAATCACCTTGGCTTGTTTTGTTGGTGCCATTTGCTGAAAATATAAAGTAGGATTGAAGTTAAGTGTCATGAATCAGTATGTACCCGGTTTGGGAACTAATGTGCTTTCTATAGGTTCATCAACTTATCAATGAAATTGAGTATTGAGAATTGAAACAGACTAACATTACCTTGTTCATTGCAACCATAGCTTTGGTAGCACCTTTCATGCCAGATGAAATCGAAGTGCTAGCATACAGAGCCTAAATGAAAGTGAAGTTCATATTAACACCAGATTATTATTATTATAAACTGAACTAGTCCATTTAGCTGGTATTGAAGTTGAGGAAGTTAACCTGTGTATGAGTCGTTACACCCCTAATTTGAGCACGGCTTCCCTGTAAGTTTGTAATTTGTTGCCTCAATCGAACAAGTTGGCGAGCTAAAATCTTTGTGGCTGCCTATTTTAATCAACAGTCAAGAGATTAATCAATTAACATTAAAGTTCTTAGATGAATGAAACTGTAAAGAGAGAAAAAATGAAGAACTTGCCTCATTTCCAGTCTTAGCCGTTTTCTTGATTTCTGCAACTAGTCTCTTCTCCTAAATGTGACTTAATGTTAGTATTAGATATAACTCAGACAAGGTCACAGTTTAATCAACCTTACCTCTAGTTGAAGAGATGTAATCTCCCGTTCGATACCTGCGATGGCATCAAGATATCAAGTAAGTCACAACAATGTAAAAAGCTTAGCTCTATTCTTATAATGCTATTTGGTATAATTAGACAGAACAGAGGTCACAAAAGAGTCCCAAAGCATCATGAACATAGTATAATCACTAGTTCTTTCCAAATTCAAAACTTTTGATAGTTCTGGTGTTGCAGGGACAAGAATGATGCAGCAAAACAAGAAATTCCCAAAGAAGCTAGACTGACCAAGATATGAAAACAAACATCTTACATCTCAGTGAAATGTTAGCTAGAAAGGCTTCTTTTATATATCCACTTAGTTCTTTTACCAACCGAAAACAAAGTGATATAGATTGAGATAAAAAAAAATCTCAGCTAGAATTGGAAAGATAAACCATTCTTCCGTATACTAAGTAGCAATAGAGTGACACTGACACATATCATAACTCCAACAAAACACAATCTACATAAAACAAAAACCAAACTTTGCTAGAGATTGGAACCTATACAACATACCTCGTGTAGCCAGACTTCTAATGCTATTTGGTATAATTAGACAGAACAGAGTTACAAAAGATTCCCAAAGCATTAAGAACAGATATTAATCACTAGTTCTTGCCAAATCCAGAACTTTTGATAATTCTGGTTTTATAGGGACATGAATGATTCAGCAAAACAAGCAAATGCATAAGAAATTCCCAAAAAGAAGCTAGACTGATCAAGATACGAAAACATCATCTCAGTGAAGTGGTAGTAAGAAAGGATTCTTCAAACAGTAATATTTATGCATCCATTTAGCTCTTGTAACAACCGAAAATAAAGTGATATCGACTGAGACAAAACGCAATCTCAACCAAAATTGGAAAGATAAAGCATTCTTCACTTAATCCAATCCGTTTACTAAGTAGCAATAGAGTGACACTAACACAGATCAAAACTCCAACAAAACACAATCTACTCAAATCAAAAACCAAACTTTGCTAGAGATCGGAACCTATACAACATCATACCTCGTGTAGCCACAGCCATTTCTCTCTTACTGGTACGAAGAGCATCTGAGGAATTAGACAAAAATCCCAACTTGTCAACACAATCAGAAAACAGGATTGCAAAATTCACAAATTTCCCAATTTCGAGCTTTCCCAACACTTAAATTACACATCTGATTAAGAAATCTAACTACCCTCTTATGGATAACAAGAACCCACACAGCAAGATCCAATTTTGAACACACCAAACACTTAAAGATCCGATTTTTATCCAGATTTGAGTTTGTTCATACCATTACTCGCAAATTAGGAACAATGGTAGCAAAGTTTTCAGCTTTTGTTCTTACCTTTGGGAGTAGTCTTCTTCTTGAAGATGTTCATGACGATTTCTCTTCTTCTCTCTTCTCAATTCGAAAAAAAAACAAACAAACCTTGAGCTTCTTGTTTATAGAAAAAACCCTAAATCAGAGAAAAAGTGATCTGAGTGAGGATGATGAGAAGAGGCAGCAAAAGTTGTGCTTTTTTAGCTTCTCTCTCTCTCTCTCTATATCTCTGTGTATGAGTGTGAATGTGTGTATATGGGAATGTGTCAGAGCGTATTGGACTAAATACAATAATATCGAAAACGGTACTTTGGAACTAGCCGTTACAGAGTCTCCAGATCCTCTTAATAATGTTTATATTCCTTCTTTTTTTCTATCCATTTTCTTTAAATTTATTGTTTTCAGAACCGACAAAAACTCTTGTTATATATATAGGAAAAATTTCTGATTATGATATGCTTAACGAATTGAATTAAATTTGTTACACAAATAGCTGATTTGGGATTTTTTTGGTAAATAAGGTAAAAAAATAGGATATATCACAGAGTATAAATAAAAGAGAAATTTTACTTTATTTTGGTTATTAAAGTTAAAAGATTATTATATTTTTTTTTTGGGGAAAATATTCATTTTTTTAAGAAAAAAATATATCATTAGATGTTTAGAAAATAAGAATAAAAATGAACAGTTTTAATTTTTTTATTATCCAATGTAAAATATTTTGAAACTCAGTAGCTAAAGACTCATGAGTTTGTAGAAAATGATTTTAAGTTACATTAATTACTAAACAAAACAAAAAAGCACATGGCAATCCCAACAGCTAAAAAAAGCAACCGCTGTTTCAGAACCGAAGAGCCGACTCAAAACCGCGTTTTACATTGCAAACATCAAAATGATCAACCTACAACATTTTTGAGAACATTACAAGATATATTTTTTAAGAAAATCTTACCCTAAGATACTCTCATCGTGGATGGTCTAAAGCAAAATTTTTGAGACCACACGAGCCACAACAAGAGTTCTTTGATGACTCTATTTAAACGAGTTTAAGAACAACAAATTGGGTTTCTTAAACATTTACACCTTAAAACAAAACAAAAAAATTAACAAATGGTGTTTGGTCAAAAGGACAAAAAACAAAAAACAACAACGATTGCTCTTTTGTAATACTTATATAGATTTCATCTCTCTTGTTGAGTTCTTGAGCTCATACGAAACTGCCACATTCGTCTACACTGGTTAAACCGGTCCTTTGGTTTTAATTATTTTCTTTTGTTATAAGCGCTCTTCATATACAAATTAGCTCAATGCATAAAAAAAAGTATTTGTATTAAGGGTTTGACTTCTTCTTCAATTGCAAATTTCGACTTGCATGTTTGTGTTTACATGAATAAAAAGAAAATCACGGAAGTTTCACACTTTATTTGGGAAAAAGTTAAAAATATATCATTTATTTATACAAAAAAAAAAAAACAAAAAAACAAAAAGTTACAAGTTCCAACTAGTTCATTAATAATCACATAAGATTCACATTGTTTCAACTGCAATTTCTACCTTTAAATTTGCATCATTGAAAATTCACATTCTTTTTTTCCCAAAAATAATATGATGCGATTTTTCCTATTTTTAGCAATTAAATCGACACACTAATTAAACGCAAACGCAATCAGCTAATAGAGTTTATATTTTCACAATGTGTCAAAAAAGTCAAAAACAGGTTTAAGTTTTTGGGTAGATGAGATGAGACTGTCTCAAGAAGTAAGTTAACTTCACTGAATCTTCACAACCACCATAACCTAAAATTTACCCTCTCCAAAAAGTTAGATGGTCAGACAAAAGACCAAACACAAAACACTCAACAAAGTACTCAATATATAACACAACACTCTTTTACACAATACTTCAAACATAAAACATCTTCATATCATTCTCATCTTCAAACAATGGCGGTTTCAAAGCTCGCGTTGGCTGCTACAAGCGGTAAGAACTGCAAAGTACTCTTAGGGCTAAGATTACTTGCCTTCTCAGCCACGTTATCTGCAGCCATTGTTATGGGATTGAACAAAGAAACAAAGACTTTCGTCGTGGGACAAGTTGGGAATACTCCAATCAAAGCTACTTTCACTGCTAAGTTCGACCACACACCAGCTTTTGTGTAAGCCTCCCCTTAACAACACTTCTAATACACAATCTAAGATTTTCGAAATCTTGGCATAGCTAAAGACTAATCTTTTGGTGTTGAAAAATAGGTTTTTTGTGGTAGCTAATGCAATGGTGAGCTTCCACAACTTGTTGATGATTGGTCTTCAGATCTTTGGAGGAGAAATCGAATTCACTGGCTTTCGTCTTCTCTCTGTCGCCATTCTTGACATGGTAAACATTTTTGTTTATATTACTAATTTGCTAAGGAGACTAATTTAAGATACTAATTTATCTTTTATAATTTTATACTTTTATTATAATTTTTAATGAACTTTTTAGAGACGGTATATAATTTTAGTTTTCATGAATATTTTCATGGTAAACATTTTTGTTTGTATTACTAATTTGCTAAGTTGGAGACTAATCTAGATATAAGCTAATATATTTACTTATCATTTATACTCTAGTTATAAGCTAGTTTTATTCATATTTGAAATTTTTAGAGACAATATATCATTTTAGTTTTCATGAAAATTATAATTATTTTAGTTAACATATTTTGTCGATTTTTTTGTAAATAATAAATAAATATTATAAGTGATTTTTTATGCTAAAATAATATGATAAATTTTAGAATAAAGTTTTTTTTTTTTTGTGGAATTAGAATAAAGTCTCATATTTGTGCTGACTTGGCTTCTTCTCGTCGGAAAAAAACAGTTGAATGTGACTTTAATATCGGCGGCAGCAAACGCGGCGGCGTTCATGGCGGAGGTAGGAAAGAACGGGAATAAACACGCGAGATGGGAAAAGATTTGTGACAGATTCGCTACTTATTGTGATCACGGTGCCGGAGCCTTAATAGCCGCCTTCGCCGGTGTAATCCTTATGCTTATCATCTCCGCCGTTTCAATCTCTCGTCTCGTCCAGCCGAACAAATACTGCTCCACCACCGCATCTCCCTCCGTCGTCCCTTGAAAACATATACACGTGTGGTCGTGTGGACATGCACACGTGTTTCGTTCCCCTGTTTTAATTTTTCTTTCTTTCTCTCTTACTACTCCTTTGTTTCTTGTTGAGTGTTTTGGTGTTGTATCTCAGAGTGTGATGTATCAGATTGTGTAAGCATCTTAAGCATTTGCATTGTCTCTTCTTAGTAAAACTTTCTTCTTTTGTGTCTATACGTAAATCAATTATGATGCTTAGGGTTGGGTTTACTATAAATATATATATATTATTACGCCTAAAGCCTTAACCAAATCACTTCTGTAATTATTGAAACTTAAGGAGTTGTCAAAGCTCACCATATTGCATTAGCCACCACAAGTTGTGGAAGCTCACCATTACATTAGCTAGATCACTACTGTTCTGTTAGTTGAGATTCTTGTTGTGATATTCGTCTTTTACGAATTAGAACAAGAATCTCAAATCTTGAATTATTGGCATAATGATCTTAGCCCCACTCAAGACACATTTTGCCACGTTTCACAAGGAATTATGACATGTAGTAGTCATGTACCATAATAGCTTGTGATAGTGGTGTCGTCGTATGAACACCCTCAAAAACATGAATAAAGTATGTTATTGTAAGAAGAAGAAAAAAAATGAATTACAACGATCGATCATATTTACCATATTGTTTTGTTGAACAATGAATATTATAAACGTACAATCATTCTTATAAAACATTTTCATACTTTTTGCTAACAAAACCAGAAGCTAATTGGTTCTTGTCATCAACCAATACATGAATATCGAAACCCATAAGATCATCTCTTATGTCATGGTCATGCTCAAATCATGAAGCTATAATTCGAAAACTGGTTTAGGTAAGAAGTAGAATCCCAACGTCAAAAACACATCTCTTCTCCAACATCAAAGATCACCACTTATATATAAGATTACTCACAAACCCCATAAACACACACACACACACACACACACACACACACACACACACACACACACACACACACACAATCATAAACACTAGAGCCACCAAACTAAGCAACAATGTCAAAAATCTCAAAGGCTTCTTCTCTCTGTTCTCTCCTCCTCGTATTCTTCCTCGTCAGTTCGCGACCCGCACTCTCACTCCGTGGCCCAAAACTTCAATCAGAACCAAAATCAGCTCAATCCCTAATGGATGAATCGTCTTCAATGAGCAAGATCGAGTCCGGAAGTGCAAAGTCCATTGAAGGATTCTTCAGTCACATGTTTCCATTAAAGGGCTGGCCTTTCCCAAAGTACCCACCTTTCACAATGGTTAACCCTAATATTCCAACAAACCCATCTGGAGCTCAAGAGGAAACCACTAAGTTACCTTCTTCCCCAAGCAAAGGCGACAAAGAAGGAGGAAACGCTTGAAGATTGGAGTTTATTACTTGTGTTACAAAACATTTCTATGGTTTTACATTGCATTAAATAAAAAAAATGTATCTTTAACAACTGAATGGTAATAGAAAAATATGTTTAATCTATATCATTAGCTCAAAGCTATTTTCTCTATGACAGTTACAGGAATGTTAACAATGTGTCCTCTGTTTCCAAACAATCCAATTCTGCCAAAACTAGAACTAGAACTGTTCTTTGTCGCGTTGAGCGTTACGCTAAGTAGTTGAGTTTCTCCCATGCCTATAGAAAACATATTAGGTGATACTTTCATTGAAACACCATAAGGAGGACTCCAACCAACATTGTATGTCTCATTTCCGGCTATGCTTCGTATCGATCTTTGGAAAGTTTGTGTGCCACTAAGTGTTGATACTGTAACTGATGGCAGATTTAGATCAAAACCGCTGATTGTTGCGTTGTTCGCAGAACAATGAAGTCCAGTATAGTTAAATACCACTGGATCCGAGCCATTGATCCCACATAGAAATGACATATAGTCATCAAAACCTACATAGGGGAAAAAGTATACATTTTTGAACTTGACAAGTCAAAATTTTATTACTTGTGTGGTTCAATTTCAATACACACTTACTTGTATCGAAAATTAGACCAGGGTCTAAAGCTGCGGTTGCATTAACAAAACCGCTTCCCATATCAAACGGCGTTGCGGTATAGAGGCTTTGATCGGGGTTGGAAAAAGATCGCTGAGCCATTATCGGACCGCCTTTATTGTCGTCAAGAAGAGCGGTTGTGGAAAGCGCGGATGCGATTTGTGAAGGAGTGAATTGTGGGTAAGTTTGTTTGATTAATGCAGCCACACCAGCTACATGAGGAGCAGCCATGCTTGTACCAGACATCATAGCAAATTTCTCACCTAAACATAGCAAAAAGAACAAAACTTTAAAATTCTAAAGTTACTGACTTTATAGAAAAAATCCTCTGTTTTGATGACTTGTATATAGCTTCACCTTCAAACTCGGTTGAATCCGTTGAAGCGGAACTCCAAGCACCCCAAATAGAGTTTCCAGGAGCTACGAGGTTCGGTTTTAATATGTCTGCGTCGTTAAAAGAGTTGTCTTCTGGATCAGGTCCTCTTGCTGAGTAATACATTACCTTAGGAGCTCTGTCACTGAAGTTAGCATTTAAACCTCCTTCAATGGCTGCAACTGCTCCAAAACTAACAATTTCTTTAGTGCTTCCATCTCTTTGAAGAGAAGTGTTATAGTACTTGAGTAAAGTCTGCAAGAAAAACATATCTTTAGAGCATTAGAAACCATTTATAAACATTTAACAGTATGGTTTTGTTTTCTTACTTTAGAATCTTCTGCAGATGGAATTATGATTCCGGGCATATCCATCGGCGTTGGATTGATCTGAAAACCAAGAACATAAGGGTCCATGTAGAATACAACACCGATAGCGGATAGATTCTTGGCAACGTCTAAAGCTTGTTTGATAGTCGAAAGACCGATAACAAAGCGAGCAGAGTAGCTACATATAAGAAGATTCCCCGAGACAAGATCTTGATCGAAATTTTCATAATCTTGACAGTCACCTACATACATATCATTATCTACAGAAGTACTATTGTTCACGGCATGAAAAGCAGATATCATCTTGTACATCTTTCCATCATCAGTAGGAACTGTAAAGAAACAAATTACAGATCAGTAATCTTCGATTTAAAATCGTCGAAAGTTTATAATTTGAGATAGTACAAGGACTTACTTGAAAATCCTATGCCTGGAATAGTTACATTGTTTCCTAGGATTAAGGAATTGGAGTAAACTCTATCATGAGAAGATGCACCAACTGTGAAAATCCAAGGACTAAAAGAAGACATGCTTTTAGCCGCTGGACCGGTATTTCCCGCAGCTTGGACTACAAAGATCCCGGCTTTTACAGCGGAAAGTAACGCCATATCTATAGGATTAAAGAAAGTGGCAACACCAGGAGGTTTTCGATTCGGTGTAATTGATAGACTTAATATATCTACTCCATCTTGAGCTGCCTAAAAAAATTCACAACCATTCTTAAAATTGGAAAGAAAAATCTAAAATCTTGAATCACATTTAGTTTCTTGATTTGCAAACCTGATCTATAGCTGCAACAACATCTGCAGCAAAACCTCCAAAGCCTTTGTACAATGCCTTGTAAACAGAAATACTAAAATAGAAAGAATCAAGAAACATATAAAGTTAGTTTGTGAACTATTTTACCATTGATCTAAGTTTTGTTGTTTTACTTACAATGCACGAGGAGCGATTCCACTAGCGTTACCAAAGTTATGATTAGAAACTATCACTGGAACGCCGTGGTTACCCGCTGCAATCGAAGCTGTGTGTCTGCATATATAATCCAAAGAAACAATCTTTAAGCTTCAAAACTCTGTTTCTAATATGATATACACCAATAATTACACTTACGTGCCATGACCATCTCCATCATAAGGAGAAGCGTAATCTTCAGATGAGTTAAAGACTCCTCTTGTAACAGCGGATTGCGCGAAATGCCTTGCTCCAATTAGCTTTCTGTTGCAAGAACCTGATGGAAAATCCGGTGTAACTTCACAAATACCTGAGAAATGCTTAGGAGTTGGATACGAACGCCGAGAGTTAGAGTCGTTGTCATCGAAACTAGGATGCTTCGGATCGATCCCAGTATCGATAAAACCGATAACAACTCCTTCTCCAGCAATCTCAAATCCACCTTCTTTAACCCATGCTCCTTGTGGTAAACCCATAAACTGTGGAGTATAAGTTGTAGCTGTCCTAACAGAGTAATCCAACACTATGTTTGCTACTTCTCTTCTCATTGAAAGCTTCTCAGCCTTAAAGAAACAACACAAAAACTCATTACCAAGTACTCAAAGATTATTTCTACAAAGATCAAGAACTCATGTTTCATTATATATACCTGTTGTGAACTAACAAACAGAGCAAATCCATTGATTAGATAATGGTAACTATAAAGCTTAATATACTTCTCTCCTTTTAATGTCTTTCTCAAGAAAGAATCATGAGATTGAGCAACAGATGGTATCTTTGACCTCCCATGACGTTTCCTTGAATTGTTCCTATACAAAAAAGGGTATTAATAAAACTACACAGAGAGAAGCTAGTGACAAGAATTTGTCAGTACTAACCTTGGTTGCGGTTTTGGTTTTAGTTTAGACTTTTTGTGAGTCTGTCTAATTTGTTTAAGCTCTTGTTCTTCAAAGAGATGAACAAGAGGAGGTTGTTTAAGTGTGACAATGTACACAGCAGTATCATCATCATCATCATCATCATCTTGTTGTCCCAAAGTGGTATTAGACAAAAACCCAAAAGAGATCACAAGTAATAAAAACCCAAACTTCACCAACATTTTTGTCTAGCTACAATCTAAATCAAGAAAGTGGAAACACACACAAAAGGGTTTTTGATCTAACACTTCCCACAAGGTTTTATACAGAGAATGTATTATTATATAGTTATAAGTTCATAAACCCTACCAACTGAGAAAGAACAAAAACAAAAGATAAAAGAAGAAACCCATTAAAGCATATTCATGGTGGAAGTGCCAGAGAAACCCAAAAAGGAGCTGCCTTTTTCGTGTCGGAAGGTCGGTGAAAGAAGAAGAGTGCGCATTTATATATATATATATATATTTAACAACATTAACAGAGAAAGATATATACATGAAAGAAGAAATAATCACGAGGATCCAAAAATGGTGAGAGATGGATTTGAGTGGTTACCACGTATTTGGTTCCCACATGAATAAAAAGGGAAGAGGAGGAGAAGAAACAACAACACTCATAAGTGCGATCGAACTATAAAAGGAGTAACCTTTTTGTTTCTTTTCAATTATTCAATGTTTCTCTTTTGTGGATCGTCAATACTCAATACTAAATTATTGTACTTTACCAAAATTTTTATTTATTTAAAAATCAGTTAAAAATAGATTAAATGTTTAAAAGCTTAGAAATTGGCATTTTTTTTTATTTTTTAGGTTTTTAGAATTGATGTTTTTAGTGGTTAGGATGTAAAAGCTTAGTTTTTTTTTGTGTCTAGGGTTTAAAATTTTTTGATTCTATGATTTTAATTTCAAACTATTTTGCTAATCCGTTACGGAAACTAATGCTAATTTACTATAAGAAGTTAAAAATTCTTAAAATACCATATAGTTTTAATTTATGGAAATTTCTTAATAATTTAGGAAGATACTCTAAATTACTTATCAATTTTTTATACTAAATTTATTTTATGATAAGCTTTCCCTTACGTAAATATGTCCCATTTTATAAAATTATAGTATATATTTAAAAGTAAATTTCTTTCTGTGATGTTTTAGGCTATTTTTTAATTTCTTAAATTATTTGTTTATAATTTTAATATCGTAAGTTATTATTTACTTTATAAATCACATGTTTTAATTTAAAATGTTTGAAAAGTCCTCCTAAATTTACAGACTTGCATCTTTTTTTTTTCCAAATATCTTTCAATGTAACTGTTAATTTTTTTAAAGCCAATAATTTATGACTTTAAGAAAATTTAAATAACTGTTTATTATTTTTAAGTAATTTTTCTTACAGCACTTTTGTAAATTAACAAAAATATATGGACTTTATTTTTTGTGATATTTTAGGCTATTTTCGTAATATTCAAAAGTATTTGATTACAATTTTGTATTTTTGATATCGTCGTCTAACTCAGCCACACAAAACAATATTGAACGAGATAAGAGCGGCCAAAACCACCGAGTCACCACCGGAATCGTCGTGACTCGGTGACACAAATCGTTTTTGTAAGAAAATGGCATTTGCAGCAGCATCAACTCCATTTTCACTCTCTTCCGTGGTTCCCACGCGCCGTCGTAGCTTCCAAAAGGTTTCGGTACCTCGAGTAAGCGCCAATCTTTCTCCGGAGGCCACTCCTCTTCTCCGAGCAGCCCACCACACCGTAAGGGTTAAACCGGGGAAAAAAATTGAATCTTTATAAATAAAAACATCAAATTTATGATCAATTGAGAAAAAGATTGTTCCTTGGAACCCAATTTCAAATGGGTATCGTTTGAATTGTGCTAAAAGTTCATAAAGTTGAAGAAAGATTGATACTTGATTACAAAAATTTGTCTGGTAAATATGTTGCAGGTGGATAATTATGTGAAGAGTGGGATGGTTATTGGTTTAGGATCTGGAGATGCTTCAGATATGGCTATACGTTATTTGGGTCAGCAACTTCGTTCTGGTTCTTTAGAAAATGTTGTTGGTGTACCAATGTGAGTCTTTTTTTATTCTGTCTCTGATGTTTGTCTTCTTAGAATCCAATAAAGAATCAATCTTTTTGTTTGTTCAGTTGTTGGGTATCTATCTCTCTATTCATTAGTTCTTGGATCATGATTCTACTGCAAGTTGAGTTTTTTTCATGCTTCATGATGATTAGACCTTGACCTTTGTGTTCAGGTCTGCTCGAAGCGCGAGTGAAGCAGCAAAGTATGGAATCCCGTTGAAATATTCCCTAGATGATTTTCAGGTAGTCGCTTCCCTGCGTTTTCGAAACCGGTTTGATCTATTCTGTATCCTGGGGTAATGTTTGCGGTGTGGTTCCTTTGTAGATTGATTTTGCATTTCATGATGCTGATGCTGTAGAAGAGGGTACGCTTATCGCAGTTATTGGACGGAGAAGAAGTTCACAGGAAGATGACTATATTCTGAAACAAAAGGTGAGTAGTTCGTCTAAAATTTGAAGTTTGATGATAAACTCATTGGTTGGCTGTGAGCTTACTAAGAGAGATTGACAATGCAGTCTATTGTAAAAGCAGCTAATGAGGCAGTCTTCCTGATAAAGGAAGAACAATACAAAGCTGGCCTTGAAGGTTCTATTCCTGTTTTAGTTCAATCCGTAAGCAAATTTCTACGGATGAAGTTTGTGTTAATCCACTAGTGAGGGGATACGACTCAAAACACGGAAATTCAATTTGACGCAAGAAAATTTTGGGTGCAGCTTAATTGGTTAGCTATAGCTGAGGAGATAGATGACTTGTATCTAGGCGATGCAGAGGTATGATGTCAGTTTGGTTCTTTCTCAAATGTTTTCTCAGGGTTTTGGTTCTTATAGGATTGTGTTATTGCTCGTCTGATTCATTGTAATTTTCTTTGTATATATGTGTAAAAGGTGTGGAGAAGAGCTTCCGTAGGAGATGCAGGGCCTCTTGGAGGAGATTTTCCTATAGTAACCAGTGATGGTCATAACATCCTTGATGTTATATTTACAACTCCAATTCCAAGTCTCGGTAAAAGCTTTTACTCCAACCATTAAAACTTGGGCGTGTTAGTGATTGATGTTATATTTGTTAATCAATGTGAAAGTCTGCAGCTAACGTGGCTGAAAGCCTGGAAACAATTGATGGCGTTGTGGACCATGGACTACTAATCAAAACTAGGTTAGTTCTAGATCCATGATTGGTCAAGTTTACAATGTAGTTGATGGGGTCTTAAGAATCCATTCTCTGCTTTTGGCATTACAGATGCTCGGTGGTGATCGCAGGAGAAACTGAAGTAAGAACTGTTACCTTGCAGACCAGTACAGTGGAGGGTGGTGTATAAACCAGAGATAGACTCTACTGTTAGTCTTTTGTTATGAACATAACCGAGCAACATAGCCTAGTGTGATCGGAACGAAATTGTCAGTCAGAACCATAAGAAGCCTCTTCTACAAATTATACATTCAGTTCATAGAGCAATGTTGTAACTCCTTACAAGGTCACTATGTCTAAAATCAGTAGCTTCTTCCATGAGAAAATCACCAACATGCAAGCTCGACGTCCTTGGAGAACAAAGTTATGACTAGCCGAGGGGTCTACTCGGTCCTGTGGATGTGATTTTTGTAACTGACGCAGGTGTGAATTCGGGTATAAATATCTGAGACTTTCTCGAGTTTCACTATGTGTAGCCAAACTTATATATTATCAGATTAAAAGGTATTTGGAAAATTCAATTACAAAGCATACACTGTCATCATCTCTGCAGAAAAGAGTCATTGGGTTTGAGCAGGAAGCAGAATAATTACAGTGCAGAACGAATATAGAGTTTGGCTCAGGCATCTGCGTTGTTGATTTGGAACTGATCTGTTAGTCCAAAGTGTGCCATTAAAAGCCACACAAAGTTTATGAGCTCACCGCCTCTGCTTAGTTGCTCCACGTGAGCCATGGAATCGCAGTAACAAGCTGCATAACAGAGAAGTTCCACCCACACTTTGCTCAGTATCTCCCATTTGTTTATGCTGTACCTCAACTCCAGATGCATAAGGTCTTTGGCTAGCCTGCTTGCGTCAAACAACACAGACTTGCTTCCGTCTCCTTTCACTTCCATTGGATCAGTATCACTATTGACGTTCAGAATATTAATGGTGGCTGTCTTCACACTTCTTTTGTTCTCGATATGCCTCCTTTGGAAAAACATTTCAGCTTCTGCCAATGTGTCTCTGAATACGATCTTCCCATTTCCAGCAACCTTGGACATCAGACCAGGTTGCAAGATCAGAAGATACATCATGTAGTCAGAGATGATTTTGCTTAACTCGCGGTAACTGTAATGCTCACATTTTTCTTCATCCTCAGAGTTAGTCTCTTCTTGTTGGTAACAGAGTTCTGTTGCGATGTGCCACATCAAAATACTCTGATCATAATCCACGTTTGTAATACAACGCAACAGTTTCTCACAGTCTACATCCTCAGGGAGGTTCTCTCGCAAAGTCCATTCTCCCCGAGCTAAAGATAAGCTTTTGGCATTTTCAGGATTGTCTCCAAACTTTGATTTGTATTTCAGCTCATTGAAAATGAGCACCCACAGGTGTTTCATCATGGGTTCTCCATGTACAAATAACATCTTGTGGACTGTAGCAAGTGTATCCGAGATGCCAAAGAACTCACCAAGGACATCGAACACAGATTTGATGAAATGAGGGATGCGGGATAGAAACTCGAAATAGATAGGGTAAATAGTACTACGAGCCACAGGATGATTTCGTGATAACTCATTGACTCTGTGGCTGATCCACCTGTGCAAACCATTAATTAACTTGGCAATCCACATAATAAACTTTTGGATGATGAACATGAGTATCTCAAATGGTAGAGCTATGATGATACATGAGTAGCGGCTGAAACTATCTCGGGCGTCATGGATCCTCTTTACCTCTGCTTTTGTGGCATATGCTATAAAGTTGAATACGTTGATGCTTCCACTCCACCTCCGGAGAAAGAATGGTGTCACGAGCACGTCATGCTTGTGTTCCATTGAACACTTATCTTCACCTTCCTTGATACACGTATGCAGACCTTTCTTGTGACATTCTTGTGGTTTCCAATGCAGCTTTCTAAAACCAAGTAACCAGTTGAAATATCTCTCTTTCAGTGTTTGAGGCTCTTTGGGGATGTTCTTCAAGCTACTAAGTGCAACACATGTCCAGTCTGAGAACATAAACAAGATGAGGGATATGAAATCCAAAGCTATGCCAACTGCAAACAGCATGTAGGTAACGACAACATCAGTTCCATGAAATAGTTTGTCTTTTTTGAGTTTCTTATCAAAGAGGATGAATGCAGTCACTAGGGTGCCAGAAGCAACGATGCGTGAGGAAGCTCCAAAAACCGTATAAAGAACTCTGATCTTGGTGAATAGAGTATCATAGAGGAAACCAAGTTCAATCTCAATGATCCTCAAAGCTTCGTCTGGAGTCTTCAAATTCTCAAAGATCTCTAGGCTCTCGTCACGCTCCCTGAAACTGAACTTAAGGTTGACTACAAGACCCTTGAATGTGTTGAAGAACTTGTAAGCATACTGAGCAATCTCAAGATGAGTCAAGTCTTCTCTGTTCTTAGAAGCTAATGATGGATGCTCTAACAACTTCTTAGGCCTATATTCCTTGTTATGTTCATCAATCAGAATCTTCTTGGTGGGTAGTCTTGCCTCTTTCTTGGCCTTGTAGTCCTCCATGAGCTTCGCGTAGTTTGGTCCTGGATCTGGTGCTTGAATAATAGAGTCCCTAAACTTGTCAAAACTGGCACCAGACAAAGCCATTGTCTTCTCCAGATACTTTATAACCCCAGAAACAAACACTAAGACTATAATCACCCAAAGGCTATTGGGTAGAGACTGGAAAACCACATAGCCACCTGCAAATACCTGAAAGACAAGCCCAAAGAGATGTCTGAGCCAGAGAGCGTTATCTTCAAGCGTCAAAGCTGTGATTGTGTCTGCTCCACCAAGATGCAAGAGCAAGAACTGTGCCCATAAAGCCATGAGCTCTTTTCCATGTGGAGGATCATCTGGTTTGAGCTCTTTACCTTGATTCTTAGAGATGAGACCAACGGCGAAGATAGCAGACCAGTCTGCTAAATGATAAGATGAAAAAACGAGCATGATAAAGAGCCTTGTTGGTGTGCGTTTCCTTAAAGGAGAGAAGCAAATGAGAATGAGTTGAAGAGTAAGACTTAATATCATTACTCCTCTTATGTTCCATCTATCCCACACTTTGATGAGTTCTGGTACTAGTTCCAACATTTTTGCTTTGAGGAAAAGAAAAAAGACAAAGCTTCTTCTGTTATTGATGTTTTTTTCTCAGATTTACTTGAGAAAATTGAGTGTTGATGTTGTTTTTGTGAAGTCGTTGCTTTCGACAAGTCATCGTTCTTATTAAAGGTACTATGCACTGGACCTAATTAATATTAAATGATCTTTGCTTGACTCATTTTGCAGACCACTGCTGACAAAGTGCAATGGAGGATAGTATGAACCAAAGACTTTTTCTCGTTCATATTAAATAACCGAGAAACATAGTGAGATTCAATACCAGTCAAAAAACCCTTAGAAGTAGGCCAGGACATTCGGTTAATCGTTCGGTTTTGGTTTAGTTCTGCTCGGTTTCGATTAGTTTGGGTATGATAATATAATAACCATTCGGATATTTTAGAAATTTATGTTCGGTTCGGAATAAATAACTGTGATTAACCAAAATTTTATCGAGATTAATAAAATTCACCCAACATAACCAAAGTTAACAGCATAAAACCGAAAGTAACCAAATATAGACGATAACAAAATACAAAAAAAAAAGAGAGAAAAAAATTAAAAGAAAACTAATATTTGTTCAATTTTACAAAGAATATTATAACTTTGACAAAATATACTAATAACATTTGGATATTTTGATTATTTAAAGTTTTGAACTGTTTTTAACACATAAATAATTAATATTTTTGAGGTTATTATTACAGTTTTGCATATATATTATCTTTGGGTATCTTCTAGATTTTCCGATATTTAAGTTAATCGATTAAGTATTGGTTTAGTTCGGTTTTCGATTAGTTTGGATATTGTATGTCACTAACCATTTGGTTATTCAAGAAACTTCGGTTCGGATACGATTTGGGTTTTTTGGGTTCGGTTCAGTCGGTTACCGGTTATTTTGCCCAACCATAAAATTTAGAAGCCTCGTTTACAAATTATACATTCAGTTCATAGAGGAATGATGTGTAAACCTCTACAAATTCACTATTTTCTAAACTCAGTAGTCAGTAGCTTCTTCCATAAGAATCACCACCAACATGTAAACTCGACCTCCCGGGAGAAAAGTGTTCTGACTAGCCGAGGGGTCTACTCATTCCTGTGGATGTTTAACTTTGTAGTAAGTGAAGTGACTCCTATAATCCAGATCAAATAAAATTGTACTTAGCCGTTGGTTTCTTCAAACAAAGATTAAAAAAAAATTATTCATCCAATTTCAGAAGCCAACAGAGAGGCAAGACATCATTCTGGGAGGAAGACTACGTGGTCATCATCACTTTACAACCAAGGTCATCAAACTTTCGGCAGTTAAAGGCGTATGAGAGTTATACGTAAGTTAAAAGGCTTCACAATGTGATGATTCTAGGTGTTCATATCAAAATGAATTCTTCAGTATTCAAATAAGATAATAACAAAGTTCCAAAGAAATCACACTCTGAGGAAACAGAAAAAGAAAAGCAATTGAAAACAAGGCACTCATCAAACTTTGCAAGCTCAAATAACATCAGCAGGCTAGTGGAGATTGCGGCAAAATTATGGAGTTCAGTTACTAGTCACTACACTAGGCCACACAAGTCGGAACAAGTTCAATTTCAATCAAACGACACATCATGACAAGCTAGTAAACAGAAAAAGAAAAGCAATTGAAAACAATCAAACTTTGCAAGCTCAAATACCATCAGCAGACAGTGTAGATTGCAGCTAAGTTATGTAGTTCAGTCACTAGTCAACACACAACACAAGGCAACACAAGTCGGAACAAGTTCAATTTCAATCGAACAGCACCTCATGACAAGCTAGTAAGCTACGCATTACTTTGCAAGCTAAGCAACCATCAGTATATATATAGGCTAGTAGCATAGAGTTCAATTTCAGTCAAACAACTTAAGACTAGTAGAGATACCAGCTAAGTTTAGAAGTTCGTCACTACACAAGGCCAAGCTAATCGAAACGAGTTCGATATCAATTTAACGACACATCATGGCTAAGCTACACATATAACTATGCAAGCCAACCATCAGCAGATTATAAAGGCTTAACCAAGTATTTAATAACATCAAACAACTTTTCCTTGAAAAAGTCCCAAACAGCTAACCTAATCAATGTTGCTGGTTCTGGTGATTAGGCGGAGGAGGTGGCATGCGAGGAGCAAACATCGGAGCACCACCAGGCGGAGGAGCCATTCCAGGGCGAGGCGGAGGCGGTCCTTGCATCCCATGTGGTGGAGGAGGTCCTCTCATCATACCACCAGGAGGAGGAACCATCATTGGCCTTTGTCCACCATACTGAGGCGGTGGTGGACCAGGATACGGCGGTCTCATACCATAAGGTGGAGGAGGACCACCTTGACCAGCAAAAGCAGGTGGAGGCGGTGGTATTTGTCCCGGAGGTCGAATAATCTGCGGTGGTCTAGAGATCTGAGGCTGCATCATTCCAGGAGCAGGTCCACCAATTCCACGAACAGGACCAGATAATCCAGGCTGAGCTTGTACCAATGGACCAGTCGGTACTCCACGTCCAGCAGCACGGCCAATTCCGGGACCAGCGACGGCGGTTGCAGATCCTGATTTAGCGCGAGATTCTTCCGGCGGTGGTGGACCTTCGACTGTCATCGAAATCACTTCTTCGCCTCTAAGTAAAACCAAACCAAGTGTACGACGCTCTTCTCTTTCTTCGTTCGTCTTCTTGCCACCTTTCGCCGGAGGAAGTTTCCGAAACTCTTCGCAGTCGCCGAGAACGAGATTCATGTGACGATCGAACGCCATGAATTTTCCGATTAGTTGTCGTCCGTCTTGGATCGTCACTCGCATCCTGTAGTTGATGAACTGAAGCATCTTAGAACTCTTTGACATCGACATTTTCGCCGGCGACTTGAATACGCCGGAGAATCCAAAAAATAGATTTGGAATTTGGGAAGAGGGAAATATCTAGGGTTTATTACAAGAAAGAATAAGAGAGAGAGATACTTATATTGGGCTTTGTTTCACTTTTGGGCCTAGTCAAAATGGATTAGGCCTTAAATAGGTGAAAAGCCTACAAAATCGATATACTAATTTTTGTAAATGATATTCAAATATATAATGTTTCCAATGTAGCTTCACAAAAACTCATCATATACAACATTGTATAAAGATATCTAATTGTGATATGGTTTCGATTAGGTTCATAGATTTTTGCACAAAATTTGGTATAAAAATTGTTGCAGGCTCAAATATACTCATATGTTCAAAATATACTTAAAATACATATTCCAAAAGCTCATAAGATCAAAGAACTGTAGTTTCAACCTCTTATAATGCTAGTAAAGGTCTCTGAACATAGAGCCACAAAGAAGTCTTTTTAGCGGTCAACAACAGGTACAATTTGACACATGCTAGATCGCTTAGGCAATGCAAGGAGATCATCCAAGTCGATGGGACTATTCCGATGTCGCACGGTACAGCTCAAGTGCACCACCAGTTTCTTGAGAATGACCGCGTTCTCTAAAAAGTACTTTGGAACTTCAATGTTAACAGGCTCTCCATTGTAAATGCGTATTATCTTTACAAACTCTAGTGATGACAGCAAACAATGAGGCACCGAGGCGAAACTTATTGGAGCTATCAGCGTACTATAATCGATATTCTGCAAAACACACACTTAAGGTTAAAAAGCATAATAGTTATGTTAAAACTCTAGCTTTGATGATGCAAGTACTCACCATGACAAAGGATTTTAGATTCGGACAGCTTTCAAGAATCGTTGACAGGATTTTCGCGCTGGAGAAAAAGAATTGTGCTTCCAAATAGGAGAGGTTGCAAAACCGCGGTGCTGATTCTTGTGTTTGGAAGTAGGAAGTGATGCGCTTCATAGATAAAAGAAAAAGGAGATAAGAATTTGTGTATAGGCCAATGTATATATATATATATAAATATGACTATCAAGACGTACCTCTAGAGCACTGTGAGAGATTTTCATATCTCTAACTCTCAAGATACCAGTGAAGAAGTTACATGCCATTTGGTTCACTGGTAAGCCAACTTCATCATCAAGTTGAATATCAAAGTAGCCAGTGATTTCGACTTTGGCTAAGGAACCAGAAATGGTTACGACTTTACTCGCCGATGGTTCTTTTCTAAATGTCAAATGCTTGAGTCTAGGTGCATCAATCGAAACTCCCGAGTTCAATCTATCAAACCCATAAAGCTCAATTTTATGCTTACCAAAATCAAAGGCTACTCTTACACTTGTTAGTGTCTTAGAAACCACTCTTAAAACATCAACATTATCATCTACCTTCCTAACAATGCTCAAATCTTCAAGAACAGGGCAAGATGAGATAAGCGACTCTAGACACTTCTCATTGGCATAAACATTTTTCTCTAAATGCATAGTCTTGAGACAGGGTATTGAAACAGACTCAAAACCAACCAAGGATACACAATGGAGTCTTAAGTAAACAAGCTTCTGACTAAAATACAGGCTTAATGGCATCACTTCCAAACACTCACGCTTCACAAGTACACACTCAACATCAAGATGCTTAAGTTTATTCGTAGCAACAAAATCAACCCAACGCCTGACACAAGACATGTTGTTTTCACTCTCATCATCCTTTCGAATACTTAGCTTAACCTTGTGCAAACATGAATTCTCAACCTTAGCTAAAGCTACGAACTTTTCCATAAAACCCACAAAGGCATTGCTACTTGGGAACTCACTAGATTTCAATTCCAACACAGGGATCAAAAGCCAGACACTTTCCCACCTACTAGACAAAACGCTAGTCCTAACCGCTTCTTTTGTCGGAAGATACAAGAGTATCTGAGATATCAAAGCGTCGGGTAATCTGCTTATCAAATCATCCTCTGAGAACCCTCCACATCGTTTCACGGGTTCCTCCATCGAATCCGCTTAGCAAAATCGAACCTTTAAGCTTCCGCAGGGACAAACTCATGCGACGACCAGAAGAGAAGAAAGCGAAGAGATTGTGTCAAGGTGTTATCTTTCTCCTAAAGCGTTTAACAGTTGATCCATTTCTCATTTTCTCTATACTGTTACTGTGTTTATAATTATAATCACTCAAAACATTATGGCAATCAAGAAAGACGAAATTGAAAACCAAGAAAAAAGCTCTCTTTTTATATATATTTTTGCTCTGTTTTTAGTAAGAATCATATCCATGAGGATGAATCTTTTGCCACCTCCAAGCAACTTGAAGACTATCTTGAAGATTAGTGAATCGAGCTGTCCAGTTCAAATCTTTCAAAATCTTTGTCGGATCACTATAAACCTCTGCGTAATCTCCCGGTCGTCGAGGCAAGAAATCTACTTTGATCTCAACTCCTGTCGCTTTCTTACACGCCTCGACGAATTCTTTAACCGATCGTCCTGTTTAATCAAACCACAAAATTGTTACAATCTCACATTGTAGCTACAATATTGTGCAATATAATCGAATGATGGTGTACTTAGTGATTATAAGAAGAAGTAAAACAGATTTCTTGTGTAGTGAAAATGTTAAAGTCAAGACCTTTTCCGGTTCCAACATTGTAGATACCGACTTTTCGAGGCTGAGCTTTCTCGAGAGCCTTCACGTGAGCATCCACGAGGTCAGTAACATCAATATAGTCTCTAATGCAAGTACCATCTGATGTTTTGTAATCTGTTCCTTTCACCTATCACAAACCAACCATATTGTATAAAGGATGTTGCAATATATGAGTATAGATTTCATATATAAAACAGAAATAATGTTTTTGTACTTGAAGTCCGGGGATGAAACCGCGAGCTGCATCAAAACAAGCACCAGAAATCCGTCCTTGCTCGCGAAGCTCGGGTCTTGGAGCTTCTCCTAATCTACCTCCTGGATCTGAACCAATCACATTGAAGTATCTGGCAAAATTCACAAGATTCATCAACATTTTCATAACTGTTTCATTAGTGAGTAAGAAAGAAGCACTGATTCAACCGAACCTTAAGATCATAACCGCCATATCAGAGTTCTTAGAGAAATCCAAGATCATATCCTCAGCCATCTTTTTAGCTTTTCCGTATGGATTAATCGGGACCTAAGTACACGATATTTTGCATTAGAAGAATAGTATAGAAATAGAGATTCAATATCGATTGATCTAGCGCGAAATCAAGGTTTACTTACTTGTGGAGTATCTTCAGTAATTGGCATTTTATCAGGCTCTCCATATGTAGCACAAGTGCTAGAATAAATTAGTTTCTTCACTTTATGTCTAGCCATAGCTTCAAGAACACCTAATGTGTTTGATGTAATGTTATGGTAGTATCTACAACGAATAAACATATCGAACAATGAGACCGAAGAAAACAAATTCTTGCAGCGATGTTTAGAGCTATAGAATGAATTAGGACTGTACTTTAGAGGATAAAGAGTACTTTCTCCAACATAAGCTACCGCAGCAAAATGCATCACAGCGTCAAAAGCGTTCTCCGAGAAGATTTTCTCGACCTGAAAATTGTATTGTCAAGAAAGAAAACACAAAAAGATTTAAGCTTCAAAGCTTAACAAACATCAAAAGGTTATAACGGGATACCGCTGCGGGATCTCCTAAGTCAGCATAAATGAATTGAAGTCTTCCGGTTTGCGGGAATAATCGCTGTAAAGTCTTAACAGCACCGAGATTCCCACGCGAAAGATTGTCCTATTGAGTGATCAAAAGTTTACTAATGTATTCAAATTTCATCAAATAGTTATCGAAAAGTTTGAAATCAATCCGAATTACCACAATGGTTACGCGGTATGAATCTCTAAGCAGCCTTAAAGCGGCATGTGACCCGATATAACCAGCACCACCAGTGACTAACACATGAGTTACTCCTTCCTCTCTTATAGAAAACTGAAAGCAAACACAACAAAACCACATTGAAAACATTATATAGGAGTCTTAAGCAAAGACTTAAAAATGTTCTTGAGTAAGTGAAGTTGAAGATATATACCACGCTTGGAGATGTGAAACTTGATGATTGACTGATCACAATAATAGCTAAGATTAGGAGTGAAGCTATTAAGAGAAGCTTCCCAGTGAGATTGTTCTTTGTTTTAGGTTCTAAGCAATCCATTTCTACAAAACCCCTCAAAAACAATTCTCAGACCATTTATGATATGATCATAATCAAATTTTTGTTAAGAGTAATAATAATATTTCTACCTCCAAGAGACAAAGGTCTTGAGTTTCTTCGTTGAGGTCTTACTCCAGAAGAATTTAGCATTGAAAAGACTTCAGACTTGCTCTGGTTTCAAGACTTGAGACCAAAGCAACATATAAACTCCCACAATAAAAAGAATCAGCAACTAGCAACAACGATAGATCATTGCTGCAAAACAAAGGAAGAAACTTACAACAACAACAACAAAAATACATTAACAGAAACATACATTTATATGGATGGAGATTATAATATATGTTGCAAGTGACACATAAAAAAAACACAGAACAAAAGTTGAAGTTTATGTAAAAATAAATGGAGTTAATTTACATTCATCTACGAAATTATATATATGTTATTTTATTATAAATAAATGACAATAAAAAGATTTTTAGTCAAAGAAAGATGCATAGGGAAAAAGAACAGAACAGAGTAAAACAAAAAAAGTAAGAGACCGAGTCTTGAAAATGTAAGAATTGTCGTCAAGATTGACTAAAAAATTCCGATCAATTTCCGATTTCATATTCCGATTCAATCAGAAAAAAACAGAGTAAAATACCTATGAAGAAGATTTGTGATGATGATGATGATTGATGAAGATGATGAGTCTTGATCAGTTTTAGTGCACCTGAGAATTATGAGAAGACGAAGACTAAAGAGAGAAACAGAGAAGAACGTTATAAAAGGATGTGTTATTGAGTATGAAACGGGCGAGAGAGAGAGTGTAAGAGAAACTCGTGACGAAGCAAATAAAAACGTAACAGAGACAAGAGGAAGAAGACGAACGAAAGGAAACGTGAATTGCAAAACGAGAGCACGACGACTACGAGACCTCTCCTCGTCTCTTTCTTTCTTCTACGTTTTGGTATTATTCGTTATTTTTTTAAGATCTTGTAAATATTATTTTTTTAGTCTTTATCTCTTTCTAATAAAATTAAAATTATCATGATTTATCTCCATATATATGCAGTTTGTATAAAAAGAAATTTCATTATGACTTATATAGCACATCCACTAATTTGTAAATGTGTTTTTTTTTTGTTGACTTTATAATGGACAATTATTTGGGTCCAATTTACTTATTTTGATATAATTAATAAAAAACGTAACAGGTAAAAAAAAAAAAAGACTTGTTTGCTATATGGCTTAAATCACATATGTTACTTTAGTGAAAATATATGGTTTAGATCACACTTGAAACTACTTACTTTAGTTTTAGTTAAAGTACACTAGTGTTCCAAAGCTTCTATAAGTGTAGATTTGTTTTAAAAAAAAAAACACAAAATAAATTGTTTCTTTGTAGACGTAATATATTTTGGAAAATTATAACTATTGTATACTAAAATGAAATTGTTTTCACCAAAAATAAATTTTGTTTAACAGCATGTACAATTTTTAACATAAGTAAATAATACAAAAAGTATAAAGGAACAAATCTAACATACAATCAAATCCTAAATTAAGGTGGGAATATCCCTAGTAAATATTGGATTATAAGCCAATATATTTACCTTGCTAAAAAAAATTTCTCCTTCATTTTTATTATAAATCTAGAAGGCTGATTAATTGGAAAATAATAACTCAAAGTAAGAGAAAAATAATATAAAGTTTTGTTGTTGTTGGCTACCTAACCTAATACTGAAGGCTGGTTAATTAGAGTTTAGGAAGAGAATGTGGAGTGGCTAACTACCCTATGTAGTTTTTAATCAAAGTCAAATAAAGAGTTATGAACCTTTCGTGGATATTACAATAATTAAACAAAAATAATACAAAATTATTTATGATAAATGGAAGTAAAATAGGTGTGGCTGCTTAGTTGTAGCGACTGCCTAACTATCTCTAACGTGTTTGGCCATCATGGTCAAATCAAATGATTAGTTTCAACATTTTATAAAATTTTTTGTCAACTATATTTTGCGATTATTGTATCATTTTTTTACATATATATGCGTCTATTACATTGGAGTGTAGTTCTATGTAACGTATATCAACATTTGCAGTGAACACTTAAAAGACTTAAAATGCCACTATTTTGTTATTTTCGATTAAAAGAATTATTGATGACTATATAATATAAACTTAATTTTGTTAAGGAAAAAAAAAGATAGAAATTTCCTTGAATACCATCATTTTAGTTTTTCTTCCAAAAATACCATAAAATTTTATTTTTCCAAAAATACCATAAACATAAAAAGTTGATTTTTGAAGATGTAGAATTTTTTTTTTAATGTTTGGGTTGACTATTTATACTTAGCAAATTAGGATACAGTTTTAGGGGTAGGGTTTAGTGTTTAGAATTTAGAAATTATTTTTGAATTTAAAAAAAAAATATTTTAGTTTTGTGGTATTTTTGGAAAAAATGTATTTTAGTGGTAATTTGGGAAAATAAAACTTATAATGATACTTTTGGAAAGAAAAAAAAATACTCAATTTCATGGTATTTAAGACAATTCCCAAAAAAGAAAGATAAATTAGTTTTCCGATTACTAATTTGTGTGTGTGTGGTAGTGTTGTAAACGTGAGGGTTACAATATTTTGTTACCAGAGAAATTCACAAACAGAACAGTAATTAATATCCACAAAGAAAAACGTCAACGTTAATAATTAGTGTCTTTTCGTTTGATTCACGTGAAAGAAAAAAAGATTACTGTTAGAGATGGGTTTCTCCACCAGAGGCCCAGCAGTTCCAGGCCCAAAAGGGGGTTCTAACGGAAGGATGATGGGCCTGGGATGGTGGTTGGCGAAGGCCCATTTGGTGAGATTGGGTTGTTGCAACGAGGTCGAGGCGATCTCTGGAAGAGGACGAAATCGTCAGAGCAAAGACGACTCAAAGTTTTTAAATTAGATTCATATAGTATACTACTAATATATAGTAATTTCTTGGTATACTTTTATGAAATCGAACTATTTTCAAGATTGCGAATTTAAAACTCAACTGTCCTCTTTAGTGGCAAGCAACAAAAACAAGAAAAAGATATGATAATCACTAAAAGTATTAGTTATATACAAGTATTAATTATAAACATGTGGCGTAACTTGGAATACTCACCTGATTTTGCATGCTGATGATCTAATCAGCAATAAAAAACAAGTTTAAAAAAGATCAATCCAAACTAATTATTAAAAACCTACAAATATCAGCAATAAAAAAAAGTTCCAATCAGACCAAACTCTAGAACACAGTCTTAATTAATGTTTTATGAGTTCATGTAATTAAAACATTTCACAAGATCAATCTGAAGTTGTTTTTGCATTCAAGAACAAATTTAAAACAGAGAATAATCAAACGATAAGTTTCTTTTGTTATCCAAAAAGATTCAAGAAGAAGGAACAAGAACAACTTGCATCATGTTCTTGAACTCGAAAAAGTCAACACGACCATCATGATTGATATCAACAGATACAATCATCTTCTCCACTTGTTCAATCTCTCCTGCTTCAGGAAGCCCTAGCTTCTTTAAAACCTTTTGCAACTCCACGGCTGAGATAAAACCATCTCCGTCTTCATCAAACACATTGAAAGCTTCTACAAGATCTGTCTCGGGAGACCCGTCGCAGCAGCTTCCTTCTCCTCCGAAGAAAGATTCGTCTAGGGTTTTGTGGAGTGCAGCAAAGTCTTCGAACTTGAGTCCGGTTTTGTCTGGTTTGATGAAAGATTCAAAGGTTGTTTTGAGATCGGAGAAATCAGCTTCGAGACCGAGTCTTGAGAGTGCTTGACTTAGTTCTTCCACGGTTATGAACCCGTCGTTGTTTTCGTCGAATAGGTCGAAGACTCGGTGGAGGCGAAGTGCGTTTAGACTTGGACTTCGTAGTCTGAAAGATGAAGATTGTCTAGAGAGTTTCTTCTTCTTCTCGTTACTGATCTCCATTGTTACACTTCTTCTTAGTTGTTCTTGGTGGCTATGTTAATATATAAGAGGAGACTTGAGAATCACGAGGCGGAGACTTAATTACTCTTTTATAACTGAAGATTTGGAATCACGAGGCGGAGACTTAATATATGAATAAAATAGTAGATATGTTTTGTTATATATAATTATTGGAAAAAATGTTAGAGCATCTCCAAAAGGGAGATGCTTATTTTGAGGTGTTAGCTACACAAATCATAAGCTAAATCACCGGAGTTTAGGCAAATGGGTTCTTGATATAGATATAACCAGGCATCTCAACTTTATAAATGTATATAGTTAAATAGTTAATTACACACGAAGTATATATATGGTATGTCTATAAATTAATTATATATCAATATATATCATGGTATACATGATGTTATATGGTTAACATCATAGTAATTTTATTTTGGTACACTGTTCGTCGTTTTGTCTTCGAATTAGTTATGGAGGAAGAGTAAATCTATGAAAGAAACAGAGAATCATTATGTAAAAACTAAAATTTGATTGTAATTGTTCATTCACTTGAGTTGGTACCGCTGGTTTAAGATTAAGGAGTTAAGGGTTTCGATTCTTAGATTATAAAACTAAAATTTAAAATATTTTTTTCTATTGAAATGATATGACGTTGTTATGTGTTATAACATCGACGTGGCATCCTAGTCATCTGTCTTTTTCTAAACGAAATATTAGCATATTCCGCTGTTTAGAGATTTATGAGTTTAGACTGGATTTGTTTTCAAGGAAATTTAAAATTTTAGCAAGTTAATGTAGTTATAAGTTTTTTCATGTACAAGGAAATATGCCGTTGTATGCAATAAAAACTATAATTTATGCATACGAACCAAACCTAATCGGGTCAAATCTGGATAGTTCTAAGACCCGGGTTTAGTCTAAATCAGTTACTAAAGCTACGAAACCCGAAAAGCCCAACAACTACAAAAAAATGTTGTCATCTCTTTACAGCCCATTAGTTTCCACTGGACACTTCCATTGCCACAACCACCACCAAAACCATCTCTCGCCGCCGTCGACACTTGCTTCACCACCGTGTCTGTATCAACGAGGGAAAGAGACAAGAAGCGTTATAACTCTTTCGTCTGATTCCATGGAGTTATGTGGCGTAGATTCTGAAGGGAAACAATTTGATAGCGTTCAAGAGATGTGGAGAGAAGAGATTGGAGAAGAAGGAGACGAAACTAGAAAAACCCAATGGTACAGAGATGGTGTTTCTTACTGGGAAGTAAGTTTTGGAATCTTCTGATCTCAAAAATGTTACCTTTACTTCGTTTTAGTTCTAAAGCTTACATCTTTAGCCTGGTTTCTGAATTGGGTTAAGAAATTGATTTGGTTTGTGTGTTTTGTGTTGTTGAATTAAGGGTGTTGAAGCTTCTGTTGATGGAGTATTAGGAGGATATGGTCATGTGAATGATGCTGATATTATAGGGAGTGAGGTTTTTCTTAAGACTCTTATGGAAGAAAGATTAGTAAATGGTGGAGCTAATCAGCATTTAGTAGCTCTTGGTAACTTCTTTTTTTCACTCATTGGTGTTCATTGTTTTGTGTTGTTGGGTTTGGACATATGTGGTTTTTATGAATTACTCAATTCGTTTTGTAGATTGTGGTTCTGGTATTGGAAGAATCACCAAGAATCTTCTGATTCGATATTTCAACGAGGTGAAGTGTTTTTTCCCTGAGTGTTACTTGTTTTAGTTGATGTTCTTCTCTGTTTGTTAATGTCATTTGATAACCACGTTTTGATCTTAGGTTGATCTTCTTGAGCCTGTAGAGCAATTTTTGGATGCAGCACGTGAAAACTTGGCAACTACTGGCTCAGAAACGCATAAAGCAACCAACTTTTTCTGTATCCCTCTCCAAGTAATGCTTCTTGAAGTATTTGTTATGTTATATCGTATCTTTGTTTTCGATTCCTCCTTCATATAGGCTTTGTGTATGTTATATGCTCATAGGAGTTTACTCCAGCTGCTGGAAGATATGATGTCATATGGGTTCAATGGTGCATTGGTCATCTCACAGACGATGACTTTGTTTCTTTCTTTAACCGCGCAAAGGTAAAGACTTTGCTTCTTCTCTTTCAGTGCACCATGTTCAGTTACTCCATCGCACATCAAGTAAAAATGTAGTTCTTATGCACTGTGTTTTTGCTGTTTAATCTCAGGGCTGCCTGAAACCTGGCGGGTTTTTCGTCGTGAAGGAGAATAATGCTAAAAGAGGTTTCTTTTGATCTCTCTTTTGGATTCGCACTTTGACATACTTATGATTTAACACAAAATTGCATATATATTGTTTTCTGCAGGATTTGTTTTGGATAAAGAGGATCATAGCATCACCAGATCAGATCCCTACTTCAAACAGCTCTTTCGCCGATGTGGGTTACATCTCTATAGAACAAAGGTCGAATCCTTGTCTCTGTTTCTTAAAATCTAAATCCCTTAAACTTGAGAACCATTGGCTCAGAAATTTACAGTCTTTTCTCCAAAAATCACATTTTCCAGGATCAGAAAGGCCTTCCGGAAGAGTTATTCGCTGTAAAAATGTATGCTTTAACGGTTGACACACCACCTAAGATCCACCGAACCAGATCGAAAACTCAGAGCAACAGACCACAGATTATCAAATGACAGGCTTCTGAATGATTTTAAGAGAGAAGCTATAACAAAGCTGTTATAAGATATAGATCAAGACTTGGCTGCTTCACTGCCACATGGTTCTGTTCGCGGTATCCTCACCTCCATCATCTTCTCCAAGTAGTAAAGTCTCGTGTAATAGACTTGCCATGTTTCTAACAGTTTATTTCAAACATCTATTCATCATCTTTGCCTATTTATAACCATTTGGTCTGCACTTGATTCATTAGTCTTGAGAAACATGGAGTTGGGAAAGTCAAAATGAAAACAAAAACGTTGTTGTTATAAGACTAAAAAGCATGTTATTGCTTTTTTTTTTGTTTTGTTTTGAAATGAATACAAAACTAACTTAACTCTAAAGTAAACTCTAAACAATCTTAAGATCTATCGTTTATCTAAATAATCTTTATTTTCTCTGTTTACCAACTCTAAAGTCTGAACCATACGATGTAAGGAACCAACAGACAAAATGATTCCAATTCATGTGCGGCCACATTAACAAAAGCAACGTTCGATTTTCTTTTGCGCATTTTAATGTGTTCCGGTCGGATATAACTTTATAAAATTTCACATTAATTTATTGTTAATCATGCATGCACCCAAAGCCTAATCTTGATCTGATTCGTAGATTTTAAGGTCCGTTTATAACACTTTTTTTCTTAAAAGTTGCAATATTTGAATATAATTAACAATGGAAGAACCATTAGTTCTAAGAATTATGTATATATCTTATGTTTGCATTCGAATTAAAGTTTCTTAATTACATCCAATAAAGAAAGACTAATTAATGTGAGTGTCTTGATATGACTCGTTTCAAAGTTGACGGCCAAGCGTATAACATCTTTGGGTTTTAATACGTTAGCCACTCCCAAATAAAATAAACCCTAATCTTGAATATTTAGTTCTTCTTTTCTTCTGGTCAAGAACTCTCTCACTAACTCACCAAATGGACGGTAAAGTCCAGCCTCCACAACATCAAGTTTTCATCAATTTCCGTGGCGATGAGCTGCGCAACAATTTCATCAGCCATCTCGTAGATGCCTTAAAAAGGTATGGTGTAAATATCTTTACAGACAAGCAGGAGAAAAAGGCTGAAAATATAAGCAATCTTTTCAAGAGAATCGAGGATTCGAAGATTGCGCTAGCCGTGTTCTCGGAAAGGTACACGGAATCAAGATGGTGCTTGGATGAGCTTGTGAAGATGAATGAACGTGCAGATCTAGGCAAGCTTAAGGTGTGGCCTATGACCATATATATATAGACTTATAGAGCTAGGGATATGGAATCTTAATGTTGTTAATTAGTCTATACTTTGAGAAAGTGGTATACTAATTGTTGGAATGCATGTGAATTGATTTTAAGAGAGAAGCTATAACAAAGCTGTTATAAGATCTACATCAAGACTTGGCTGCTTCACTGCCACATGGTTCTGTTCGCGGTATCCTCACCTCCATCACCTTCACCAAGTAGTAAAGTCTGTGTAATTGAGACTTGGCATGTTTCTCATAGTTTATTCATAACAAGCTACTCATCACCTTTGCATATTTAGAACCATTTGTCTGCACTTCATTCATTAGTCTTGAGAAACATGGAGTTGGGAAAATTAATTGAAAACATTATACGTCTATGAACGTAACGTATCTAATAACAATGTTAAGATCTATACAGTATATTGTTTATCTAAATAATCTTTATTTTCTCCGTTTACCAACTTTAAATCTATAAAGTCTTGGACATACCAATGTGATTAAGGACAAAGGAATCAGCAGACACGATGATTCATATCCATGTGCGCCACCCATTAACAAAAGCAACACTCTTTTGCGCATTTTAATGTGTTACTGTCGGATATAACTTTATAAACTATGATGCATGCACCGAAAGCTAATTCTTGATCTGATTCGTAGATTTTAAGGTTTTGATTCACATCAGTCCGTTTACCACACTTTTTCTTTAAAAGTTGCAATTTTTGAATATTTTTAACAATTGAAGAACCATTGGTTCTAAGCATTTTGTGTACCTCATGAATTAAAGTTCTTAATTAGTCCACTAAAGAAAGACTAATTTGAAAGTGTTGATGACTCGTTTCAAAGCTGACGGCTAAGCTAATAACATCTTTGGGTTTTAAAAGGTTAGCCACTCCCAAATAAACCCTACTACTGAACTTTAGTTCTTCTTTTCTTCTGGTAAAGACCTCTCTCACTAACTCACCAAATGGACGGTAAAGTCCAGCCTCCACAACATCAAGTTTTCATCAATTTTCGTGGCGATGAGCTGCGCAACAATTTCATCAGCCATCTCGTAGATGCCTTAAAAAGGTATGGGATAAACATCTTTACAGACAAGCAAGAGAAAAAGGCTGAAAATATAAGCAATCTTTTCAAGAGGATCGAGGATTCGAAGATTGCGCTAGCCGTGTTCTCTGAAAGGTACACGGAATCAAGATGGTGCTTGGATGAGCTTGTGAAGATGAGTGAACGTGCAGATCTAGGCAAGCTTAAGGTGTGGCCTATGACCATATATATATATATAAGCTTAATGTTGTTAATTAGTCTATGCTTTGAGAAAATGGTATACTAATTGTTGGAATGCATGTGAATTGTCACAAAGGTACTTCCTATCTTCTATAAAGTGCCTACTGAAAGTGTGAAACAACTTGTGGGAGAGTTTGGTGACCATTTTAGGCGTCGAGAATGGGAATATCGATCCGAGCAACAAATGATCGATCGATGGAAAGAGGTGTTGGCACGCGTCTCTGGTAAGATTGGATTGGTGTTCGATGATAAAAGGTATTACTTGTTTCCTTGATCAAACCATTTGATTGAATGTTAAATTTATTAAACCAAAAAAAAACTGTTTTACAATATATGCAACTTGTAGTAGACATGTTACTGAAAAAGATTAAAAAAACAGCTCTAATATTGATCTAAATTTGTGGTCTCGAGGCAAACCAATACATTGTTTGAATGAGATATGAAATTGAAGCGTCATGTTTTACAGATTCATAAATACAATTTTAATTAAGTTCCTTGATATTATTGGAAACACTTCGACATATATTTTCACAGTCATATATAGCTATTTCATCGAGTTTTTAGCTAGAAGCTAGATTGGTCCATATATACTATCATGTTAAGATTTGCAGATTTCCATATTCATATTAATTTCTCATGAGTAGAGATTACATTTGATACAATATATATATCTTACGTTAAGTTTCTTACACTTCTCAATGTGAGCTTCCTAAGTATATCTATGTAGCTGGTTCATTGGATAATTAAGTTGGTATATACTCTCTTCATACATATATTTGTTAGTTTTTCGATCTTTTTCGTTTTTAACAGCTTGTCAGAGAGTGATTTCATCGGAAATATCGTGACGGAGGTCTTGATATTGTTAGAGGACATAACCAAGAATTCTCAAGCCGTCAACAAACTTCAAGAAAGAGTAGAAACTTCTTCTTCATTGAACAAGAATTCTAAGAAACCCCTTAAGGTGGTGGCTCAACCTAAGGTGGCGGTTCAACCTAGCCACGACGCAGGTTTCACCGGTGTATATGATGGCTTTCCGGTTAGATATGGCAACCATGAAACTAAGGGAAGAGGAGAAACTTCTTCTATGACCAACAATACTAAGAAACCGAGCAAGTCTTCAAAGAGTAACGTCGAATTTAACGGGTGGATATCTTAAGGTGAAAGATATAAAATCGAACTTATATAGACTTTTAATTGAGAAACTTGTTTCCAATTTTATTAGAATTTGCTTCATGTATAAGAAGACCTTCCGGTATCAAATATATGAACGTCGGAGTGATATGTTTTTTTCTTTTCTTTTTTCGTCGTAGTGATGAATATTGATTAATTTATCCTTGATGCTTAATAATTATTGTCAGCTTTCTCTATTTTTCGTTTGTATAAGTATATTAATTCTATAAGTAATCATATTGTTATTTTAAAGTATAAATTAAGAAAAACCTATAATTTGTAATAACAGTTTCTTCAAAATGCCCTTACTAGTGTAACATTAAGTAGCATGTAAAGTGTAGAAATCAAATCGAAAACACGCTTTGCATATAGAATTAGAAGCAGCTTTTTGTTTTTTTACAACGTACCAACTTACTTTTTAAGAAAAAAAACTAAGTGAATGATGAATATTTTATAGAAAATTTTAAAATTATTTATGAAAAGAAATCGATATTTTATAGTCGTAAATATTGGATAATTCACTTCCGACCACAATATTGGATATGCAATAGTCGGAATTTCATCGAAAATATATAAATGTGATTGTGTCAAGCAACAATATGATTAATATATGACGAACCTGGTTGTCAATATTTTATACATATATATGTATATATTGACACATCAATATATACATATATATGTATATATATATGTATATGTATATACTAACCTCATTTCTAGATGCTCGACACAAAAAAATGAATAAAAAATGGCATATCATATTCATAAGATATGTATACATATAAATAAATGAGGTCACAAAAAAACAAGATATATTAATAAATTGAGTATGGTGAGGAAAATTTAAATTTAAATTTCATTAACATTAAAATATAATTTGTGAGCCTGAGTGCTAAAATGAAAACTTTTTTTCCACAATTATTGTTACTTTAATATACAAAATAACCTTATACTAATTCAATATGACAAAATATAAATTAGGATACTCCAAAATGTGAACTGTATACGTGCACTCAAAGACGACGTGTCGGGCTATCATCGCACTGGTCTACTCTAACAACGAGGATTGAACTGTGAGCTTCTCCCAAGGATCCTTTTGTAAAAGCTACTCCCACTCCAATGATCTTCGCCAAATTAGAAAACTATAAACACTGAGTGAGTGTGGCTTTTAGAAAAGCTATCTATAGAACTATAAAATATTCATACTTAAAAAAAAAAAAAAAAAAAAAAAAATATTCATACTTTAAGAAAAAGTTAAACTTTCCCAAATCATCAATAGTGGCTTTTACAAAAGATAAGGGTCAGGACGCGATTATAGTATTATGCTATATCAAGAAATAATGACATTATTTTACTATATATGCGACAAATAATGAAACGACGTGATCAACGTGAATCATGTTAGCTAAACACACTATATAATACAAGTAGAGAAGAATTAAGATGTACACACTACTTTAAAACATAGATATATAGTTTTTGTGAACCAAAAATGGAAATGATATTATTATTAGTATCACTGTCCGTAACGACCTTGTTAGCATTTACTTTCATAAAATCACTATTTGGACAAACCACTACCAAACTGAACTCACCACCGTCTCCATGGCGGCTTCCACTGATAGGAAACCTTCACCAGCTCAGCCTCCACCCTCACCGCTCGCTACATTCTCTCAGCGTCCGCTATGGACCGCTCATGCTCCTTCACTTCGGCCGCGTCCCGACCCTGGTAGTCTCATCCGCGGACATGGCTCATGATGTCATGAAAACACACGATCTTAAGTTCGCTAGCCGTCCTAAAAGAAAAGCTGTTGCTACGTTTCTAAATGGGAAAGATGTTGCGTTTTCCCCATATGGAGAATCTTGGAGGCAGTTTAAGGTATGTGTTTTACGTAGTTTCTTTTACTATATAGTGAAAGTTTGTATTGTGTTATTTTTACTAATTGATGTGACGTATTTATCTCCGATGCTAGTGGAATTTATTACGCTAAGTAACATTGTGGGACTCGATCATCACAAAATATTTATCTGTCTAAAGTTTTATCATATTAGATTACGAGATTCCAACTTAAAAACAATTGATAATTAGTGAATACTGAAGAGATCTATATATCTTATATACTGTTTAATTTATGATGTGTGATATTGTTATCCCTAATATATCACAACATTAACTAACAAACATATATTTTTCAAATTTCCACCAGAGTATATGTGTTGTGCATCTCCTCAGCAAAAAATGGTTCAGTCCTTCGAGAAAGTAAGAGAAGAAGAGATAAACCTAATGATGGAGAAGATAGAGAAGGCGATTTCTACTTCTTCACCGGTGAGCTTAAGCGGACTTCTTTCGAGTTTGACAAGCGATTTGATATGTAGAATTGCATTGGGAAGAAAATTTAGAGGTGACAGCGAGGAGGAAAGTGATAGATACAATGTTTTTGAGATAGTCAGAAAGACTATGGAGCTCTCGGGTGCTTTCCCGTTTGGCGAATACATTCCTAGTTTGGCATGGATAGATACTATACGCGGTCTGGATAGTAAAGTCGAGGAAGTAAGCAACAAGATTAATAGTTTTCTAGAAAGAGCAATGCAAAAAAATGTAGAGGATCATACGGACAAAGAGAGGTCAGCTTTTGTTGACATACTTGTCTCTATCCAGAGAGACATGACGATGGGATTTGAGATTGGTAATAGCGAGTTACAAAATATAATTTTGGTAAGGCCTATTCACTCATTCCTCTTTTTTAACTCTCTCTATAAATTAACACTATAAAAGATATATATGATTCTTGAATTTATCTTTTGTTATATTAGGATGTGTTTCTTGGGGGCACAGCAACTACATTCACACTACTTGAATGGACTATGACAGAGCTTATGAGACGTCCAGAGTATATGAAGAAACTTAAAGATGACATATGCTCAGCTTCGCCTAGGAAGGATACTTTATATGTATCAGAGGAAGAAGTTGAAAAGATGAGCTACTTAAAAGCTGTGATCAAAGAAGTGCTACGTTTGCATCCTCCAGTTCCAATAATTCTCCGAGGATTATGTGAAGATGTCAACTTAAAGGGATATGATATTGCTGCAGGAACACAGGTAAACTCATTATACCTTAAGAAACAAGTTAATACTATTTCAAGTCTTTTTTTAAAACCCTACCTTGGAACACAGGTAATAATCAGTGCTTGGGCAATACAAAGAGATACTGCAACTTGGGGACTAGATGCTGAAGAATTTAGGCCAGAGAGGCATTTAGATTCACCTGTGGAGTTTGAAGGACAAGATTTTATGTACATCCCATTTGGATCAGGAAGAAGACGCTGTCCCGGGATCAGATTTGGATTGGCTATGGCCGAGGTAACATTGGCCAACCTTGTGAAGCGGTTCGATTGGAGAGCCGAGGTGGAACCACTGGGAGATGGTAAGCCTGATCAAACTGAAGCAACCGGTGTCGATGTTTGCCGCAAGTTTCCTCTTGTTGTCTTCCCATCATGTGCGATATTTTCCAAGTGAGACTTCCCATCTATGCAAAGACCAAGCAATCGTGTAAAACTCAAGTTATGTGTTTTCAGTCTATCAGCTATTCAACCAAATCCACTTTCTAATGATTTTGGAACAAATCCAAACTGTACATATGAATAAACTTTTTAAGGATGTTGAGTGAATGATTCTTTTTCTTGTGTGATTAATTCACATTCTTGAAGAAAGGGTGAGTCACATGTTTCCATTTTTATGTGGATTCTAATTCATATGAATTGGAATAATATTGAAGTTCTTAAAGGTGTGCTTATTTTTAATCAGTGAAAGAAAAATCGTATAAAAGATTGAAGCTGAAGAATGAAATATGAGACAATAAGTAGTTTAGAAAATATGAGACAACTCTAAGTTTTAGTTTGAATGTTTCATCTTTTAAGAATTTATGTTCAAAATCATGGAGATTATCTTCTCTTCTAAGAATTAATTTATGATTTTTTTTTTTTTGAGTGGTTGTTCATTTATTATTATTATTAATGTATTTTTGTTTTTATAAAGTTATTATATTGCAATGAGTATTACATTAATTTGACATTTTACCCTTAATGACTATTATCAAATTTGTTTAAAAACTATATTTTATAATGCTATTTTAATGTAATTTTTGATAAAGATAGTGTTTCAACCCCACTATATTACATATTTTACTATGCACGTCCATAATATAAATACATGGATACTTAAGGAACAAAGTGTTTCAAACCCACTATATTACATATTTTGACATAATTTAAAACATTCAACACACCGAATAATTTGAGATGTTATTAGTATTAAAAAAATTAAGTTAACTTGATTTAAACTATATAAAAAAGTAAAGGTAATATTATGATTTTTAATTGACTAATCTAAATTTCTTAGCCAAGGATAGAAATTTATTAAGAACTTTATTAAGAAGTGAGCATTGCAAAATTGTTCATTAAGAACTTTCTAGCTTGGATAAGAGATTTGCCCGAGGAAGCAGAGGAATGCAACTTAGGCTATGGATGTTGTTGATTATAGAGAGTATCTTCTTTGTAAGGTACTGAAATGCTAATTGTTATTTTTCTCAGAAAGAATATATAGAATCAGTGAACGATAAAATGATGAGTTCTCCTTAGGGAAAAATTGCTTTCAAAGTTTTTATAGATTCAGTACAAAAGATTGCTTTTTATGGATGTTAGCTTCTGTGCTCGTTGGACAACAACAATTTAGATGAGTTTATTTGTGTCGGGTATTTTAAAACTTTGCAACTCGTGTATGCTATAAAAGAATTGTGTGATTATCAGAAGAAGTATCATGCATTTTAAGAAATTGTTTTGATGAGGCTGCAGACTATCTACTCATGAAGTATTAGAGAATGGTGATTAGCGTAACAAAATTGTGACTTTGGTGAAGAGAGATTGATTATTGGGTAACTGTTAATAACTAGAACAGAAATTTTATTGATCTCGAAATTGCAGAGGAATGCAGTTCTCAGAAAAATAAGATATTCTCTTATAATTGAATTAATAAAATCTCTTATTTTTCTGAGAAATGCATTCCGCTATTATTACCAAATCAACAAAATTCCTATTACATTCACTAACATTTACCAAATAACCTCTCTACACCAAAGTCACAATTTTGCTAAGTTCATCACTATCTTCATGAATAGATAAGGCTAAAGTCTCATCAAAACAATTATGTATAATACATGATACTTCTAGTAATACAAACACAATTTTCAATAGGTTCAAGCTCTACATACACGAGTTGCAAGATTCATAAGTATTTCCACAGATAAACTCATCTAAATGGTTCTTGTCCAACCGATCATATTTTTTCTGATTTTGACACATAAGGCAACAACCACATCTGCAACCTGATATGAAATCTTTTCACTTCATATTTCTTTGTGAGAGGAGCAAAGAAGCAATCTCTCTTGCACTAAATCCATTAGAATTTTGAAAGCAATATTTCTTTAAGGATAACTCATCATTCTATATTTTGTTGATTCCATATATACTTTGTAGGAAAAAAAAAATTTAACATACAAGAACCTTACAAAGAAGATGTTCTCCATGATCAACAACACCCCTAGCCGCCTAAGCTTTGCATACCTCAACATCCTCATGCATCTCTAATTCAAGCTAGCTAGTTCTCACAAATTATCTCTGTTTTGTGTCACTTATTTTACACATACCCTTACTTAAGGGTAAGTTAAATTTTGGTAGTAAATTTTATACCATTTATAAAACTGACTTTGAAAGTGGTAATGTAAATATTCGCATCGTTTAATGAAAACATTTGTCTTATTTATTGTACTTTATGTTAATATGCATAAGTTGCAAAAAGTGAGTTAAATTCACATCGGTTAATAAAAAGGATATTAATGTTTGTTGCAGTTATAATAAGTGATGTTAAAAGATTATATCAGTTATAAATAATTGATGTAAAAATTAGTGTTAATTTATAAATAATAACAATAATTTTATATCACTTATAATATAACCTATACTAATATTTGTATCATTTTTAAACTAACCAAAACTAATAATTAAATAAATGCAATAATCACTTAACTAAAATTTAATTTAATTTTTTGTGTTGCTCTCTACCAAATATTAAATTAAATTAGACTTATCAGCATAATTTTTATTGATGTTTAGTTTGTATCGTTTTTTCAAGTGATGTTAATAAAAATTAGTAAGTAAATACATCTTTTATGTAAATGATGTGAATTTATTTTATTTTGTATCATTTTCTAAAGATTGATAGACAACATATTAGATATTTTCTCTCATCTTGTATCTAACTGAAAGCAATACAATCTGTGATATAAGAAACATCAAACATGCCTTTGAAGTTTAACTTCATTTAGCTAACGAGGTCTCAATATCTTATCTCCAACCATACAACAACTGCAAATTTGTGCAATTTTAAAAAGTATTGTAGTAATTTTATTTTCTTCATAAAAATCACACATTCAATCATTTTTCTTTGATGAGTCGCTTTTATATAGTACAAATGTACAATAATAATCTTTAACCACTTGTAACATATATACAAAGGCAAAATAATTTTCTCCAAAAAAGGAATCTTATACTTTCTTCTCCTCACCATCTCTGTCTTTGACATCTTTGTCATTACAAATGGAGTTCTTGAGAACTTTTCTTTCTCTCTTTACAAGTTTTCTTGTGTTGAATCTTTCTATTTCTCATGTTGCTTTGATTTCAGCTAACCACGAAGAGTTTCTCAGCTGTCTCTCTTACAAAATAAACGACTACACGGTCGAATCAAGAATCATACACACATCAAAAGACCCTTCCTACTACTCAATCTTGAACTCTTCCATACAAAATCCAAGATTCTCTGTTCTTGAAACACCTAAACCGGTCTCAATCATCACTCCGGTTAAAGTCACAGACGTTCAATCTACGGTTAAGTGCGCAGGGCTTCACGGTATCCACATCAGGACTAGGAGTGGTGGTCATGACTATGAGGGCTTCTCTTATATCGCTAAAAGCAGACCGTTCGTTGTCATTGATTTGAGAAATCTCCGGTCTATAACATTAGATGTTGATAACCGGACCGGTTGGGTTCAAACCGGTGCTACAGTTGGTGAATTGTACTTCGAGATTGGGAAATTGAGCAAATCTTTGGCCTTTCCGGCCGGTCTTTACCCAACGGTTGGCGTTGGAGGGCAATTCGGAGGTGGTGGGTATGGTACGTTGATGAGAAAATATGGTTTGTCAGCGGATAATGTAATTGATGCACATATTGTCGATGCGAACGGAACCTTTCTTGATCGACAAGGCATGGGTGAGGATTTCTTTTGGGCTATACGTGGAGGCGGGGGATCGAGCTTTTGCGTTGTCCTATCGTGGAAGATTAGATTGGTTGATGTCCCGTCGGTAGTAACTGTCTTTGACGTCAAGAAAACATTCGAAAATGAGGCGGTCTCGGTCATTAATAGTTGGCAGTATATTGCGGATAAGGTTCCTAATGATTTGTTCATTAGGGCTATGTTGCAGAGATCGAACGAAACTTTGGTTTACGCTTCATTCCCGGGACTTTATCTTGGTCCGGTACGCGATCTACTAGCGTTAATGAAAGAGAAGTTTCCGGAGTTAGGTCTTGAGATTGAAAATTGTAGAGAAATGAGTTGGATTGAGTCTGTTCTATGGTTTATCAAAGAAGAAACTATGGAAAGTCTCGCGAAAAGGAAACGATCCTCGAGATCTTTCAAAGGTAAAGACGATTTTATCCAAAAACCAATACCTAAAACCGCGATTCGCTACCTCTGGAGCCGATTCTACAAACCCGAGGCTCGGCTCGCTAAGATCATACTCACTCCATTTGGTGGCAAAATGAGTGAAATTGCGGAATCCGAAACACCATTCCCACATCGAAAAGGGAATGTTTATGAGATACAATATTTGGCTTATTGGAGTGAAGAAGAAGATAAGAACAACAAGACTCATGATACACAAAAGTACTTGAGATGGGTCGAGAGCATATACGAATTTATGACTCCTTATGTTTCAAAATCTCCAAGAAGAGCTTATGTTAATTTTAGAGACATTGACTTGGGAATGTATCTTGGGATGAATATAAAGACAAAGTACGAGGAAGCAAAGGTTTGGGGAGTTAAGTATTTTAAGAACAACTTCGATAGATTGGTAAGAGTGAAAACTAACGTTGATCCAATGGATTTCTTCTGTGATGAACAAAGTATTCCAATTATGAAATCAGTAAGTGACATTTAAATTTTCAAAATTTGTTTCCTTTGCATTAGTAATGGGCTTTTTTTTTTTACTCTTTTGAATTCTTATTCAGGTGAGTAATTTTAATTAAACTAAACTAATCGAACCATAAATAAACCGAAGTGTTTTGTAATGTATTAAAACCGGAAGGTTAATTCTTGATTAGAGATGTCTTGTCTAATGTGGTCCAAATACTATCATGGTTTATATATATATAAAGTACAAAAAAATGAAATAAGTGGAAATGATTGAAATGTCTCATTCCCATAGTCCCACCACTAAATTAAAGTTTATAGATTGTACTAGATGATTGATTTGCTCTATATCTGATCTTGTAGATCATTTAGTTTAAGGGATTAGCTTCACCTCATGGGTTTTAAACTCTATGGGAGAGATAGAAGAAAGACTCAACAATTTAACGATTTGATAAACGTTAACAGAGTTTCTTAAACACCTAAACAAATTTCGTGAAAACTAATTTAACGATTTACGTTTTGTTAAGAAATTCCGTTAATATCGTGCCTTATTTGGTAATGTCAACAAAAATCCGCGATTTGTTTAAAAACTTAATAAGTATTAGACATTTAATTTACTTCAAGCAAAATTCATGTTTCTCTACTACTCTTACTAAGTTTATGTTTTTTTTTTTTAAAACATTTTTTGTGTAAAATAGTAACGTCTAAAAAGTCTAAACGTTCTAGACGATAAGCAAACATCCAAAAATCACCAACTAATAATTGAATACTTATTTCAGCTTACACAATCAATGGAAATAATTGAGATGTCCCACTCACATTAGCAAATATTCATATCCATGGATGTGAGTGCTGACGACAAAAAATAAAACAAAAAGTACAAAGTATTTATAATTAATAAATTTGTGTAAATCTCTGGTCATAATTTTGTTTTATTTCTTCAAATTAGTTGAAAACGTTTGCAGTTGACTGATCGTGGTAAATATCGTCGGCACCTATGAACAGGTTTGGTTTGGAGTTTGGAGCAAACCAGTCCACATTGACGAATTTGGTGGGTTTGGTGTCGAGAAACCGAGGATTTTGTTTTCTACATGTCATTCCAAAAAAGGTGGACCTAACACAAGAAGTCGACCAAAGTGACCAAGATCGTGTCGGTTATATTGGGAATTTTACTAACCATGTATATATGAACTTAAACTTAAACTAAAATGATAAGAGCAGAATAAATATGTTGATTCTTTTTTTTCTTGTATGTGACATAAACTTAAACTAAGGGTTTATTCTTTCTTAATCGGTATATTTTCTAGTGTAATTATCCCTAATAAATTCAATCTAGTTATATACTTCTATACTCTTTATGTTCCTTTTTTTTTTTTAACAAACTCTTTGTGTTCCTTATTAATCTACTTTTTAGGAAACATATTTGCTTAAAAAATAGATTATTAAATTTTTTTATGAAATATTTTTTAGTTACTATTGATGAATTGTAAACTTCAAAAAATAAAAAAAGATTGAATATCATTGGTTTAGAGTTATACAAAATTGTAAATCATAAAGAGACGAAGTACTTAAAAATCAATTAAATTGAAAATGGTCAAAGTTTCATTATATATATATACATATATATATATATATATATATATGTATACATAAGTCATCCAAATTTCCAATTTTAAGTTTTAAAAATTCTTAAATTAAATTAAATATACATACTTTCTTATTTTTATTCATTTTTGCAAGAATATATATATATATATCTAGAGAGGATCACATACTCTAAATTTTTAAATCGTAATTTTTATAATTATTTTCTTACTTAATAAATGTTGAATTTTAATATAAAAATAAGTTTTCGCCTTTTCGGGATTACTCTTATCAGATTACATATCATGAGCCAAATAACAGCTCAAAACATGGATAACATGAATATTCTGCTACCATTACTTAACGTACGTGTACGTTCAGTTTCTTACAAAACACAAAGTGCAACGTTTTTGAAGCTTATCATGAAAAAGAAACAATGTCCGTCACGTTGTCGTCACATTTACACACCATTGAAATTTTTTGGCTTATCTCACATTCTCACTCTCGTGACTCGTCGTCATTGACCTGACGAAAATATCAATGGCTTATTTCATATTGAGTGTTTACACACAAGTTCAAGAATTTGGCTCAAAAACACATGAATGTAATAGTGAGTTAGTTAAATGACAAATAAACAAAAAATTAGGTAGGTAAATAACAAATAGTAAATTTGACAAAAATGACAATAGAAAAGATTAAAGTTAGAAAAAGTATGGTAATGATAGTCAACATTATTGTCAATTTGCCATTTAATTAGTCTTTTTCTAATGTCATATTTTCATGTAGCTAGTATACGTTAATAATATAAGTTGGGTGAAAATTTTGGTTTCCCATAACTATGTTAGTCTTTTTTCATTTCTTCTCTATTACTATATATTTCTATAGTCTCATTACTCTTAACACCACACCAGTCACACACCCTTAAATGTTCTTCAGTCTTTGTCGCCTTCATCTCATCACCACAACGTTTACGGTCAAGTTGGGTAAGTCTCTAAAGAATGGCTAGCTTTCTTTGTTTAAAGTTCAAATGGCACTAAGTATTTGTTTGTGTCACAAAATTCAAAAGATCCATGATGAAGAACTTGACTTGGTATGGTAAAATATTATTTCTTGAGTGACTATACTTTATGTAAAGAGTTTAGGCCTTTGCGCAATGATTTCTCATAGAGAAGAAAAATATAAAGTTGTACATTTGTGGTAACTTTAAGATATAAGAGAGCGTGTAAAAAGGTTTATATTTTTCCATATTAATACACTCATTTCCGCAGATGGTGTTGAGAGCAAAGAGTAGCAAACAACAATAAAGCAAACAGAGAAGAGACTTACTTGAGAAAAGAATGAAATCTTCAAGACCATTCACTGTCTTTTCATTTCTTTCGATTTTGGCTTTATATTTTTCATTATACACCATTACACCAACCTCTTCTTCACCCTCCCTACAAGACCAATTCATCAAATGTGTCCAAAGAAACACTCATGTTTATTTCCCACTCGAGAAAACGTTCTTTGATCCCGCTAAAAACGTCTCTATGTTCAGCCAAGTCCTTGAATCGACGGCTCAAAATCTCCGGTTCTTGAAAAAATCCTTGCCTAAACCGTGGTTTATAATCAACCCTATTCATGAGTCTCACGTCCAAGCTTCCATCATATGTGCCAAGAAACTTGGAATGCATCACCGTGTTAGAAGCGGTGGTCACGACTATGAAGGCTTGTCTTATGTCTCACAGATCGTCAAACCGTTTATATTACTGGATCTGTCAAAGATGAGACAAGTAGACGTTAATATTAAAGACAACACTGCTTGGGTTCAATCTGGTGCCACAGTTGGTGAGCTTTATTACAGGTATAAATAAAAGAAACAATGACCAAACAAAACAAAACAAAACAACATTTCTGAAATGTTTCTTTGATTGTATGTATATATGATTAAAATGTTTGTTACTTGTAGGATTGCGGAGAAGAGCAAAGTCCATGGGTTCCCCGCGGGTTTGTGCTCGAGCTTAGGCGTAGGAGGGCACATAACAGGCGGTGCATACGGTTCTATGATGAGAAAATACGGTCTTGGTGCAGACAATGTTCTAGACGCAAAGATCGTTGATGCCAATGGTAGATTACTCGACAGAGCCGCGATGGGTGAGGATACATTTTGGGCTATTAGAGGAGGTGCTGGAGGGAGTTTTGGGATCATTCTAGCTTGGAAGATCAAGCTTGTTCCTGTTCCTAAGACAGTGACAGTCTTTACCGTCACCAAAACGTTACAACAAGACGTTGGCAACAAGATTATCTCAAAGTGGCAAAGAGTCGCGGACAAGCTTGTTGAAGAGCTGTTCATCAGAGTGCTCTTCAACGTAGCTGGAACTGGTAAGAACAAGACTGTGACCATGTCCTACAACACTCTGTTTCTTGGCGGGAAAGGCACATTGATGAATGTTATGAAGAAGAGTTTCCCGGAGTTAGGGCTAACACTGAAAGATTGTATCGAAATGAGCTGGCTTGAATCCATTTCTTACATCTCTGGTTTCCCAGTCCACACTCCTACTAATGTCTTGCTTAAAGGGAAGTCACCTTACCCAAAGATCAGCTTCAAATCCAAATCGGATTTCGTGAAAACCCCGATTCCCGAATCCGGGCTTCAAGGTATCTTCAAGAAGCTACTTAAAGAAGATATTCCATTGATGATATGGACGCCTTACGGAGGAATGATGGCGAAAATCCCCGAATCTCAAATCCCTTTCCCGCATAGAAAAGGAGTACTCTTCAAGATTCAATACGTAACGAGTTGGCTAGACAATGACAAGATGCCGAGCAGACACATCAACTGGGTCAGAGATCTCCACAATTACATGACGCCGTATGTCTCAAGTAATCCAAGACAAGCTTACGTGAACTACAGAGATCTAGACCTAGGAAAGAACACGAAAGATACAAAAACTTGCTTCAAACAAGCTCAAGGCTGGGGAGCTAACTACTTCAAAAACAATTTCAACAGATTGGTTAGGATTAAAACAAAGGTTGATCCAAAGAACTTCTTCAGACACGAACAGAGCATCCCACCTATGCCCTAACGACAACTTTATCAAGAAACAAATAAGAATAAACTAGAAGAGATCATATTATGGTTCTTCTGTGTTTCAGAAAGAAAAGAAAAGTGTGCTAGCTATGTTTGTAGTAGTTTTCTTCACCTATAATTTCGAAATGTATTGCTTCTTAGTACTTACTACCTAATTCCTCAATCAACTCTAGAATCTTATTTATAAAAGGCTCATTCTTGTTCTTGGTGAAATTTGTTATATATCGTGACGAAGGCGCTATGATGGAGTCCAATAAGCTAATCATGAGGCCCAGAGAATTCGATTTGATTTTTGAAAGTTTCGTAAAACTAAATTCTTTATCGATTTGTAAAAATAGTCTCTCGATACTTCGAACCAGGATTTAACCATTATTTTTCAACAGACTGCTCTGAGTTAGTGAACTATAATGTTTTTCATGTTAATTTAATTTATCCATTTTTTCAATATACAAAAATGCATTATGAAGATCAAAATTTTAATTTTGTTTTTCTTAAATTCTATACAGTTTTTTTAAAAACTTAATTATTTAGTCAGTAAACCGTCTTAAGAAAAATTAAGTGAATTATATAGTCAGTATACCAAACTATAATTATTTGTTTTTCTACGTTTTGGTACAAAAATAATACTATCGTGTTCGTGTATCATATGTAGTATAGGTTTGGAATACTAGACAGTTTTAATTGATTATATATGTATCTGTGATATTAAAATATAATACATGTAATTATATTACTTTTTATAATTACAGAATTTACTGTTAAAGCAGAAAATTTAGAATTTACACTAATTTCGAATGAGAAGCAAATCTACCATTTCTTTTTACCGAAAAGATGGCATCCGTTTGCTTAAACAAAATTCATCAGCATTCCTAACAAAATAAAAGTGAAAAGGCAAACATATGTTAAAATTTTTGTAAACCGGCTTTTCTATGCCTTTTCAAATGAAGTAAAAAAAAACTCAACGATATAATATTTTTATATCTTAATATAGCTTTGTCTAATATAGTTTGATACTTTATAATTCTCTCAAAATATAGTCTTTTATTAAAGGTTTCTCCAAACTAATAACCATATTTACACAAACTTATACATATATTTTTACTCTCTCTTGATTCGTCAAATTTTGTAAGAATTCGCTACTTCTAAATTACAAAAAATGGAAAATAATTGGTCATGCAATATAGTGATATGTACCAATATTGCTACCACTTCAGAACCACAATAAGCATATATTGCATTTAGGTAGCTAGCAAAGTTACAAAAACATAAATATTTTGATCTCTAAAATTCGGAAAACCATCATAGATTTTTAACTCTAAACCATATTTTTCCGATTAAGATTAACCTACTTGTCATCTTTGTACGATCTGTCGCCACAATTGTCAAATTTACATGTTTTACCCATGTCCACAACTATTTTTTTCACGAAATCAAAAGTACAGTACGAAGTAACTTTATGTTTTGCTTTTTGGTTTTTTTATTTTATTTTACGTTAGAATAATTTACAAACACATGGAAAATGGTGGTCACGTTCCTACCATTTCCACCTAATCGAAATGATGGACAGTTAATGAAAGCCATCGTTGAATGTACAAAAAATCAAAGTCAGTGGATCTTGTTTTATCAGAATCTTTCTTATATATATATAGAAAAGCTTCTAAACTTATTTCTCCATTGACAAGAAAAAAAAAAAAAATCCATTTCAATATTATTGGCTACAAGGATGGGAATTTCAAAACCACCCTTTACAATTTCTTGTATTTCGTTTCTTGCCTTATATATTTCATTGTATGCTACTATAACACCAACTTCTTCAGCTTCCCTACAAGATAGTTTCATTGAATGTCTCCAAAGAAACACAAACGTTGGTTTCCCACTTGAGAGAACGTTCTTCACTCATGAAAGAAACGCTTCCCTCTTCAAAGAAGTCTTTGAATCGACGGCTCAAAACCAACGGTTCTTGACCAACTCAATGCCTAAACCGGGGTTCATATTCAAACCGGTTCATGAATCTCACGTCCAAGCTTCCATCGTCTGTGCCAAGAAACTTGGGATTCATTTCCTTGTTAGAAGCGGCGGTCACGATTACGAAGGCGTGTCTTATGTTTCACAGATCGAGACACAGTTTGTGTTGATTGATTTGTCGAAATTGAGACAGGTCAATGTTGATATTGAAGACAATAGTGCTTGGGTTCAAGCTGGTGCTACGATTGGTGAGCTTTACTACAGGTAATATATAAGTTCTTTGATTTCATATATTAAAGTTTTATATACAAATATCACATTTCTAAAGTATATAGGTTTATAAGTTTGTATACTATAATCAATGTCCAAATCTAATAGGAATCTTGTGTTACACGTTAACGTGTAAGAAAGTATCGAATAACAAAAATTTTAACTAGTATTTGAAACAAGAGTGAAAAATATTTCACTGCTTAATCTTTGGTTTTTTTTTACTGTAGAATTGCAGAAAAGAGCAAGATTCATGGATTCCCTGCAGGCGTGTTCCCGAGCTTAGGCGTAGGTGGACATATAACAGGTGGTGCATACGGTTCCTTGATGAGGAAGTATGGTCTTGCTGCTGACAATGTTCTTGACGCAAAGATCGTTGATGCGAATGGTAAATTACTCGACAGAGCTGCGATGGGGGAGGATCTGTTTTGGGCAATTAGAGGAGGTAGTGGAGGGAGTTTTGGGATAATTTTATCATGGAAGATCAAACTTGTTCCTGTTCCTGAAACCATAACAGTGTTCACGGTCACCAAAACATTGGAGCAAGATGCGAGTTTCAAGATTCTTTCGAAGTGGCAACGAGTTGCGGACAAGCTTGTTGAAGAGCTCTTCCTACGAGTGTTCTTCACTGTAGTTGGAAACAATGCATACAAGACTGTGAAGATGGCCTACATAGGTCAGTTTCTTGGCGAGAAAGGTACCTTGCTTGAGGTTATGAAGAAGGGTTTTCCAGAACTAGGGCTAACTCAGAAAGATTGTATAGAAATGAGTTGGATTGAATCCATTGTTTACAACTCTGGATTCCCAACAAGTCCTCTTCCTCCTCTTGAAATTTTGCTACAAGCGAAGTCACCGATAGGAAAAATCTACTTCAAAGCGAAATCGGATTTTGCTAAAGAACCTATTCATATTCTAGGGCTCATAGGGATGGTCAAGAAGTTCCTTGAAGAAGACGCAGTGTTAGTGGTTTGGACTCCTTACGGTGGAAAGATGAATAAAATCCCTGAATGTGAGATCCCATTTCCGCATAGAAACGGAACCATCTTCATGATTCAATATTACAGGAGCTGGTCAGACAATGAGAAGAGACCAAACAGACGCATCAAATGGATGAGAGAGCTGTATAGTTACATGACACCTTATGTCTCAAGTAATCCAAGACAAGCGTATGTGAACTACAGAGATCTAGACCTAGGACAGAACAGAAACAGCTCAAAGTCTAACTTCTTAGAAGCTAAAATTTGGGGAGCTAAGTATTTCAAAGACAACTTCAGCAGATTGGTAAGGATTAAAACAAAGGTTGATCCAGATAACTTCTTCAGGCACGAGCAGAGTATCCCAACTCTTCCCATTCGAAGCTAAGTTCATGAAGATAAAGCCATGCATGCTACTTTGTTTTTACCTCAAGTTTGGTTATGGCTTTTTTATGAGTCACCCAAGATCCTAAAAATTGGAGGCTTGTTCGATCTCTCAAATAGTCTCAATCAAGTTGTTAGAAATCTATCTAGTTATTACTATTTCGTCACGTTTTCATCATTACCATCAACACAACTACTACCACTACCACTTACCATAATTTTCATCATTACCATCACCGCAACTAGCAGCGTCCACCACCAGCATCAACAATCGAATTATGTTTCGTCTCTAATGCTTCTTCATCTTCTATATTCACCTAGCTACTGAGCCTACTGTTTGTATTTAATTTTTAGCATGTTTATTTTTTTAAATAACAAGCAGACTAAAGGAAAAAAGAGCTAAAATGTTGTAAGCGCATCTCCAACCCTACTCTATTTTAGAGTTAAAACTCTATTATAGAGTAATATTTGCTCCAACTCTACTCTATATCTTACTCTAAAATAGAGTAAATTAAAGAGTTCTTCTAAATATAGAACAATTATATTTTCTATTCTGGTTTTTTACACTACCTCTATTTTAGAATAAGAAATAGAGTAATATATTTGAGCAAAACAATACTTTATTTTAGAGGAAAAAAAATAAAGATTTACATTAGAGATGGTTCTTCTTGACTGAATCACAATGTCAATGTTTATAAACGTTGTATTGATTTGCTGTTTTGTTATTATCCGTTCTGTATATTTTAATTTTTTTGGTATTTGTATTCTTAGTAATTTATTTTAGTAATTTATATCACTAGTTCGAAAATTGTATAAAGACTTTTACATTATATTGATACCCAAAAAAAATGTCATGCCAATGTATTTTTCACAACTAATATTTGTTGGTCCTTTTGCTTCTTATAAGTACCAAAACTTTCAGACACATGATTATTTTCTTAAATCTTTTTTATTTTATGGTATATAGTCAGTAATGATATAAGTATATCTTTAAAAATTCTTTTTTTTATATAGATGTCAACTAATTGGAAGTTTTATCCAATTTGCGGTCGTGATTGGATAACAACACCGATGTTTTGACTTAGAATGCGTTTTTGGTAAACTTTAAAATATACAAATTTCCACATTTCAAGCTTAAAACAAAAAAAAAAGTCAACATTTTGAAGTCATGACAACAACATCCAACACAAAAATAAAATCGCGTCAATATCGACCGAATCGTTTTGACCACGCAAACTCGTCAATAAATGTAAACATACGCCGCCACCAAATTCATTAATAAGTAACACCGGTCATATCTAATCCTATCATAGAGAGACCAAAAAACAAAAATTAAGTACTAATTAGTGTTAATTATATTCAACCAGGGATAAACAAGTTAATTAGTTACAAATTTCGAATTAGATTCAAATAATATAATGGGTCTTCTTTGATCAAATATTCATACGAAGACTTTTTTTTTTTTTAATCAGGAGGTTCGGACTTTAGGTCGTAATTTCCTTAAATCCGGAGAAAACCGGATGAAAGCCTTTAGCCAAATGAATATATCTAATGATTTCGCGACTGAAGGGAATCGATCTATGGCCTTTAAACCAACAAGACAATTCATCACGCAAGTTGAAACCATTTCTTTATAGAAAAAAAAAAAAAAACTTAACGATTTCATTATATCTTAGTAAATTTATAGTGAAAAAATATTGTAATTGGTTGTAAGCCAAGCCAAGCCACACCACCCAATGCAATCTTATAAATATTACAATACGTACGTCCACATTATATTAAGAAACACAAACACATCCATAACCATCTTGAAGCCTCATTATGTGTTTGGCTTTCTCTCTAGCAAAGTATATAAACACGTTTCTTCATTGACACTAAAAAATCAAGAAAAAACACATATCCATTCCCATCTTGTATTAGCCACAGGGAGAGAGATGGCGATTTCAAAGCCATTATTCCCTATAATTTCTTGTGTTACATTTCTAGTCTTATATTGCGTAACACCAACTTCTTCATCAGCCTCACTTCAAGAACAATTCATCAGCTGCGTCAAAAGCAACACACATGTTTCTTTACCACTCGACAAAACTATCTTTACTCCGACCAAAAACGTCTCTATGTTCGACCAAGTCCTTGAATCGACGGCTCAGAATCTCCGGTTCTTGGCGAAATCCATGCCTAAACCAGGATTCATATTCAGACCGGTTCATGAGTCTCAAGTCCAAGCTTCCATCATCTGTTCCAAGAAACTCAAGATTCATTTCCGTGTTCGAAGCGGTGGTCATGATTTCGAAGCCATGTCTTTTGTTTCTCGGATTGAAAGACCGTTCATATTGATAGATTTTGCGAAACTGAGACGAGTCGATGTTGATATTAAAAACAACAGTACTTGGGTTCAAGCTGGTGCTACGCTTGGTGAGCTTTACTACAGGTAATATTGGCTAATTAAACGCATTATATATTATCTTTCTATAATTATAAACAATCTTATGAAGTATTAATACTTTTCTAGTTTTAGGTTAATTTTCTTTTTTTAAATGTGAACATATATAAATCTCCAAACGAAATAATTTTGTTTTAAAATGCTAAAAGACAGAACTAGCTGTCAAACGAATATGTTTGTCCTTGCCGGGACATTAGACCATGCTGTCTGCATCTACAACTTGTATGAAATTATTTATTCAATCTAAATTATATTTTTCATTACATATATACAAAATAATATATGTCCATATTATAAAAATACTTATACTTAACAACTTACTAAAATTATTTATAAAACGTAGATATTTATAACCAAAATATATGGTAGTTTACAGATTTATTTATATCAAATAAGAAATAAGCTAAGCCGAGGCATGCATGAGTTCTCAAGTGTCAACGGTTTAGCATGCTAGGCCGGCCTATGTCATAAGCGTCACCATAGTATATTTTGTTTTATTTCTTTGTATATAATTTTTTTTAATCAAAATTATAATTTTTGCTTCTATATATTTTGGCTAACTTTATATTAACGTTAAAAAAATTCTTTTTTAAATGCAGAATTGCAGAGAAGAGCAAGGTCCATGGATATCCCGCGGGTTTATGCACGAGCGTAGGCATAGGAGGGTATATGACAGGTGGTGGATACGGTTCCTTGATGAGGAAGTATGGTCTTGCGGGAGACAATGTTCTAGACGTAAAGATGATTGATGCTAATGGCAAACTACTCAACAGAGCCACGATGGGTGAGGATCTGTTTTGGGCACTTAGAGGAGGCGGTGGAGCGAGTTTTGGTATAGTTCTAGCGTGGAAGATCAAGCTTGTTCCTGTTCCTGAAACCCTAACCATGTTCACCGTTACCAAAACGCCAAAACAAGATCCAGGGCTGGAGATTATATCAAAGTGGCAAAGAATCGCGTCCAAGGTTATGGAAGAGTTACATATCCGAGTGGAGTTCACTGCCGTTGGAAATAAAGGAAACAGGACTGTGATGATGTCTTATAAAGGTCAGTTTCTTGGAAAGAAAGTTACCTTGATGAAGGTTATGAATAAGGTTTTTCCAGAATTAGGGTTGACTCAGGAGGATTGTACCGAAATGAGCTGGATCGAGGCGGCTCTTGTCAATGGTGGATTTAAGAATGGTTCTACTATTGATGTTTTGCTTCAACTTCAGTCTCCTTTAGGGAAAACTTACTACAAAGCCAAGTCTGATTTCGTTAAAGAACCTATCCCTGCTTTAGGACTACAAGGACTGTTCGAAAGATTGATTCAAGAAGACATACCGTTTGTGAATTGGACTCCTTACGGTGGTATGATGGCGAGAATCCCTGAATCTGAGATCCCATTTCCTCATAGAAACGGGACACTCTTCAAGATTCTCTATCAAATTAACTGGCCAGCGAACGACAAGAGACCGAGCAGACACGTCAACTGGATGAGAGAGTTGTATAGTTACATGGCGCCGTATGTCTCAAGTAATCCAAGACAAGCATATGTGAACTATAGAGATCTAGATCTTGGACAGAACATGAACAACAACGCAAAGGTTAACTCCATAGAAGCTAAGATCTGGGGAGCTAAGTACTTCAAAGGAAATTACGACAGACTGGTGAAGATCAAAACAAAGGTTGATCCAGAGAACTTCTTCAGAAACGAGCAGAGCATTCCACCTATGATGTAACGACAATTTTTATCAATCAAATAAGAATAAAGTAGAAGAAATCATATAATGATTCTTGTGTATTTCACACATTGTTGTAGCAAAATATTAAGAGAAATAAAATCACAATATACTTTGGAAAATTTTGACAACATTTTGTGCTGTGTCATATTCGTCAGATTTTGTAAATATGTTTAGTCAACATATCATTTACAAGTTCATTTTCATTATGAACTGATCTACCTCTTGATGCAATATTATTATAAGTAATTTTCGTTGATGCATGTGCAATTTTATTTTTCTTTAAACCATGTATAATTATAATATAAAAATAATACTAAAACGTTAGAACAAGACGTTGGTAACAAGATTCTTTCCAAGTGGGAAGTGGTAGCCGCAGACAAGCTATTCATTAGAGTGGTCTTCAACGTAACTGGAAACAATGAGAACAAGACTGTGACAATGTCGTACAATGCATTGTTTCTTGGTGGTAAATAAGAGCCAGAGTAAGCACATCAATTGGATCAGAGATCTCTACAGTTACATGAAACCTTATGTCTCAAGTAATCCACGACAAGCTTACGTGAACTACAGTGATCTAGACCTCGGAAAGAACAAGAAGAACGCGAAATCTAGCTTTAAACAAGCTCAAGTCTGGGGAGGTAAGTACTTCAAAGAGAATTTCAACAGATTGGTGAGTATTAAAACAAAGTTTGATCCAGAGAACTTCTTCAGACACGAACAGAGTATCCCACCTATGCCCTAACGACAAGTTTTGTCAAATCAAATAAGAATAAATTAGAAGAACTCAGATTATGGTTCTTTTGTAATGTGTAATCCTTTGTTTTAACCTAAAAATTCGAAATGTTGTTTCTTGTTACCTAATTCATCAATCAACCCTAGAATCGTATTCAAAGGCTTGTTCTTGTGCAGTGTGATTACGAGATGGTAAGAGTAAGCTTTTTTTTGATCGGTTCTTTGTAAATTATGACCACGCCACCGTGAACCGTGCGACAGAGCGACGGCGGATTTGGACTTCAAGACTGAAAAATGTTCTTTTGTTTTTTTTTTTCTTACCAAAAAAAATCATTCAGATGGAGCCCAATAAAGCGGTCATGATTCAGAAAATTTAAAAAGAAAAAAAAAAGAATTAAGGATAATTTAAGTTATTTTGAAGTTTTGTTTCCTCAAAAAATTATGTTATGTAGTTTAGTTACTTAACCAAAAAAAAAATAGTTAACATAAAAAAAAAAGTGAACTTCATTTCTAATTTCTTATGTTATAAGATTAGTATGGGAAGATAATTAAAATCCTTAAATAACAGTTATATCAAAAGTCCATTCACATATTATTCATTTTTCATTATTTTCTATCAAAAATTAGTTTTTCTCTAATTTGATTTTTTTTTTCGTCAAATTTTCTCTCTAATTTGATTTTTTTTCTCTGTTATTTGATGTAGTGGTTTATTTATGAAGTTAAATTAAAGCTGGTGAATATAAAATGAATTTCATTCCATTTATGCTCGTGCGTAATCTATTAATTCGATTTAATGTATATCTTGCATAGAAGTACAAATTTAACACTACATACAAAATAAAATAACTACCCAAAATTATATTCTTGACGAAACTTAAATCAAATTATTCTGTTAACCTAGAGTTTGTGAGAATCATCGTGAGTGAATCATCATCTGATAAAAAAATTTGTATCGACATTTGTCTCAAGCCTCTATCAAATCGAAGAAAGTCAACTTACTCTCTACTATTTTGAAATATTTGGCAACATATGTGAATGAATAAAATAAATAAAGTAAATCAACCAAAAACACTAAATTTTGATAAAATCTTAATCAAAAGTATTTCTTACTCTAACATCACATGATTTTGACTATTTTTCTAAATTCATTAAATGAATAACATATGAATTTTAATGAATATAATCAACTTTGTATAAATAGTAAACCTATAACACATGATTTTAATAGAGTTTTTATAGTTAAAAATTGAAAAAAAGTTTTAAGAAGGTATAACTCTTTTAAAATCACAAATAAGTAATACACTAATACCCCTTATTTATGATGGATATGTTATTTATAAATTTGATGTGATTTATGTCTCCTAATTTAACACTAGTATGTAATAAACCAGTACAAATTTGGTGTGTTCAGTTGGATATAAAGATATAGTGTTTTGATTTTAGTTTATGGTGACAAATATTTATTTTTTTCCTTTTGTCTCAGGGATATAGTGAATTTTACTATTAAAACATTCAAAGTAACTAATTTTACTATTAAATTTCGATTAAAAAATATCAATTACCAAGAAGGTGCTGTGGTGTAGTGGTTATCACGTTTGCCTTACACGCAAAAGGTCTCCAGTTCGATCCTGGGCAGCACCATATTTTTATACTTTTTTCCTTCTTTTTAGTTACTTTGGCCGTTACGTATATTTATCTCACAGACATCGTCGTTGACCCAAAGAAAGCGATCTTGTTTTTTTTGTTTCTTCTTAGATACTTTTTTACAAACCCTAAAAATCTCATCTCCTTCACCGTGGACCACTGCGTAACACATTACTTTCTCTCTTGCTATCTCCACCGTAAAACTCATAAACCCATTTGTCAATTTCCCCCAAATCACTCCGATTTCGTAAAATCGGATTTGGATTTCACTTCACCGGTGAAAACCCTTAATCCGCATTGTTGCTCATCGGATCGATCGAAACTCGAGCTCAACTTCGATTGAGAGCAAAAAAGTTGAAGACTTTACAAAACAACTAAGGTAAAAGTTTCGTGATTTGACTTGGGTTATCGATTTACATTGTGAAAGAGAATACATTTCACTTTAATTTGAAGATTTTTGCTTCTTGGGTTCTCGTCTCTTTGGTTCTTTGGTTAGTTTAAGTTGAATTGAGAGTCGATTCGAAAGAAAGAATCGATTTTTCTGGCTTTGTGTGAGAAACTGAGTCTTCGTGGTGACATTTGGATCGTAATGTTCATCAGGAATTCGTAGATTCAAGGATGATGATCACTTATGCTCAAGTTTAGGCTTTTTGGTTAAGTTGCGTGATGAATTCACTTGCTTGATTACGACCCTTTTGCTTCAGATTTACTCTAGTTCTTTTTTCAAGATCTGTATCTCGTTGTCATTGTCTTTGATGCCATATTCTAAGATGAGTCTTTATCTGATTTGTTGAAGTATTTGACTTGATTTTAGTTTCCAGATGCCTTATTGTTATGATTAGAGAAGCTTAAGATCTGTATTTTTAGGATGCCCAACTGAATAGTGGATAAAGTTGTGTTGATTTAATTATCTTAAATGCTGGCTTTAATTATCAGAAATTGGTTTGTGTCTAATTTTGTTGATGATCAAAGGATAATTCACCAGTCATTTTGAATCATCCTGCAAGTTTTGTGTTAACTGCAGTCATTTGTACATGTCCACGGTTAACCTGTTCGATTCTGGCTTTGCAGATTTTAACGGTGGACTGGGGAGTCTTGAAGATTATTTTTACTCCTGGTCTCTTTTTCTTATGTGGTGGTGCTTGAGAGGGTTTTTGTATGATATAAATGCGCTAGATCAGAGAAAAGGTCTAACATGAAGTTATCGAATATTCCGCAACGTTATGTCATAGTCTTCTTAACTTTCCTCAGCACATGTGTGTGTTACATAGAGCGTGTTGGCTTCTCTATTGCATATACTGTCGCTGCAGATGCTGCTGGGATCAATCAATCAAGCAAAGGAACCATACTTTCTACCTTCTTTGTTGGCTACGCTTGCTCTCAAGTCCCTGGAGGTTGGGCAGCTCAGAAAATTGGGGGAAGGAAAGTACTTCTTCTGTCATTTGTGTTATGGTCATCGACGTGTTTCTTGGTTCCGCTTGATCCAAACAGAGTCGGGCTTTTAGTTGTTGCCCGTTTACTTGTTGGTGTCGCTCAAGGTTTCATCTTTCCCTCTATCCACACAGTTTTGGCGCAGTGGGTTCCTCCTCATGAGAGGTCGAGATTGGTTTCCATAACGACATCAGGAATGTATTTAGGTGCAGCTTTAGGAATGTGGCTTCTCCCTGCTTTAGTTGAGCTTAGAGGGCCAGAATCAGTTTTCTTAGCAGAGGCATTAGCAGGTGTTATATGGTCATTGCTTTGGATTAGGTACGCTACTGACCCACCTCGGTCCGAGCATCCAAAAGCTGCTGCTGCTGGATTTGGAGGTGCTCTGTTGCCGACTAATGTAAACCACCATAAAGTTACTCATATCCCTTGGAAGAAAATCATGCTCAGTCTACCTGTTTGGGCGATTGTGGTTAACAATTTCACATTCCATTACGCTTTATATGTGTTGATGAACTGGCTTCCAACGTATTTCGAGCTTGGGCTCCAGATCAGTCTCCAGGGAATGGATTCATCAAAGATGGTGCCATACCTCAACATGTTTGTGTTCTCCATTGTTGGTGGGTTTATCGCAGACTATTTGATCACCAAGAGAATACTCTCAGTGACCAGAACCCGCAAGTTCTTGAACACGGTTGGGTTCCTAGTTGCTTCAGCAGCATTGATGGCTTTGCCAATATTTAGAACCGAAAATGGTGTGATCCTCTGTTCCTCTGTGGCTCTTGGGTTTCTGGCATTAGGAAGAGCCGGTTTTGCCGTAAACCATATGGATATCGCTCCAAGATATGCAGGGATTGTGATGGGAGTTTCAAATACAGCTGGGACATTAGCTGGAATAATTGGTGTGGATTTGACTGGAAAGCTTCTTGAAGCTTCTAAATTGGTTTACTCAGATTTGTCACATCCTGAGAGCTGGAGAGCTGTGTTCTTCATCCCGGGTTTGCTCTGTATCTTTAGCTCCGTTGTGTTTTTGCTGTTTTCAACAGGAGAAAGGATCTTTGATTGAGAGAAAAAAGAAAAGATCAAAACTTTTTAGAGAAACCCTTGTCAAGATTAGTTAGTAAACAAGCCTCTACAATTTGAAAGATCGATTGATTCGATACTCTCAGATTCTTTGTGCAGTAGTAAAAGATCTAAGTTGATTGATGGGTTTTGAAATCTTGTCCTCAGGCTTATTGTTATTCTTTGTTTCTTGGTGAATAAACTTGAATCACACCAAACGAGTATTGGTTTGATCTTTCAAATATACTATGAATAAGAATTGAAAAAATTGTAACCTTAGTATTATTCTTCTTTTAAAGTTGAGGGGTTTTGTAATTTGGATGTTGTAAAAGTTGTTGACTTCTTATAAAAACGAGTTCAGATTATTCAATTTCATTTTTGTTTCCATTTGTTTATTGTTAATCTCTAAATCAGTATAATCTTGGTTTTATGCTCTCACTGGAACACAAAGGACTCATGCAGTGGAAGACAACTACACAATTAGAAAACGTCGACACGTTGCTTTCATGCCGTTGAAATTGCAGTAAATATATAATCTGACGATCGCTTCATTTAATGTTTTGATTACTAATTTGTCATATGTATAAATTTAATCATCCTTACAATTTAGTGAATTACCAAAACTCATGCCATTTTTACTGCAAATCAAACCACTTGCTTAGGATCCCATAATATGAGAAGAGTTGTTTTGAGACATTTTCGAACACTACAAATTATAATATTTTGATAGTAGAAATAGTCATTAATGAATGCAAGTTGGTAGGTTTTTCCCATATTAACACAATTAGATAGGAAAATTTACATAATTACTATATAATTAGCACAAATCTGTGAATATTTATCTTCTTCTAGGTCTATATTAGCTATAGAGGTATACGTAAATAAATGAGAAAATATTACAAAAACTGATATATATTAGAACACGTAATTCCATTATTTGAATAAACTTACTCGAAAAATAAAGATATAAATATACTTAATTTTCTAATACCTAAACTTAGAAGCCTATTATTTTTAATGTTTCTTTTTGTTTTGTGCATGCAACACAAAATTCCAAATATTCATTTTCAAAGAAATCTAAATTTTTAATTTCTTCGTCGGTGTGAGTTGGAACCTTGTTTATTATTTCTGCAACTTCATAAGTTCTCTAATCAAAATCTCTGATAAAACTCTCTTCTCATCACAAGAACAAAGAACAAATGATATATCTCTGCTGTAGCTTCAAACACAAGAAAACCAAAACACTAAGGATGAGAACGCTTGAAGCTTTTGTTGTGTCTCTGTTTCTTGTCTTCTTAGTCAAATGGGTCAACTCTGATTCCAATTCTGTTCCTGGTAGAGAGCAATTTCTTAGTTGCATGTCGACACATTCTGATTCAAGCTTCACAAACCCTAGAAGCTTCATCCACGAGCCGGATTCAAGTCTTTACACCGAGTTATCGCAATCTTTATCACAAAACTACAGAATCCTGACCTTGAATTTCACAAGCCAGAAGCCGATTCTGATCGTTACACCAAGAACTGAATCAGAAATCCAGAGATCATTACTCTGCAGCAGGAAACTTGGGGTACAAGTTAGGACTAAAAGCGGTGGTCATGACTATGAAGGCCTTTCTTACCTCTCATTACACTCTCCTTTCATCATCCTAGACCTCGTTAATCTTCGATCTATCGAGATCAACCTCGCGGATGAAACAGCTTGGGTTGGAGCTGGTGCTACCATCGGTGAGCTTTACTATAAAATTGCTAAATCCAGCAAGATCCATGGCTTCCCTGCAGGAACATGTCCTAGTGTTGGAGTTGGAGGTCATTTTAGTGGAGGAGGGTTTGGTGCAATGATGAGGAAACACGGTTTGGCCGCAGATAACATTGTGGACGCGCGTTTCGTAGACGCAAACGGGAGAATCTACAACAGTAGAAGAGAAATGGGAGAAGATTTGTTCTGGGCGATTAGAGGAGGTGGAGCAGCTAGCTTTGGTGTTGTAGTTTCATGGAAAGTGAAGCTAGTTAGGGTACCAGAGAAGGTAACGTGCTTTACAAGATACCTACCTTTCACACAGAACATGACAAACACTGTTCATAGATGGCAACATATTGCAGCAGAGCTTGAAGATAATCTCTTCATCCGAGTCATCATTTACAATTCTGGAGGATCTGTTCAAGCTACGTTCCAAGCAAATTATCTTGGAGGTATTGATAAACTGATCCCTCTTATGAATCAGAAGTTTCCGGAATTGGGGTTAAGGGTTCAAGATTGTTCTGAAATGAGCTGGATCGATTCAATAATGTACTTTAACTGGAAGAAAGGGCAGCCACTAGAGACACTTCTCGACCGAGAACAAAGATACAATGATCTGTATTTCAAAGCAAAATCTGATTTTGTCAAGAACCCGGTTCCTGAAATCGGTCTAGAAGGTATATGGAAGAGGTTTCACGAGGTCGAATCACCGATGATGATACTGGAACCATTAGGTGGTAAAATGTATGAGATTGGTGAATCAGAGACTCCATTTCCACATAGAAGAGGGAATCTATATAATATCCAATACATGGTGAAATGGAGAGTGAAGGACATTGGAGAGATGGAGAAACATGTGAGATGGATGAGGTTGCTTTATAGGTATATGAGTGTTTATGTCTCAGGATCACCAAGAGGGGCTTACTTGAATTACAGAGATCTTGATTTAGGTATGAACAGAGGAGTTAATACGAGCTTTGAAGATGCGAGGTTATGGGGGCTTAGGTATTTTGGAAGTAATTTCAAGAGATTGGCTTTGGTTAAAGGGAAGATTGATCCAACCAATTTCTTTAGGAATGAACAAAGTATTCCTCCTTTGGTTGTCTAAGAGACAACTAAGGTTTAAGTATCAGACAAAACCAATGTTTGTTTGTTTGTGTTCTTGTAATTGGACTTATATATGTCTCTATGATCAAATATTGTATAGTCCTCATGTTAGTGTGATAGTGATGGTGTTATGTTGTGATATTTCTAAGTCTCAATATAATATTTTCTTCTTCTTTGTAACCTAAACAATGAAGTAATATAGCCATATAGGATGGAACATCTAGCCCTCCGAGTATACGAATAGTCTAATTTTGTGATCATTTAATGTTTTTTTTTTGTCAATCATATAAAAAGTATGGAGTATGTTATATCTTGTCTAAACTCAGAATAATGATACAACAACGACACTAATTAATTGCAATAAACTCAGAATAATGATTACAAAAACGACACTAATTGTAATAAACTCAGAATAATGAAACAACAACGACAAAATGAGTGCAACAATGGAGGAGCATAACTCCCTTCTAAAAGTCGAGAAAAAATTTCCACAGCCAAGAAGACAAAAATTGCAATAAAGTCGTTTGCTGATTAATAAGCAATATTAGGGAAGCACCTCATGGGAAATAGAGGAACGAGCAAAACGCAAGTATCCAGCCATAATTACATAACACATGTGTTGTTGTAGACTCACAAAGCCAACAAAGATATTTATATTAATGTTTATATGGTTGAATAATAATAGTCTACAAAGATATATATGTAGAACGAGCTAGAAAAGTAGCAAGATCATTAAAAAGAACGAGTCTATATAGTGAATACTAGAATAGTACAATAGCAAGAGATATCAGACTTATTAGTACTAGAACAGTACAATAGCAAGAGATATCATACTTATCAAACTTATTCCAAAAATATTGAAGACCGAAAACAAATCTCAATTACTTGAGCTCATTTATAACATTAGTAACTTGAGCTTGCCGTATAATCGCTTAAGTGTGAGTGAATAAATTACTAAAATTGTTATAAAAAAAAAACAATATGAAATAACTATCATCTTATAGTCTGGATCAACCGATAGATTTCAGTCACGGGGTAAATTGAGTCGATTAATGAATTCAGGGAAAAAAATACAAGAAAGAAAAGATGGTTAAAATATCAAAATAGGATAACTAATACAAAACACAAGCGAACAAAATCAACCACAGCACAATTGACTGACTCACTTAGGTAGGAATCGCTGGTCATCCATGAGAAATGTCAGAAGGATCTTAAAGGGGGCGATTACTTATTTTCTCTATATCACTTTTCTGTTATGTCATTATACAGCTTTGTTGTATCAAACTTTCATTTGAAAATTCTCTTAAACTTTGTAATCTTTTTTGTTCCCTTTGAAATGATAGAAAAACCAAGTTATTGAACTAAATAATATGTCGAAATCGATCAGTTTCGATTTGGTCTATTATTGTCCCTCTTTAAATCCATCTTTATCAATTATCATGCATTGTTATATTATACATGCACAAATCTTGTCACAAGTTAAAAATACTCAATTTGTTTTGTTGTCGCTTTTTTGGAAGAAAGATGTTTGAATAGTAGAAGAACAAATCATATGCGTGGCTACTTTATTAGACATTCGTTGATCATTACATTTTATAATCACGTCCGACAGATTTCACATTCACGCATGAGCTATTATTGGTTCTACTTAATCTAATCTTTTTGACTTATAATTCTAACGCTAACTCGTATAACTCGATTATCACGTTATTACTTTTTGGAACAAGTGATTTTTTTCCATAGTAATTATACACTCTTGACTTGACCATAAATTTTTAAAAATAATTAAAAACTTGGAAACTATCTTATGCAAATGCACTTCTTAAAAATCTTTTATATTTTAGACAACTTTGAAAGAAAAATGTTATGCTTATCCAATATATTATACACGTATATCATGCAAGTACAATTAAAGAGTTTTTTTTTTTACTTTTAATTAAAATTAAGTACATATTTGTCAAGTGTCTTGTATATTATAAGTTTTATAAGATATTTCAAATTTTTGATCAAAATATCTAAGACTACCCATGACTTGACTATAGTAAAACTTAGTGGTAAGCATGATATGCAAAAAAATAAAAATAAAGAAGAAGTAATCAAGTAACAATAAAATAAGAAAACTTAGCAATGGAGGCTTGGCTTTGCCACTATAAGTTTTGTTTTTGAATTAGGTAAAGATGTATCGAATCAAACCCATAGAAGACTGTCTTTGTCTAACACTTATTTTATTTAGTCGCATTTCATTTTAAAAAATAAAAGCTTTACAGTAAACACCTTTTTCCAAAAGTATTGATTTGATTTCTTTGTCTATTATTATTCACTATCAATCATCTTTGTATTTTCATGTTTTTTATAAAGTTATACAGATTCAACATTTTACTATATTTAATTTCTGAGCATTAGGAAAAAAGAAAACATCTTTAAATAGATTCTCTTATTTATACCATGTCTTCTAGAATTTCACGAAACCACATTAAACCAAAACCTTCAAAATAATACCAAAAACTTATTATAAACAAGTTTCTTATCAATTAAACATTTACACCGGTAATTTAATTATCAAAATAAACTAAATATCAACTTAGTAATAATTGAAAGAAAAAAATCAACTTAAATAATTTAGTCTTATACATTTAGGACCAAATGAAAATAATAAAGTTTTCTCAAGAATAAATTGTAATACAAATACTACCAATTTTTAAAATATAAAATTTATTTCATAAAAATTAAAAATTGATCCGCTATTAAAACCTAGTACATATATTATGGCACTACACAAAATAAACCATTTCCAAGTGTCATATATTTATTTTTTGATATAAAGAGAATTTACAGAGTAATAATTAAGAAAGAAAACTATTCCAACTGTAATACTCAGATTTTGATTGATATAGACCAAAATTATATTATGTCACATTTCTTATACAAAAAAATTAAATAATATCACCCAACAAAACCACACTTACTAATTACCATATTAGATTTGACATAATCATTGAAACTTTACAAATAGCACAACACTAAGAATTTGGTCTTGATCTCCAATCAGAGTGAGAGATTTTCAAAACTTTTTAAGCACAAGCTTAACTAGGCTTAATTAACCTAACCATTTTTATTAGCTAATTTGGCTGACAGAAACCTAATTGGTTACCTTTTTCAGTTAATAATTTTCATGTCAACTAATTAATATTGCCACATAACCTACCATCACATTATAGTGCTATTTAGCTGAGTGAAACCTAATTGGCTTTCACTTACCAACTACAAGCACTTCTAAATTAATACTACTACTAATACATTACCTAACAATTTCTTTTGGTACATAATATATTTTCCAAAGCAACACTAATGTATTTTCCAAAGCAAACCCAATCTTTGATCATTATGAACTTTGATTTGTTTCGAACGCACTTATATAGTTTTAAATAACTTTTAAAACAAAAAAAAAGAAACATATCATTTTAAAAATAACATACATTTTAGTTCTTCAAAAGATACTTTTGAAAAGTATAAATGTAAACGCCAAACACAATTATGTACAACCGTTTGCGCTTATTTTCTCTATTTGAAATGTTTACGATTGTGATTCATTTGAAGAAAAAAAAGAAGTATCTTTACATAATCGCAAACATAAATTGTTTGCGTTTGATGTTTATGCTTACAAATTAACCAAAAAAAAAACATTTTCAAATTGTGATTCATTTGAAAATTTATCAAAATGAGGTGCAATGGTAAATAAGAAAAAAAAATTTGCGTTCATATAAAATCATGTATTTATTACTTATATATACCAATAATCTTGTGAGAGAAAAAAATACAAAAAAAATTATATGCAAAAAGATTATATTTTTTTGGCTACTCCAAATCTAAGAACAAGACAAGATAGTGTCAAAACAATGGCTAAGATCTTCCCACACAAGAGACTAGTAAGCACAACCACGATCAGGGCAACACCATTCATTGTATCTCCTCCCTTTGATCTCATCAATGGCGTTGGATTCATCATCTCTTCGTCTCTCTCAGACTCAATACTCATCTCTGTTTTATCTTTTAGAACCAAACTCGAGACTTCTTCAATCAAAGACTCTTCTTTGGTCTTCATCGTTAACTTCTTCTTTTTACTAAAACTCCTCAGCTTCTTCAAAATCTTCGATTTTAGTCTCGAACTTTTATCTGTTGACTTCTCGTCCTTTGTCAAAAGATCACGAATTGTTAAATCTTTGGAATTCGAATCCTCTGTTTCAGCTACTACATGTTGCTCTGTTTCTTTGTGAACTCGAGTTTCATCGAAAGTTTCGATTTTTACGTGGGAAATCGCGTTTTCGACTTTGTTACAGAGCTTGGAGCGCGTGAAAAGACGCGCCGTCACGAGCTCTGTTAAGAGAAGAGCAAAAGCGGAGAGAGTGATTCCTACAGTGAGCTTCTTCTTCGTGCTCAAGGCGAGCAACGCCACTACTAAAACCTTAAACGCCATCAAAACAAACGCACCGCTTCCACCGCAAACGCAAACGCTATTTTTAACCGCCGCTGGTTTCCCTTTAACACTATTAGCTTTCTCGATCTTACTTTTTACAGCTTCCCTCTTCGTGGGCTTTTCCAAAACCGTATCTTGATTATTAATCAACGAAGAAGCGGTTGGAGCGGTTTGAATCTGGCGTTCGATTCGTTGAAAGCGTTTAGAAGGTTGTTTCTTGAAACGATCGCGGTTTTTAAAGAAGAGATCGATCAGAGAAGCTGGGAAGCCAGTTTCTACGAACAAAGAACCGTCGCGTTTCGTAGAGTTCTTCTGAAACTCTGACAAGAATCTTAAGATTCGACTCGACTTTGGTTTTTTCCATGCTAGAGACATGACTATGACAAAACCGAACAAAGGAGAGACCTTTGAGTTGTGTTTGGTTTTTTTTTTTTTTTTGTGGGTTAGAAGAGAGATCGATGAAGAGTTTAAGTGACAAGTCGAAGCAATTTATATATACTACTAGTACATGGGAAGTGAAGAAGGATCGGAGAAAGTGAAAGGTTCACTTTTTTTTATGAGTGTGTGTATTTTAAAACACGAGCTAAATGATGAGTAATTATAGAGAAAACGGAAAGAGAGAAATATATAAAATTTTCAAGTACTATAAAGTTTTAAAGTTGTACAAAACCGAGTTAAGGAATTATATTTATAAAGTATATTTAGCTTTTTCTATACTTTAGATTTTTAAAAGTTAAAGATGCTTGAAAATTTTGGAAAATTCTATAAGAAATTTGAAGTATATGTATTTAGCTTTTTTACTTTGATTTTTTTATTGAATGTAAAAAGATGTTGGAAAATTGAGAAATTTGGCAAAAATTCTTGTGAAGAAGTACGTTAAAGATCTATTATAATCATTTTAAAAAGATTTAATTTATAATATTAAGAGTACAAGAAAATTCCAAATTAGTGACTTTAATCTCATTTTGATATTGGAATCTACCTACAATAGGAATTTTTTTTATGGGTTGGCATGAGCCTGTAATCCATTTTATTTACAAAGTTTAGATTGTTCCATAAAGTTTTATATCAAAAATAACTATATTTGTAAGGAAAAATGTTTTTTTTACCTTCTTTTTTTTTGGAATTTTTATTTTATCTTATTTAAAGTAAAAGCTTTTGGACAAACTTGTTTTAAGATGGATTTAATAACAACAACACACATTATCAACATACACGTCTCATACCACTAATTAAAGAGCTAGTGCTAAAGAGTTTCTATGTTAGGTATACAATTTCTCAAATTTTAACTTAGTACAACCATTGCTCAACTGTAAACGAGTAAACAAGGATCATAACTCTAGAGCCAGACTAGCTTTATTATAAATAATCAATTATTGCAAGTTCTACTTAAATCACTTGCAAAAGCTTCACGTTGTCTTCTATATGGTTTATAGAAAGGTACTAATTAACTAGTTTATAGAGATACAGTTCACTTCCTTGGATTTGAAGTCTTATAATTGTCAACTCTCTCGATATTAAGGCTTAAGAGACGTCGAGATCAGTCCTTTCATAAGAGGACCGAGCAGGGGAGAACAACTAAAACATCTCTCCACAAGGATCAAGAAGTCAATGACCGTGCTCGTAATCTTTTCCTAGAAGTACTTAAGAACTAAGAAGATACTAAAACGTCTCTTCAAAACCGACACGAAGAACCTTGAGGGTTGAAGAAGCTGACAAAGGGAACAAATTTTTGGGGTCAATCATCTCTAGAAACTATAGAATCTTTTACTTCAAATAAACTCTATCTAATTAAGATTGGCACATCGAACACTCTAAAGTCTAAACAAAGTGTAAATCTTCTTTTCTTATTGCCCTTTTCGACATCAAAACAAGTAACAAGAGAGAACCATGGGCCTAGAGCCCGTAGTCCATTTTGGTCCAACAACAGCCAATATACAATATTGTGTGTTGTGTGATGTTAACTACTTGATTCTGTCTCTGTCCAAAAAACAAACACATTCATATCTTGGTAGTCATGTAAGCCTTTGCTTCTTCCTTTGTAGTCAGCTTTAAAGGTTTGCTATTGCTACTATCATAATGTACCATTGGTGTAAGTGTAATGAGAATATATGAGCACAGTGTTTCTGTGTTCATGCTTGCCTACTAATTGTATTGTGGTATCCAAGTTTTCAGTACTACATTGATCTCACATTCAACTTTTCAGCTAAGTGTTTAGAATTGTGTCTTAGTCAGATGAATCATGCCTGATCTTCACGGCTTTAGAGGCTCATGTAAACTAAACTCATCAATGGTATACACAAGATTCTAGATTACTATTGAATAGTTGTTGATAGAATCTGAATCAAGAAATGAAAATACTTAGGGATATATCGTGAAGGTGGCCTTTGATGCACCAGAATTCATATATATAACATATCCCTTAATTCCAACTGCTTTGTATGTGAGGGCCACGGACGTGTATGTGTGTTTTGACGTTTAATTAAGACATACTTCCGTATACAACAAACCATGGCAAATGTAACCTCTTGTTTCATTATATAAACAACAAACAATATTGCATACTACACAAGGCATTTAGTTAATACAATAATATATTATTTTGCAAAAAAGAGACTTTGAAAATTTTATTGGATCATTGATTTTGATGGATTTGGAAATCCAAACAAAAATCCTATGTTATTCAATCTTTGATTTTAAAATAACTATCAAAATCATGTTTTATTGGTTGTATGATTTATAAATACTAGTTAAAATCCTATGTTATTCGTTTAGTGATTTGTTTTTGGATTTTAAAATCCGCAGTATGTTTTAAATGAATTTGAAAGGATTTGATAGTGTAAAATATAAGGATTCAAATCTAAGGATAAAACATGTTATTTCAAAATCCATGTATTTTGATTTCATAAATAATAAGGATTCACAAATTCTAGGTGGATTTACAAATCCATAAACCAATAACCAAGCTTCTATCTTATAAGTTCAAAATTGTATGTACTTTTATGGCTTAATTATGTTATGTAACTTTAAGGATAATTTTATTGCTCTTTAAGATTCATCATTTTAGATATAAAGAGTCCCTAATATTTGTATTTTTGCTATACCAAAAGTGATGGGCCTTTTTCAACTATAAAGATGGCCCAAAAATATGATCTGTGGGTCTACCATAGTCAAAACTTGCTTTGATTGATGCATAATTGTTGTAAAACAATACCGGTTTTGGCAGATGATTAAACCGGGCTATAAATTAGAGAACTCAATAATCTCTGTCTTCAATAAATTTCCAAAAATAATGTCATTTGTCATTACGTTATAATAACCGGCAAAAAAAATAAATTATCTCTTTTGTACCATTCACAAATGTAATTTTTTATTTATTTTAATAATATTACTTTAATAAATACCAAAAATATCTTCTAGACAAGTGGGACAGTACAGATATATTTTGAAATCCTCCGCTGTCAATCTGTCATACAGCGCAGAGTACACAAATCGAAACTAACAAAACAATAAGGGTACCATTTAAAATATTAAACAAACCAAAAGGACCAAGTTGCAAATAAAAACAAAGTAAAAGGACTTAATTGTAAATAAATATTTTAGAAAGCTTATTGAAGAAGACGTAAACTATATATAGCTGATTATTACCCATTCCCACAAATCCCCCTTTTTAAACCTATTCAAAGCTAAGGACAAGAAAAAAAAAAAAAGAAAAAAAAAAACAAAGGAGTCGCCCATCTTCTCATTTTTTTTTTTTTTCACAACAGAGAAAACACAGAGAGGAAAAAAAAAAATGAGAGAGATCCTTCATATCCAAGGTGGTCAATGTGGAAACCAGATCGGAGCAAAGTTCTGGGAAGTGATCTGCGACGAACACGGCATTGATCACACCGGTCAATACGTCGGCGATTCTCCGTTACAGCTTGAACGGATCGATGTGTATTTCAACGAAGCTAGCGGTGGGAAGTACGTTCCTCGCGCTGTTCTTATGGATCTGGAGCCTGGTACCATGGATTCGCTCAGATCTGGTCCTTTTGGTCAGATTTTTCGTCCTGATAACTTCGTCTTTGGCCAGTCCGGTGCTGGGAATAACTGGGCGAAAGGTCATTATACCGAAGGTGCTGAGTTGATTGATTCCGTTCTTGATGTTGTTAGGAAGGAGGCTGAGAACAGCGATTGTCTTCAAGGTGAGAACAAGTTTTTGAATCTCGATCTGTTTTTTTTTTTTGTATAATCTCGATTGATGTAGCGCTTAGGAACGAGAACAATCGAACTCGATTTAGGTCTTCGTTGATTGATGTGTTTGAGATGGTTTTTGTGTTATGTACATGTTCTTATATATATGGTTTTTGTTTCTTGGATTTAGGTTTCCAAGTGTGCCATTCATTGGGTGGAGGAACCGGATCTGGAATGGGAACTCTTTTGATTTCTAAGATTAGAGAAGAGTATCCAGATCGTATGATGATGACGTTCTCTGTGTTTCCTTCTCCTAAGGTCTCTGACACTGTTGTTGAGCCATACAACGCTACTCTCTCTGTGCATCAGCTTGTTGAAAACGCTGACGAGTGTATGGTTTTGGACAATGAAGCTCTTTACGATATCTGTTTCCGTACATTGAAGCTTGCCAATCCCACCTGTGAGTAAATTATACAATCTCTCGTTTAATTTTGTTCATAGAACAGGATTGATTAGTGTATTTGTGTTATGTGATCGAGTTCTGACTTGTTTTTGTTTCTTTTGTGTTTTGTTAGTTGGTGATCTTAACCACCTCATCTCTGCTACAATGAGTGGTGTTACATGCTGTCTCCGTTTCCCTGGTCAGCTTAACTCTGACCTTAGGAAGCTTGCTGTGAACCTTATCCCCTTCCCAAGGCTTCACTTCTTCATGGTTGGTTTCGCTCCGTTGACATCGAGAGGATCACAGCAGTACAGTGCCTTGAGTGTCCCTGAACTGACCCAGCAGATGTGGGATGCAAAGAACATGATGTGCGCTGCTGACCCTCGTCACGGACGTTACTTGACTGCATCCGCTGTGTTCCGTGGAAAGCTGAGCACGAAAGAGGTTGATGAGCAGATGATGAACATTCAGAACAAAAACTCATCATACTTTGTTGAATGGATCCCAAACAACGTCAAGTCCAGTGTCTGTGATATCGCACCAAAGGGTTTGAAAATGGCGTCGACTTTCATTGGTAACTCAACTTCAATCCAGGAGATGTTCAGGCGTGTAAGCGAACAGTTCACAGCCATGTTCAGGAGAAAGGCTTTCCTCCATTGGTACACAGGTGAAGGCATGGACGAGATGGAGTTCACTGAAGCAGAGAGTAACATGAATGATCTTGTCGCAGAGTACCAGCAGTACCAAGATGCTACAGCCGGAGAAGAGGAGTACGAGGAGGAAGAAGAGGAGTACGAGGCTTAAGATGTTGTCAACCGCTCCATTGGATTCGTAAGCTGTGTAAGCAAGCAGCATTCCCTTTCTTCTTTCCCCCTCAATCCTGAATTTTTTTTCGTAATATCTCTTAATTTCGTTCATGTGTGTTCGTTCTGTTATTGAAACCCAATCTCGTTCTGGATTTGTTTAAAACTTTTGCGTGTATTGCTTATTGTTTTTGTCAGTGAAAAAAAAAATATTGCTTTTGTTCTTTCAAGTTTATGTCCCCATTTTGCAAAAGAGCTTAAAGGTACATTTCACTTTCGAGCAAACTTTATAAAAATGTGACAAATTGTTTAATCTATACATCCTTTGGTGGTAAATCACGCCTAAACACTTATTTGGCCAACGTGAAGAGCCTTTCTTTCACCATTGTGAACACTTCTCTGAGCTGAAGAAGATTCTGAAGCAATTCGTTGACATGCTTTTTCGTTATCTTCCCTTTCTTTGATCAAATCTGCACACAACTTCCTTGCTTTGCTTGTCATGCAATCTGCTTCACCACTGATGAATTTATGGAGTTCGTCAATCAAATTCTGATCCAGTTTCTTCCCTTTAGTAGTCGAGGCTGCAGTTCCTACACTTTCCAAGTTCGTCTCGTAATGATTCCCAAACCTTAGCCTTCGAGCAGCACCAACTGTCAAACTCCATTTTCTCTGGTCTACTTCCTCATCTTCTCCCCATTTACATTCCCGGGGTTGTGTATTCAGACCTGGCGAGTTTTGTTCAACCGATTCAGAGGAAACATGCGAGTTCGTCTTGTAAATGTTACCCGGTTCTGAGCTAGTTCCAGCTAGAGCCTTGTTATCTTTCATCCAACGTGAACACCTGAAAGAGAAGTTATCTGAAAAGCTACTGCTCAACAACAATTCTTCTGGACTCTCTGCTACTGTTGCCTGTTCTTTTTCTGCTAACATCTCAGTAGCCCGTTCGAAAGATTTGAAAAACGGTTCCTTGTGTCTTACATCCTCAAGCAGAGATTTAGCTTCCGGGATTCTATCCATATGAATCAAACATATCGCAAGATTGCACAGCTTGTTATTGTCAGGCTCCAAAGACAACGCATTCCTATCACAGTAAAACCCATTCACACATGTTTAAGGCAAATCAAAACATCAATATGTTCAATAAGCTCAATGATCTGTCACACAAACCTGTAATACTGCTCTGCAACTTCATAACTATGAATCTGTAAGTGAACCCAAGCTAAGTTCCCTAGAATCCTATATTCAACAAAGCCAAAGAACTACTCTTCAGCTATAAAACAGAACCAGGAGATCATTTGTAGTGGGATGCAAACACTTCAGTTCTTACCGCGCTTTCTCATGCTCGATAGTGATGCTTCTCTGCTTCCCGTTCCTTCTTTTCGCAGCTCTGATCCTACCACCATAGAGCTTGTCTTGTTCAAGTGTTTTCAGTTTGTGTTCAAGCAACTCAATTTCCTCTTGAAACCTCCCTGACTTCTGCCAAAACCCAAATCTCAATCATAGTTACATACTGAGCATACAAAGTAGCTTGAAAACTAGTCATCAGACTGATAAAGCGATTACCTTATAGAGTTCACATAACAAGTTATCAATAGAATCTTGGGATTCAAAGGAGCAGAGATATCGAAAAGACTTGATAGCTTCGATTCCTTCATTAGATCGATCCAATTGTTTCATAACTAAAGCCATGTCCTTCAACGCACTATCAACTCGATCTCCAGCATTGATCGCAGCCCAAAACAACGAGATAGCTAAATCCAAGTCTTTAGAAACCAACTGTTCTTGAAAAAAAATCATATAAACGAAGACAATTCAATTAAAAAAACCCAAACTTAGTCACAGGAGAATAAGATTCATAAACCCTAAAATTAGTCAAATTGATAATATTACCTGAGCATGCTTGGCTCTCACGTAAGGGGAATCACCAAAAGGAACCTTGTGGATCATGTGAAACAGTTCTTGATTCTTGATCGAAGACGTTCTTTTTTTTCTCTCCGACATTGGCATCGCCGCGTAAACTCTTCTCGTCGTGTCCCATGACGGTGGTGGAGTCCATAAACCACGACGGCTCTCACGACTCGGCATAACGAGAAACTTTTTCGATTTTCTCGGAAAAAATCAAGACTTTTTTTTCTCACGCACTTACTTTAATTTTCTCGAGAAAAAACGTTTCCGATGTCAGATTCTTGGGTTCCGTTGAGTATTTTTGTTTAAAGATCAAGAACCCAAGGCAATTCCGAACCGGAAGAAGAGAAAAGACTGACGGAGAAAATTTTCCCGAGAAAATTGGAGTTAAAAATCCAATCTTTTGAATGTTCTCTGGAGAAGAGAGAAAGAGAGTAACAAATCTTTATATAGAGTTGGGTTTCAATTACCTAACGAAAACAAACGGGAATTAATTGAAACATTAATATAAAAATAAGGACTTGTATTTAAATAAAATTAGTTTCTGACGGGGACATATTGGTAATTCACTCAAATCTTGTAAAATTTTGAACCTTAACGGTCTTATTCAGTTTCCAAACGTTTAGATTAGCTTAAACGACGTCATTTAGTTATATGAGACCATAATGGGCTTCAAAGGGCTAAGGATTTTTATGACAATTTAAAAGCCCATAAGGCCGTGAGCTCGCCGTGATCGTCTTTATAACAATAACCGTAACAATACTCATCACCAACGCCGTGAAGCCGCCGCGTTTAAATCTTCAGTTGATATTCAACCGGAATGGAATATGCTTGAGCAGATTCCTTTCTCAACTTTTTCAAAGCTTTCATTTACAGTTCAAGAGCCTGAAGATCTTCTTCTTTGTGGTGGGCTTGAGAGTTATGATCGGAGTTTTGATCGTATCACACCTAAAGCTGATCGTAGACTTGAGCGTTTCAAGAACAGGAGCTTTAAGGTTACTACAAGTGATGATCTTGTGATTAGGCGTCTTGCTAAGGAAGATAAAGCTACTGTTTTTGCTACTGATGCGATTTTAGCTGCTCTTATGTGTGCTCCTAGATCGGTTTATTCTTGGGATCTTGTGATTCAACGTGTTGGGAACAAGCTTTTCTTTGATAAGAGAGATGGGTCACCACTAGATTTGTTATCTGTTCATGAGACTTCTCAAGATCCTTTGCCCGAAGCTAGGGATGATATTAACTCTGTTCATTCTCTAGGTATGGAGGCTGCTTATATTAATCAGAGTTTTGCACAGCAGGTTTTGGTTAGGAATGAGAAAAGAGAAGCTTTTGATGAGCCAAGTCCTAATGTTAATGAAGGTGAAGAGAATGCTTCTGTTGCTTATAGGTATAGGAGATGGAAGCTTGATGATAGTATGTATTTAGTTGCTAGATGTGAGTTACAGAGCACTGTTGATCTGAATAACCAGAGATCGTTCTTAACTTTGAATGCTCTTAACGAGTTCGATCCTAAATACTCTGGTGTTGATTGGAGACAAAAGCTCGAGACTCAAAGAGGTGCGGTTTTAGCTAATGAGTTGAAGAACAATGGTAATAAGTTGGCGAAATGGACCGCGCAAGCTATCTTGGCTAATGCTGATATGATGAAGATTGGGTTTGTCTCAAGGGTTCATCCTCGTGATCATTTCAACCATGTTATATTATCGGTTTTTGGGGTATAAGCCGAAGGATTTCGCTGGGCAGATCAATCTTAACACTAACAACATGTGGGGAATAGTGAAGTCGATTGTTGATCTGTGTATGAAGTTAAGTGAAGGAAAGTATGTATTAGTGAAGGATCCATCGAAGCCTCAAGTTAGGATTTACGAAGTTCCGGCTGATGCATTTGAGAATGATTATGTGGAAGAGCCTCTTCCCGAGAATGAACAGGTTCAGCCACCTGAGGAGAATACTGAAGCAGGAGCTGAGACTAATGGAGCTTCCTCTACTAACGTATCTGCAGAAGATAAGAAACCCGAAGATCAAGCCTGATTGTGATGATATGGTATATTTTGAGTTACTTTTCAGAAATGTTCCCAAATTGTTCACTGTTCATATAATAGACAGTTTATGTGATTGGTTCATACTCTTTAGCTGAATGATTAAAGATTGTTGTTGTTTTTGAATTAGCACAACTCCTCATTTCATAAGTTCTTCGAGTTCCAACAGTACATACAACACCTTTTTATCTGAGGCTTCAGATTTTGTTCGCTATCCATATATTTAAGGTGGACTTTAGAGGAGCAATGAGAGATATTAAGATGACTACTATAGATAATTAATCGTTTCTAGCGCTCAAGGTGCAATTTGAATGTTTCACCTTCTTCCATCAATATGTTGAAAACATGTATCTCTAGGTTCTGAACTTTCAGCTGCTCTTGGTTCTAAAAAGCTCTGTTTACTCTGTTCACGAGATAGTTCATCTCGGTTCCTATTTTTCTCAGTAACTAAAAAGATCATGTCTAAAGATCATATTTTACTCGAGATAGTGTAGACATAACACAAACACTTGGATCATATGTCTCAATATTAATATGCAGGATTAACCTACTGTGCTGTTGAAAGCATTAGATCAATAGTAAGTGCTGTTGAAACTTTAAATCTTGTGAAGTTGAAATATGAGAATCTATAAATTCTTGTAGGAGGGATGATGCCTTAAGATGTTGCTTGTTCTCTGTTTAGGACAAGCTTTATATGTAGAGTAGAATCTCTTATGACAATTATGTCTAGTTTTTGAACACAAGTTGCGATGTTCCTGAGACCCTAGGAATATCTTTCAACTTCTTCATCATTGCGTCTTTGTCTTTGAGATTTAAGTCTGGTAATGGTCTCATTGAGATCGTTGCCGTTTCCAAAATTCCAGAGTTACTTAGAATGTATTCCACCAATTCTAACTCTTCTTCTCTTCCTGTATAGTCTATTAACTCAAACTTCTCCAGACTTGATGACAAGCACTCGGGAGTGTAGCCCGTTTCGCTCCACGAAGCAGAGGCCATAGGGGGTTTATTGGTTAATCTCTGAGAAACAACACTATGCTATCAATACATTTACACACCACCATGGTTTATATATTTATAAGTGAGTTGAGGGATACGTACATAATCAACTATAAGAGACTTCAGCTTAGGAGTATTTTCAAGGAATGGCACAAGTGAATCCATCCAGTCTGAGTTCCATGGACATATCCTACACACTGTCAGCCGAGGGAATTTGATGGTTTTGCAACACCGAATCTGCGACTCACGAACAAATCATCATAGTTAGTAGATGCAACAATATGATTACGAAGGGAGAGAGAGGGAGAGTTACCATTTCGTTTGTCAAATCCATCTTGAGAAACGAGATGGAGGAAAAAGATCTTAAGAAGTTGTCCATGTCAGGGAAATTCCCGCCAACGTCGATATAAGCTTGCTCGAAACAAGGCGTATGCTCGATTGAGCAAGAGTCTCCTGAATAATCAGTGAATTTAAATCCTGTTAATGCAGGAGTGTCAATAACCAAGCCCCTACCGCTATCTTCTTCTACGTCACTATCTTCTTCTACATCACTATCTCCTTCTACGTCACTATCTTCTTCTACTTCACTATCTTCTTCCCCATCACTGTAAGGTATATCTAGATGATCATAGTACTCATACTTGAATACCAATAGAGAAGGAACTTTCACAGTGAACCTTTTAACATTGTCATCCTTTATCCGTTTAACAATTATAAGCTTGAGAACGGGGCAGCCTGATAAGAGCCTATCGAGAGATTCATCGTTTTTATACACCACACAGCGCAAAATGAGGACGGTAAGTGATTGGAGGCGGGCGGTACAAGGAACATCCACGAGAATCTTATGGGAGAGATATAGTACCTCGAGAGTTGCGCACGAGTAAAGGCTATTGGGCAAGCTTACTGGGTCTGCGGACCATAGAAGCTCGAGTATTAGCACAGCCACGCGGCGATCAACAGCCTTTGCAACACACTTTCCGACATCAGCATCACTAGGACATTGTGGACCGAGTTGTATTAGCAAAAATTGTAAAACATGTGCTTTGTGGAGTTGCAGTGACTTATCAAGAAACCACCAAACGCTCTTTTTACTCTTATCAAGATTGTTTTCTTTGTAGACAAGTTTCGGCAACATTGTCCATATAAAACGCCATTGTTTAGACAGAACCATGGTAGCGACTGCATCTTTGGTCGGCACATACTTGAGTATATTTACAAGCAAATCTTCGGGTAAAGCACTGATCATGTCTTCACAAACTCTCTCTTCAATTCTCCCACCACAAACTTTTGTTGTTTCCAGCATCTTCACATATACGCAAAACCCTAAGAGAAGAAAGACGACAGCTTAAAACAAATTTGTATTTACTTTTTTTTTTCCCTTTCAATTATATATATAGTCACCAACTAGCTAGGGTTTGAAAACATTAACTTGAATATCACGAAACGACACCATGCATGCGTGCTAATATGGGCCGTAGTAACTACTAAAGAATGTTTTTTGGAAAATCGATTTTATACTTTTATTATAAACAACTACCGGTTATGAAGATAGATACAGTATCTATATAATAATACGCCTATTTCCAATTTCTTTTGGTTTCCACACCTAGGGTTTTGACTCGTGAAGATGACAGTAGAAGAAAAGATTGAGAACGTTGAAGAGACAATTTGTAAAGACAAGATTAGTGAGTTGCCCGAAGATTTGCTTGTAAGGATATTAAGTCTTGTCCCAATAAAAGACGCTGTGGCCACCATGTTTCTGTCGAAACGATGGTTCTCTGTTTGGACGATGATACCAACACTTGAGTACAAAGACAACGATTTTCAACATTATGCTGATTTCAACTATAACGTTTGGAATTTTCTTGACAAATCGATGCAACTACACAAGGCACCTGTAATAGACAGCTTGTGCGTGAAAATCGGTCAATTATGTCCTACTGATGTTGATGTCGTAAAGTGGGTGTATAAAGATTCTCGTGCGAATCTCTCGTGAAACTGACTCTCTGCGACAAGATTCTCGTGGATGTTCCTTCTACTCTATGCCTACCATCTCTTAGAAAGCTCCATCTATACTGTGTGGTGTATAAAGATGATGATTCTATTGTCAGGTTCTTATCGGGCTGCCCCGTTCTAAAGTGTCTATACGTGAAGCGGAAAGAGAATGACAATGTGAAAAAGTTCACTATAAAAGTTCCTTCTTTATTGGTGTTAGATTATGCTAATCTTGTAGATGGTTATGATGATCAAGAACATTCCCTGGTTATCGATACTCCAAGATTAGAGGACTTTTACATCAGTGCTTCTTTAGGAGACTCTAGCTCCATCGAGAATATGCCTTTCCTCAAGTATGCATGTATCAGTCTGTTTCATGAAAAGTTTCTACGTTGTGTTTCTTCGGTCTCATCTCTTCGGTTCTTTTTGTGTGATGAAATGGTACAACTATCTTTTATTTCTCTATTAGTACTCTCTCTTGTTCCTTATGAGCATATACAAACGTTGTGTTTCTTTCGTTGCAGCTTGTGTGTAGTAGCACTATCAAATTCTCTAGACTTTTAAAGTTAAGTATATGTCCACTAGAATCAAATTGGTTCGAACCACTCATACCTTTACTCGAAAACTCTCCTAAACTAAAAGAACTATGGATAGATTCTGTAAGTGTATATATATATATATATTTCCTCCTTGTCTTCGAGCTTTCTTTATGGACTTTTAATTTATAAAGTTAATTAGAATGTGTTTAAAATATAGCCATCGTTGCTTCTCAGGATATATGCGGTGGTATTGCACTTTCATGGAACCAACCGATCTCCACTCCGGGATGCTTGTCGTCACAGCTCGAAATCTTTAAATGGAACAAATATGGAGGCACAGAGGGAGAGGAACAGTTCTTGAGATACGTCTTAGCCAACTCTAAGTGTTTAAATACCGCGATTATCGATATCCATGTGAAATACAACTTGGTAATGAAATACAAAGAGGAAGTGATGGAGAAGTTGAAAGATATTCCTAGGGCTTCAACAACATCTCAGCTATTGTTCACATAAATTTAGCTAGCGCATTTAAACACAGAACCGCTTCTTGTATGATAACACCATGTTTTCTTGTAGTGAAGGATCCAACTCCAGCTAATGTGGAAACTTAAGCTTTCTAACTTATAAACTTGACTAGTTGATTTTCATATCCTTTTCCCCATATACCTTAATTATGTTAAAGCCTAAAAACATTTTTAAACTACAAAGATTTTATGGAGAAGTACAAAACCATTATTTCTCTTTACTGTTATGTAAAGATTTATTGTTTTGGCAAGGTAGTCTAAATTTTGATTAGATATATATCGCTTAATTAGTTTTATAGGATCCGTATATATATTAAAGACATTTACCGGTTACAATGTATTTACGAATACGCCTATTACATATTTCTTTGGGTTTCGGCAACTAGGGTTTTGCCTCGTGAAGATGACAGAAGACAAAAAAATTGAGATCGTTGAAAACACTATTTGTCAAGACAAGATTAGTGAGTTACCCCAAGATTTGCTTGTAATGATATTGAGTCTTGTCCCAATAAAAGACGCAGTGACCACCATGTTTCTGTCGAAACGATGGCTCTCTGTTTGGACAATGATACCAACACTTGAGTACAAAGACAACGATGTTCAAGATTATGCTTAATTATTTCAACGATGACTATGTCTATGACGCTGCCGTATGGTACAAGGAAATGAAAAAGAGCGTTTGGAATCTTCTTGACAAATCGATGCAACTACACAAGGCACCTGTGATAGACTGCTTACGGGTGAAACTAGGTCAATTATGTCCTACTGATGTTGATGTCGTAAAGTGGTGTTCAAACGCTGTTTCTCGCTGCTTGCGTGACCTAGAATTCGTCCTCTCCTGGTCTGCAGATCCAACCACCTTGCCTAGTAGCCTTTACTTCTGCGAATCTCTCGTGAAACTGACTCTCTGCCACAAGATCCTCGTGGATGCATGTTCCTTCTCTAGTATGCCTCCCATCCCTAAGAGTGCTTGATCTAAACTGTGTGGTGTATAAAGACGAGTATTCTCAAGTTAGGCTCTTATCTAGCTGCCCCGTTCTAAAGTGTCTATACGTGAGGCGGAACAAGACTGACAATATGAAAAAGTTCACTATAAAAGTTCCTTCTTTATTGGAGTTAGATTATGCTGGTTATGATGTAGGGCATGCCCTGGTTATCAATACTCCGAGATTAGAGGTTTGTAGTATCTATGGTTTTGTTGGAGACTCTATCTCGATCGAGAATATGCCTTTTCTCAAGTGGGCATATATCAAGCTTGGCTCTTGCACTAATGAAAAGTTGCTAAGTTGTGTTTCTTCAGTCTCAACTCTTCAGTTCTTTTTGTCTGATGAAATGGTAGAAATTTCTTCTATATTTCTATTAACTAGTCTTTCTTAATTTTTCCTTATGAGCATCTACTAATTAACGTTTGTGTATGTTTAGTCGCAGCTTATGTGTAGTAGGACTATCAAATTCTCTAGACTTTTAAAGTTAATTAAGACTATGTCCACGAGAATCAGACTGGTTTGAGCCACTCATATCTTTACTTGAAAACTCACCAAAACTAAAAGAACTATGGCTAGATTGTGTACGTGTATATATCCTCTTCTATAGCTTTATTAAAATATTTTAAAATTCAAAATATGTAACCATGCATCGTTGCTTTATTAGGATTGGGGACCAGCTACACTTTCATGCTTGTCGTCGCAGCTTGAAATCTTTATTTGGAAAGAATATGGAGGAACAGAAGAAGAAGAAGAACAATTCTTGAGATACGTCTTAGCCAGCACTAAGTGTTTAAGTACCGCGACAATCAATCTGCAATACACCTTGAAAAAGAATCATGAAGAGGAACATTTGATGATGGAGAAGTTGAAACATATTCCTAGGGCTTCAACAACATCTCAGCTATTGTTCAAATATGTTTCGTTCATAGACGTCCCCCTAAATGTGTTCATGCCGCCTTACGCATCGTAGTTCTTCCTTTTTTGCTTCCTTAAGACCAAAATTATAAAAGAAAGAAAAAAGATGCCATTGAAGCAACTGAGTGTGTAGTTTCTTACTTAACCAATTTGATTCACATTGCAAACTTGATTAGTTGATTTTCATATCCTTTTACCCATCTCTTATTATATAAAGTTGGGTTTTCAAAGTTAGCCATTAACAAGATCGTGACTCGTGTTAATTGAACTAATAAAATGTCGACATGTGTCAGAAAATTAGGGGTAATAAATTATATAAATTAGTTTTCAAAAAAAAAAAAATATTTTCAAAATAGAAAGAAGAAAATAAAATTTCAGGAAATTTAACAATTACTTAGTAATAATCCTAAAAGAAAAAGATAGTATTTATAAACTAAATTATAAAAACTACAGTAAATTATATAGATTATAAAAATGAAGTCTAAAGAAAAAAATACAGTAAATTAGTCAACTACAGTAAAACCTCTATAAATTAATAATGTTGGGACTACAAAAATTTATTAATTTATAGTTATATTAATTTATCTATAAATTAATATTTATTATTTTATAGTGTAAATTAATAATTATTAATTTATAGTGGTATTTTAACTTTTATTTTGTTTTGAAATTATGAATTGGGACAATTTTACAAAATTAGATTAATTTTTAAGATTATATAAATTTTTGTAGTTTAGAATTGAATTCTATATTTATATATAAAAAATAACAATGAATTAAAAAATTTATAAATAAATCTGCTTCTATACAAATTACATCCATAAATTCAAATTTATGATTAATACCTCAATTGTTATCTTTTAACATCCTATAAAACAAACAAAAAATGAATATGATGCATATTTATAAATAGAAAACATTAAAACAAATTCGCTTACTTTATGATGTTATGGAATATATTATAAGATTATAGTTTAAAAATATAACATAATTTTTTTTATAAAGATGAGGTCTAGGAGAAATTCATTTTTAGAAAAAACTAAAAGCATATTTCAACATAATTACTTAACCAAAATAAAAGCATATTTCTATATATAATATACATGATTATTAATTTATGTTATTATTGGGACTATATTTACATAAGGATTTCAAAAAAACTTATTATCTTATTATCTTATCGAATTTAATTAATTTTTACACTGGCCCGACTTGGGACCAGCAAAATTTATTAATTTATAGTGTTTATTAATTTATAGAGTATTAATTTATAGAGGTTTTACTGTATAAGTTAATCTTAGAAAATATTTGCATTATCTTGTATATTATGTAATATTTAAATAT